GCCCACTGAATGTGCATGCCAACGAACATTTGACGCCCAAAAAGCGGGAAAGCAGCTCCAAAGAGAGATCTCATCAGAGTGTTTCCGGCAAGGGCTGAAGCGGCAAACATGAGGTAGGCATCGACAATATAGTTGAGGGCCTGGAGGAAAATCGACATGAGGCCGAAGCCCGTGAGAATTCCGCTGACAGCAGGGGCTGCCCAATGGATATCGGCCGAGAATCCAGTCCTAAAATTCTTGTTAGCTACTGACTATTCATTCTGGCGCAGTAATTTTGGATTGACAACTTACCATCCAAACCAAAAGATGCCGCCGGCAAAGGCAATACCGCCAACCATCATGTTGGGCAATCGCCACTCCGGAATTGGCATGCCATTGTTTGCAGCAAGTTTGCGATTGTACCATGGCACCTGAGCAATGATGGTAAAGGTAGCAAGAAGCTCACCAATAACCAATCCGAAGAAAGTCAACCCAGAAATGCCCGGGGTGAATCCGTGAACACCTTGGAAAACAAGGGGGTACGCGGTGAAGAATAGATAGAGCAGCCCATAGATAAAACTCATGTAAAGAGAGAGAAGGAAGATGATGGGTTCGGTGAACAGAAGGCGTATCGGACGGAGGAAATTCTTGCTGACGAGCTCGCCAAAGTCGATTTCGATTTCCTCCTGTTTGGCATGGATGCCCCAGTTCTTAGTCCGTCGTCGCAGCTCAGACGCCTTGCTAACAAGGATGACTGGTGGATAAGACTCCTCGAGAAAGAACAAGTCGAGAATAAAAGCGGCGAATCCCATAATAGCACAGAGATACTCGGTCCAGCGCCACCCCAGATAGGATGTAACAATGAAGCCGCCGATGAAGGGCGCCAGCATGGGGCCAGTGAAAACAGTCATGGAAAAAATAGCAATAGCTGTTCCTCTAGTCCTGTTGTCAAACATGTCGGAGAAGACGGCGGCAACGACAGCCAGGGGGCAGGAGCCGAAGAAGCCAGCGAAGAAACGGCAGATGAGAATCGTCTGAATATCCTTGGCAGTGGCCGTCGCAATGGTGAAGAGAGAGAAGCCAAAGATGGAGACGACAATGGGCAAACGACGGCCCTTCAATTCAGACAACGGCGCCCACAGCGAGGGACCGAATGCGAAACCCAGAACGTAAAGCGAAGTGCCCAAAACGCCAACCTCGAGGCCCACATCGAATTTCCTGGCCACGGTGGATGTCGCAGAAGAGAAGATGGAAGATGTAAAGGTTGCGACGACTGTAGTATAGGCCAGCATGGCAGACGTGAGGAGCTTCTTTCTTGTCGGCCAATTCTGAGCGTGTAGAGGGTCGTTGGGCCCGTCAAACTCGACGACATATTCTTCTTGGGCAGGCAGTAATGGGGGGTATGGCTTGCCGCCACCAAAAGCTGGCAGAGGCTTTCGAGAGGCTCTACTCTCTGAGCGGATTGAGCCTCCAACGGTGTTAACGTGCTGGCTTCTCTGGGTGGCAATGCGACTGAGGGCCGTGGAGTGACGCTCCAGATCGTTTTGCGTTGATACGCGACTCATGTTAGTTCGGCGGCGGTAGATGCTGTCGCGATCTGAAGACGACGAGGCCGACGACGCTGTTATGGCCCGCTCGATTTCGTTGCTGGCGCGCTGGTAGCGACCGGCCGAGGCATCGCGCTCTGCCTCCCAGAGCTCTCGTTCGGCGGAATCCATGATGTCGATGCTGATGTCGATATCCAAGGTGGTACAGCGCGCTCAACCTGCGCTTCTAGCCGTATGATTCGCTCCCCAATGACCAGTGGGAGAGATGGATATAGTATAGATATATAGATACAAGGCGGTCCAAGTCCAAGGAGGATGGGACGAAGAAAAAAAGGATACACCGCCGATATAAATATGATGGCCAATGGCTGATGGAAAAGAACCAATTGGCCGAGTAAACCCCAGCAAACCGAGGGCGAAGAGGGGGCCCCGATAGATAGAGTCGGTGGTCAGAGCTAGGGTGCGAAAAAGCTTGACGGCGCAGGCACGGCAGTCGTTGCGATAGGTGGAAGCGAGGCCACGGTACTCGTTACGGCAGTGGTTGGGGGCTGGCAGGGCGAGATGGAATGTACCGAGTACTCGTCCGGGCGCGGCACTAGCGCTGGAACAGGACAGGTGCACAGACGGCTAGTACGCGTATGGGCTAGAGCCAGCTACTGGAAGGGCCTAAGTGGGATGTTGATGGCTAATTAGGTAAGGTGGGGGCGCTGGAGATGTGATGATGTCGAGCTGACAGGCGAGGCTCTCAGTAGCAGCGGGAAGAAAGGTCCAGTTGGTTCTGTTTCAATGGCGGAAAAGAGAGGGTCCTGGCTCCGGCACAGTATAGCAAGCAGATGGCAGCGCAATTCGTAAGTCGTCGACAGATTTTAGTCGATGCAAAACAATGACAACTCGATGAGGTGAATGGTGTTTACTGGAACATGTACGTTAATCCAAAGCAGTTATTCCCGTCCTCCGCTAACAAACAGGGCGAACAAAAGATCTCGGAGGGGAAGCTGAAGTGTCAATGCTAGCACCGATTCCGCATGCATGTAAGATGGACGGCGCAACGCTGCTCTTTATGTAGCACAATAGACGGTCGATAGCGACTTGAACAAGCAGCTATGTCACTTCTGACTGCAGAAACTGGTATTTGAGTTAGTTGGACCCATCTAGTCTAGTTATCATTCATGTTTATTCATCCCAGCTCGCCCCCCGGCATTAGTCACTTTTCTGCCTGTTGCAATTCGCACGGCACCCGGCTTGGAAATCTCTGCGCTCAGCTCTCCTATCTCTCTTGTTTCGCAAACCTAGGCACAGCGCAAGAACAATGGGGCCAGCTAAAGCCCGAGGACTTAATGCCGGGTTTGTTGCTTGGCGTGGTTCCACCCAAAGGCGGTTCTTCTCGCGATCCCGGCCGAGAGCCATCGAGGCCTAGGCCCGGGAGAGCCCAGCCGTGCCTGGGACCAGCAGTTGATGCCCAACGTTTCCAGAATATTTCTTGTTTAATTTTCAAGAAAAGCGAGTCCCCTTGTCTTTTTTCGATTCATTATCAAGCACTGCTCCACAGCGTATCCAACTGGTCCCCCTATATCATTTCGCCTTGGCCGTCCCCTGGCCTGAGGTAGAGTGCTCATACGAGCCGCATCGCGAAATGCTCCGTGACGGAGGTAGCGGCCCTTGCTTCATGACCGAACAGGCAGATCGATCTTCCCAACGATCATGGCGATACCCACCGCGCGCATGGCCAATTAACTAATCCAGAAGATGATGCGATTTCAAATACCTACCACAGCCTCACGGAGTGTTCTCCATGGAGAATCCGGCAGATAGATTTTGCCTAGGTATCTGACCATGCCAACGGCTTTCGCCCCCCGAGATGCAAAATGACGTAGCTTCTCCTATCAGCGACCGTACAGACCATTGACGTTTAAAGAAAAAAATCTGCGCGATGCTTTCTAGCGCTATTGTGTGCCGAGAGCGAAAGCGAAAGGCCGAATCAGCGCGACCCAGCAAAGCGGCTGTTGTCGGAACCAAAGCCCGGCTTATTCAGGGTGAACTCTCCTCCCGTAACCGCAAACAAGACAAAAGTGGGCATGCCCGAGAAGAAACGAGCAGAAATATGACAGCCCAACAGCTTATTTTCCCCAAGACCTCTCTAGCAGATTCCAGCGGACCGGCCACCTTTTATGCGCCGGGCTGAGGTCGCTTCTGATTGGCCGCTGGGCCACGCCGGGACGGAGAATAGCTCTCAAAGTCCGACTGCACCAAGACGGACTTTTCCGATAACCAGGCAGGGCTATGAACTGATTGCTGCTGCTGTTACTCAGCCTTCAGATTGATGAGTGCTTGGCCTTGTCTTGGCAAGAATTCCTGTACCTGGAAATGGACACCTTTGATGCGGGAACATTAGCTCCCGTGCGTAACGAGATGCTGGGCCGGTAGTTCTAGAAGTGTCAAGCTTCCTTGCTGCAGATGGAGCTGCGAGAATCCAAGGTCGCGGCGATGCTTACTTAACCGTACTCAGGTAAGCAAGCGGGAAGTAGGAAAGCAAACTACCGAGGAGATTCACACGCAAGACTTGGAATACTTATAAAGCACGCTGTTATATCATACATGTATGGCAGAAGCAGTAGAAGCAGTAGAAGCAGTAGAATAACAGCCTTTGCAATAATAGATATGCGAGTTACTGTCGTAGATTCTCTATTTCTTGACTATCCCCAAAGCAGAATTCTGTTTCGAGACACACAGCTTTCAAGCTAGCAACCGATCAATTAATGTCCTATAAGACTTACAGCGATGGTTTCTCTCACATGATCATACAATCCTACAATGCACAATGCGAAGCGAAGTACTAGGTTTCGGCAATTAAAAATAGTAAAAATATTCGTTTCTTTTTGGATAGCTGAGTGCTTTCTTTAGTCGTATCTGCCTAAAAGGCAGACATGCGTTTCGTCCAGGAGACTAGAAACTCCAACGGCAACTTGCTCCCGGCGGCCAGCGCATTGCGTGGCAGATGGTCTGTATGAAGGATCACGAAGGATCAATAAGAAACAATCCTTCTTGCTACTATTTAATTTCGCCAATAGAAAATAGAACGATGATGATACCGCCGCGTATGCACCAGCAGTCATTTTTCTACGTGTCGCTTAAGAGCTGAGTGGCCGGATGTTTCGTAAAAGTCCGCGCCAAAGTGGCTGACGCTTACACGGCCACTCGAAGCAAAGTCAAAACGGAGCGTAGGCGAACTAAACACAGGATCAGGAGTCTCTCAGAGGAATACAAAAAGGACGTGAAAGAACCATTTTGACTTAACATTAATCAGAAAATATCCAATCCAGTTCTACGACCACAGCTTTCCTACCTCCATCACTGCATCTTTAAAAAGCTCAAAACTACGCTACGGCTCACTAAATACTTACACAGCTCAATTTCCATCATCTTACTCCGCACCAAGCAACCACCCTATCTCTTAAAGACTTGAACAGTAAAAATATGCAAAACTTACAGATTGCCATTATTGGAGCGGGCCCAGCTGGTAAGTAACATACAGCTCTATACCATGTCAAAATATCTCAAACCAATGGCTAACAATCAACCCAGGCTGCGCCCTCGCCCGGCTTCTCCATCTCGGAGGCATCCAAGCCACCATATTCGAAGGCGAGGATTCCGCCAGTGTCCGGTCCCAAGGCGGGACTCTGGACTTGCACACTACCTCGGGCCTAGCAGCCGTCAAAGAAGCCGGCCTATGGGACGAGTTCCTGTCGCATGCTCGCTACGACGGGCAATACATGGCCATTACGGACAAGGACCTTCGCTACTACGTTGTCCGTGGTCTTGATGCCGAGTCCACCGCGGCCTTTGGCGAGCGCCCAGAAATCGACCGTGTAAAGCTCAGAGAAATCCTGCTCGACTCTCTCCCGGCAGGTACCGTCAAATGGGCTCATCGTCTGCAAAAGATAGAGGGCAACACCTTGATCTTCACCAATGGAACAACTGCCAGCTTCGATCTTGTTGTTGGCGCCGACGGTGCCTTCAGCAAGGTCCGCCTGTCCATTGCCCCTGAGCTGAAGCCAGAGTACACGAGAGTCGCCATGCATCACTTCAGCATCCCCGATGCGGAGAAGTCTGCGCCTGAAATCTACAAGATTGTCAACCGCGGAAGTTTATTTGCCAGTGCCGACGGCCAGCGGTTCACTATTCAGCAGATGGGTGATGGTAGCCTCAACGCGGGCTTTTCTTTTGTGCGGGAGGACGCAGATTGGGGGAACCCCGAGAAGTGCGGTTACAACTCTCAAGACTTGGCAGAGGTGAAGAAGGCAATGGCCAAAGAGATGGAGCACTGGGCCCCTTGGTTTCACAAGGCCCTCGATGCCACTCAGGGGGAGACGAGCACCAGATCGCTGTGGCGTTTGCCCATTGGGCAAAAGTGGCAGCACAAGTCTGGCGTCACGCTCATTGGCGATGCCGCGCATCTGATGACTCCCCATGCGGGCGAAGGTGTTAATCAAGCACTTGAAGACGCCATGATCCTCGCCCGCGTGATTCTCAAGGCCCAGAGCAGCGAAGACCTGGACGAGCAGATTCTACAGTTTGAGTCGGAGATGATTGCCCGCGTCGAAAAGATTCAGCAGCTGGCCTGGGATCGCTGCCAGGGCCTGATGTTTACGCCTGGCGTGCCAAAGTCGTTCATGGATAAGATGATCCGGCAGCGGATGAAGGAGGCCAAGGGGATGGGGTTGGATGCCGAGCAGATGAAGGCGATGGATGCCGCGGTGGCCAAGGCACAGGCTCAAGCAGACGCTCTGAACAAGGTGTAATTCAGCCGTGCCAGCCGTGTTACAGCTGAGATTTGTTCATTTCTTTCTCTTCTCTGCGTTACATACCTAGCTGTTTTGATGTCGCCTCGACTTACATGTCCTTGTTTGGAGCCACAGCGAAGTTGAATGTCTTATTTCATCTCATGATTAGCATCACTAGAAACCTCCCCATTCACCAAATAGATTGTTTCTATAAATATCAATTGCTACCCTATTGTTGAGCTCTTGCCTTTCTGCATGAATAAAAAGGGTATAGCTACGACCTTAGGCAACGGAGCGCCGCGTACCTGCTGCGTCACTACCACAACCCCGCGCCCAAACGTGCACTTGTTTCGACTTACACCAAAGACTCTCAAATCTTCAACTTTGTAAACTCCAAATCCGCCATCATAACCACCGCTCACAGTCACAGCTAGGAAAATCCAAGTCGCTCACCATGCCAACTGAAGGCGTCTACATCCGTCCAAACGGACAAAAAACGTTCATCCCTCTAGAAAACAACCCCGAGGTCTTCACATCTCTCGTTCACGACCTCGGCGTCTCACCCGATCTCGGATTCTACGACGTCTACAGTCTTGACGATGCCGATCTCCTCTCGTTGGTGCCTCGCCCCGTCCTGGCGCTCATATTCATCGCGCCAGAGCCCGTGTACTATGCTCTCCGCAACCAAGACGGAACTACCGTGTCACCGCCGCAACTGACTTACGATAAGAGCGGCGATGAAGAGCCCATCATTTGGTGGCAGCAGACGATTGGCCATTCATGCGGCCTCATGGCGTTGCTGCACTCGGTTGCTAACGGGGAAGCACGAAAGTTTGTTCTAAAGGACTCTTTCTTGGACGGGCTATTGAACCAAGCCACGCCTCTCAAGCCCGTTGAAAGAGCTGCTGCGCTGTACAACAACGAAGAACTGGAGAAGAAGCACATGAAAGCCGCTCGAACGGGAAATTCCCAGCCGCCTGGAGCCAACGAAGAGAATTTCAACCACTTTATATCTTTTGTCAAGGGCAAGGACGGCCATCTGTGGGAGCTGGAGGGAGCCACCGATGGCCCTCTGGATCGCGGACTGATGCGTGAAGGTGACGATGTGCTCAGTGAGGGGGCGCTGGATTTGGCTGTGCGCAAGTTTTTAAAGGTCAGCAATGGGAACCCAAACTTTAGCATTGTGGCATTGGCAAGGAAGCCGGAGTGAGATGCATGTAACATGCCATGAAACTTGTGGTGCTAGCTAGTATTTATACCTAGCTACGGAAATTATCAGCCAGAGACATTCCCAAGTGTGAACAAATGAGCACAAAAGTCAATAAAATTCTAATAAATTTACTGCCGATATTGGGTTGCAGTGCATGCAAATAGTACATGTGCCTTTCAAATGCCGGCGCATCTTATCTGATCTCCATCTCGGTCTGGGGTAGGCGGAAACGTCACCGGGTCTTAGTGCCAGGGTCACGCCGCTATTTTCGGAACCTCGAATCTGACTTGCTCTCCCAAACAACAACTTCATCCTCACTCTTACGAATAATCCCCCGCCAATGAGCTTAATAAAATCCCGCTTCTAGGCGTCCGGGCTTTCTATCGCAATGGATAGCTCACAAGCGCCGCTCATCTCGAGCAACCGCCACGACGACGATGCGCCCTACGATACTGTCGACGACGAGCCTGGGTCGAGGGCTACAGCGGGAAAGGCGACAAATGGACGGCCTGGCCTGTTCGTCCTGATTTTGACATTTGCTGCTGGAATTAGCGGGCTATTATTTGGATGTACGCGTTTCTAATCGTCCCGAGATTGCTATTTACAGAGAAGATGCTTACCAGCCTGGCTCCTAGATGACACCGGCGTTATATCTGCCACGCTCGTCTCGATCGGAAAGGCGTTGTCGGACCGAGACCTCACTTCGATGGACAAATCAATCATCACTTCTTCGACCTCCCTTTTCGCACTGCTCGTCTCGCCATTCTCGTCTCTTATTGCCGACCGCTTAGGCCGCAAACGGGTGATTCTATACGCCGACGTGCTGTTCATCATCGGGGCTGTTCTGCAGGCTGTCAGCTCTACCGTTCCGGCTATGGTGGCTGGTCGCTGCATTATCGGCGCGGCAGTGGGTGCTGCGAGTTTTGTGGTGCCGTTATACATTGCTGAGATTGCACCGTCGTCATATCGAGGCCGTTTGGTGACTATCAATGTGCTGTTTATCACGCTTGGGCAGATGGCGGCCTACATTATCGGCTGGGTATTGTCTACATATGCGTCAAAAGAAAGTGGGTGGCGGTGGATGGTGGGCTTGGGAGCTTTGCCAGCGGCTTTGCAGGGTGCTCTCGTGGCCTTTATGCCGGAAACACCGCGGTGGTTGGTAAAGGCTGGGAGGTCTGAAGATGCCAAGCGCGTTGTTCAAAAGGTCAATGGCGTGCAAGGGCGGTTTGATGGCACTGCAGATGCCATCATCAAGGAGATTGAACTTGAGATCCGGGAAGAGGACGAAACACGGCTGCTACAGGATCGTCAGACGTTTGGCCCGTGGAATGGACTCTATGTGTGGTTCGAGCTGTTGGGCGAAGGGAAACATCGCCGCGCACTCGCAATTGCATGTCTCTTGCAGGGCTTGCAGCAGTTGAGCGGATTTGTAAGTGTAACGAACGAATCTTACTACTTTGCAGACGCGAATACTAACGTGGACTGTCTAGAACTCGCTCATGTACTTCTCGGCCACCATATTCTCCATCATGGGATTTGAAAGCCCTACCTTGACATCGCTCATCGTTGCCGTGACCAACTTTGTCTTCACGCTCGTTGCGCTGGGTCTCATTGATAAGATTGGCCGCCGACGGATCTTACTCTATTCAATACCCATGATGGCTCTGGGGCTGCTACTAGCTGCGGGTGGATTCTCATATCTGTCTCTGGACCAGGCGCCAGACACTCGCAGCAGTGACACGGCATCGGTAAATGAAGGCCAGGGAAGAAGCGGCCCCGCCATTGTCGTCCTTGTCAGCATCATGATTTACGTCGCATCTTATGCCCTCGGTTTAGGTAATGTGCCATGGATGCAAAGCGAGCTATTTCCTCTATCGGTACGCTCAGTTGGCAGCGGAGTTGCGACAGCTACGAACTGGGCGGCCAACTTTGCTGTTGGACTGACCTTTTTGCCAATGATGGACGCGCTGAGTCCATCCTGGACTTTTGTGCTCTATGCCGGAATCTGTACTGTTGGGCTTGGCCTTGTCTGGCGAATATATCCCGAGACGGCAGGGCTGAGTCTGGAGGAGGCCACGGCGTTGCTAGACAATGGATGGGGCGTACGATAGGTAATCTTGCGGACGATCTACCTCGTACCTGCGTTATTGGTTATTTCATACATGCATAGAATAGCGGAGTTAGAACACGCGTGTGATATCCATGACCCTGATCTATATGGCGCGCAAGTAATACCGCGACTCCTGAAAAGCTGCGTTGCCATGGGAGCTGTGCCGGGTATCGATGCAAGGTACCGCGGATCGGTGGCTGGGCCCCCTTACTTTGTGCAGGGTGATGGAGCGTTCTAGAAGATTGCCAAATCGTACTGTGCGTGTAAGTATAGCAAATTTGTCTGTTAGGGGCCCTTGTTCTGGTTCTCTTTCTGCGTGTAAGAAACATCTGCGTTGAGAATCCGAGGCAGTGATGGATGCAACAGTGGGATCTGATAGGATTATGTGAAACATGAAACTGGGGATGAATGTCACCCCGGAAGGTACATGCATGTACAAGCACAGTCAGCCTCGCATAAGTAGAACTCGTCGAACCAGTTTGTCGCAGACTGCCAGGCACGATATCGGGATTTAATTCGTGTAAATGCCATTGCCACCAGATCCCCAAAGCCGTGAATGGGATCCAGCGTCGTATCGTTTCCGGGGATAAGGCTTTGGGCAGCTATAAATAACCACATGACGTTGAGCGTCTCCCCAAAAAGCTGCCCAACGCTATGCCATGGCGCTTCCAGCCACTGACAGCCTCCGGTTCCTGCGCATGACACCTTACGACCTGCGCAACTAAATGAGAAGCCCTTATCATGCATAATCGAGGGGGCTGGATAAAGATGGACAAAAAAAAAAAAGACTTGGATTTAATTTTTTTTCCCTTTTTCTCTGTTTGTGCGTGTGTGCCTCTCTTTGCATTCGACGAGATCGACCACCTGTAATCCCATCTCGGCGACGCTGTCTGCCATATTCACACTGTTTTATCTGTTCGTTTGCGGGAATACGAGATCCTCCCTCCCGAGACCTTGTCTCGAACCCTATTAGTCTATACCTTGGCTTTGTCAAAGTGCTCATCTGCACACGGCTTTTGCGTCGTTGACTCTCCTGCAGGCCACTCATTAAATACAATAAGTGCCCATTATAGGCCTACAATAGAGCCCTGTTCGCCGCATGGTTGATGCGCCCGGGTCCGAAGCTTCTCCGCTGCTAGCACCGTAACGCCAGCGACTTGCAGGTACCGCCAGGACCGGGGACGTGCGCCCTGCAGACGGCCCAAGACGGCACCCGCCAGGTATATCCAGGTACCGCCCGGGCTGGCTCAGCTCTTCCGGTGGACGAACGGGCTTTTCTTGCTGACAGACGCAAAACACAGACCAGGCCACCCCCTCTCGCATCTCTCTTCAAGACCAGACCAGACCACCAACGCCAGCCTCTTGCAGGTCCCAAACCCGGCCATTCATTTTTCCCTTTTTTTCCTTTCTTCTTCGTCATTTTTCCTACTGCCTCACTCACTCTCTCTCGCCTCGAGGGCTTGTCGCAAAAAGCGGTGCCGCCACGTCTGTCCTTTTGCTTCCCGGCCGCCAGTTGAATGTGCGCATAGCGCATTGCCGAAAGACCAAACTGCGCTCGGCCTCTCTCTTTATTTTTTGCTTCTTGTCGTCTGCCGCTCGTTGGATAATGTGACTTGCCCTCAGTCGCTGCTTTTCGCTTATACAAAGAGACTCACGGCTTCGATTTCGACTCCACGACAGACGACTCCGCCTCCCGCTCGGACATCGTCGCTCGCTCGCTCATTAATTTTTTGCCAATCCGCCACCAAACGCCTTCTTCGACCCGCTCGCCAGCCACCCGCCTGGCTCCCGCGATCACGGCACGTGGAACGAATATCAGGGGCGAGGGATACACCCGACAGGAAACACTCGTCGCTACTACGAGCTTGGGAGAAATAATAGGAGGAAACAGAAACTGAATAAGATTAAAAAAAAAAAAAAAGACGAAGAGGCTTCACGATGCAACCGCAAGCCTCTGCCGCTCAGAGGGCATATTCGCAGCGGCGCTCTCCAGGTGCTGCTGACCCTGGGCCTCCGCCTTCGGTTCGAGCCATTTCTCCTGGCATCCCGCCCGGCCAGGCCCAGCGACAGTCCAACGTCTCTGTCAGATCTGCTCCGTCAAGCAGCGGCTCTAGGAGAGCAAATCGCGAGGTATGTGGCATCTCCAGGGGGGATCTGGCGCTCATCCCAGTCGTCGGAGCGCGACTCAAGCTGACGCTTTCTAATCGACTGTACAGGGTTCGTCCGGATCGGGAAGCGGCTCCAACATGCCATTGTCGCAAATCGAAAAGAGCGTCACGCACCTGCTCGTAGCCACAAAACAGCTTCTCGAAACATTAACGCAGTGGTCGCGCGGCCAGGCAACCGATGCGCAGGTCTCCGACGTCTACGTGCGATTAGGCTATGAATTCAACATGGCTTGCCGGGCCTTTACGGCCATCAACGTCGACACATCCGACCTCGGCAACGTCCCAGACTTGCTGCGGAGTATTCTCGAGGCCTGCTTGAGCCAGGAAGCCAGTGCCGAGAGCTTGGAGAAATATCTGCCTAGGATTCGAGATATCATCATCAACCTGCTCCACGGACTAAAGCGAAAACAACAGAGGCTGCGCCAGAAACAGGGACGAGATAGGGAATCTTCCGTGCCGGAGAGAACCACCAGCGTCAGTACGATTGCCAGTGGGAGCAGTGGCTTGACGAATATGCTCGAGGATACCTTGGAGAGCCATCGACCATCCTCGCATCGGCCAGGATCTGGTCCCCAGCCCAATGGCGGATCATCGCCCACGCGGCGCTTCAACGCTGAACGAGACCAGTCTAGGGGATCGGTTGCGTCAGAAATGTCCTCCGTGTCTAGCACTACTATGCAGAACATGCCTGTAGTACCGCCTTACCCAGCGGAAGAGTCGTCCATGCCTTCAATGCCGTCAGTGTCGCCACCAGGAGACCTCAATATCGATTCGTTTCCACCCCCGCCTCCTACACCGCCGGACAATACCTCCAGCGCTTTAGCAGCGCTGCAAAAAGGTGGCGATTTGGAAAGAAGAGCATCCCGACGATACTCTCAATACCAGATCTCGAAACACCTTGGAGGGTCCGTGAGCGCCGTCCCTATGCTTCCGTCGCAAACCGGGACTTTGCCGAACAGGGGAAGGAAAGAGGCCAGAGAATCGCTGCGCGCTGTTCAGTCACGCGAATCCGTTCGACATAGCCGTACCGCGTCTCAAATCAAAAGAAGTAGTACTTATAACAATTCCCCTATTCGCGTTCCCAGCCAGGTGGCAGAAGAAACTTTACCTACCCAGCCAGCTGAGAGTCCCATCACCAGGACTCCTGATGACAAGTACGCACCAGGCGCAACTCTCTCCGGACCTCTAAACGACTCCAACCCGTTCATGGTCGAATCACCGCAATCTGAAGCCAAGAAGGAACAGAAAATCAAGCAAAACGACACCCCGACAGCAGCGCCTCTTCCCGCAGAGTCAAAGCCAAGCGAGAACTACTTTCAGGTTTCACCCCCGCCCACACCGACCAAGGACTTGACACTCTTCCTACAATACAAGTCAAAGGTTAAGAAGATTGTTCTACCCGAAGGTCGCGATGAACTGTCCATTGGGCGCTTGCAGCTGGCTTTTATAGATAAGTTCTCTTGGAACACGCAGCAAAATGGCGCCGATTTACCCGAGATTTACATCCAGGACCCGGTATCTGGCGTTCGTCATGAGTTGGAAGACCTAAGCGATATCAAGGATCGAACTGTTTTGGTACTCAACGTAGAGGCGCTGGACGAAGTCAAGCGGCACATTGATGAGGGCATGTTTGCACTCACCAAGATTGTCCGAGAGGTGAAGCAGAATGTGGATGACCAGGCCGTCACTCTCCAGCGGGTGTCGGATCGCCAACAAGAAACTGCCAAGGAGATGGCTCAGATTGTGGAGCAAGCTCAGCAGGCCCCGGTACGAGCTGCCGATGAACCAAAGACGCTGACTCTACTGGGAGCCGGAAAGAAGCTCGGCAGCGGCCAGATTGGAGAAGTCCAAACCCTGCGGCGCGATCTTGCTGTTCTCCGACAGACCTATTCCACTTTCCAATCCGAGATTCAGGCTTCCATGTCCACTATTCGCAGCAAAGCGGCCAATGTCAAAACAGTGGCTGCCAAGGCCGCAATCCCCAGTATGGATGGGGATAACGGATATGCCTACGTTACAAATGGACGAAAACAGCTCAACGCCGACTCGGATCGACTGGTTGCCAAGGTTGACGACCTCCAAGACTTGGTGGAAGATTTGCGCAAGGACGTCGTGCACCGCGGCGTCCGACCACTACCTCGACAGCTTGAGGTCGTTTCCAAAGACGTTACTTCGCTTTCTAAACAGCTAAAGGCAATGGAAGACTACATGAACAAGGAGAAGCCGATCTGGACCAAGATTTGGGAGAAGGAGCTTGAGGATGTTTGCCAGGGTCGTGATGAGTTGCGCATTATGGAGGAGCTGCTTATTGACCTGCGCGACGACTTGGAGAAGGCTTCAGAGACGTTTGCTCTCGTTGAACAAGCTACCAAGGAACAGATGAAGGATGCCGGTACTGGCCCCAGCGCCAGTACTGCGCGCACCTTTTCCAAGGTTGTCAACCTCGGCAATAGCGTCAATCAGAGTGCTGCGAAAGAAGACATGCTAGGAGAAGTGCGAGCTTTGCAGCCAAACCACCAAGACCGTCTGGAGGCGATTGAACGTGCTGAGAAGCTGCGACAGAAAGAATTGAAGAGCCGTACGGATAACCCACTTCATCGTGAGATTCACAACTTTGTTGCCGAGGGCAAGCTGAAGAAATCCGGAGGTTTCGAAGAAATTGAGCGAGCACGGTTGGCCAAGGACGAGAAGATACGACGTGAGGTGTGGGAGCGTATGAATGGTCTTGTTGCTGATGAAGAAGAAGAAGAGGAAGAGGAAGAGGAGGAGGAGGAGGAGGAGGAAGAAGAAGAAGAAGAACAGGAGGGTGAAGAAGGTAAAGAAGGGGGTGAAGAACAAGTTAATGAAACTGCTGCCGGAAGCCAACCTGGTTCGCCAAAGAAAGCTGAAAGCCCGACAGCGGCCAACGAATAATGCAGCGGCCCTTGTTCTACTGCAAGGCTTTGCCGATGAATAGAAGAAACGAAAGGAGAGGAGAAGAGAACATTGATTGGATCTCTTGCTATCCAGAACAGCTTGCTGTCAACCACAGAGTGGCGCTGACATATCCCTCTTTTTGAAGCCACCAACCACCTTTTTCGCCTTTTCTTTTTTGTCAATGCCGAATATGAGGAAATTGAGTTTGACGATTGGACAAAGACATCTGTCATTATCACGACCTCTTTTCCTGTTTTTGGAACTACATGTATTTTTGACTGCTTGATACTTCGTTGCTGTCGATCGGGCCAGTCTTTTCTCATCAGCCCCTTTTTTTTCTGTTCTTTTTTTTCTGATTGTTTGATCCTTACCCTTTTTTGTGTTTGATATGAGATTGATGGAAAGCATTACATTATATTACATTACGTCTACGTGTGGAAAGCGAGGGGAAAAGAAAATTGAATGCAGTTCATTCTCTCTTGATGGGTAATGGACTGAGATTGACGTTTTCTTAGATTTAAAGCTTTGTGTTGAATTGAATTTCATAGCGGAGGCGAATGAGGGATCCTGCTTTTTTTTTATACATTTCTTTTTCTTGCGTGGAGTTCCCTCCCTTTTTTTTTTATTGACTATTACTGTTATTATCATTATTAGCTCGCTCTCTCTTTTTCTTTCTTTCTTTAGAGATTGGGAATAATTTTGATACGAAAAGATGGGTATAACAGTATACATCTCTTTTCGCGAGTTGGCGGTAGATGGTTTTTTTGATTACTTGTTCGAGAGATTGATTAGCGCAAATCCAAATAAACAAAATAAAATAAACAAAAGAACCAGATTCTAGTGAACTCTTGTTGAGCATGATTCCTAAACAGTAAGACGATAGAACCTGGCATATGGCCTCGTAACTTCAAGCTGTTGAATTACATAGAAATGCCATTCACACATACACAACTCCTCAAATCCACAGAAAAAAAAAACATTCATTCCCTATTTGAACATATGAAGCCAATAGAAAGCGTACGACATAAAAACTCCAATCACCCCAATAATGCCAGCTTCTTCATCCCCGTGATAACCGGCGGCTCCAGCTTCTTCCCCTGCTCTTGAATAAACTCCTGGAACACGCCCTCTCCGCCCGAAGCCTTCCACGTCGCCTCATCAGCCTGTTGCTGCTGCTGCTCCTGTTCCTGCTGCAGCTGAAGTTGCTGCGCCGCCGAAACGGCAAATACCTCCCTCACAGCAACTTCACACGCCTCCGTCACTTCCGCCATCAGTGCCTCCGCCGCTCTCGCTCGCTCAGCCATGCCTCTCCTGACGAGCGCAAAGACCAGCCTCTCGACTTCCGATTTCGCAGCCTCCACGCGCTCAATCAGTCGTCGCACACTGTTGACCAGATATTCCTCTTCGTATACGGTGCCCTTTCGCCCTCTGGCGCGCTTCTTCTCTTCCCTACGACGGTTCTTGCTCGTGGCGCGGCTGACGCCCGTGCCGGCGGTGCCCACACTGCCCGCCTTGCCGGTGTATCGGGTGAACAAACTGGCAGAGGTACTGACGCGCGAACTTGCTGCTACGGAGACGTCGTCGGGTAGATCCAGCCCGCCAGCACGCTCACCCTCGTAAAAGGCCAGGGGGTCTTCAGCGGCCTTTAGGCGCAGCTCGGCGACACGAGGGACCTGGGCGCGAAGTTGGGCCTTGCAATCGGCCAAGAACTCAGTCGTCCGGCCGAGTGCTTCGGCGAGCCCAACGTCAATGGCGCTCTCGAGAAGCTCGGGACGTGAGTGCTGAATGACGAGACGAATGGCCTCGGCAAAGTGATAACCACGGCACAGGCACTTGACGGCGGTCTCAAGCGAAGAGAGGTAGTCGAGGTGGATATTCGCGGCGGATGAAAAGTCTTTGGCTTCCCAGAGGGCGTCTGCGAGAGCGGTAGCAAGCTCTGCTTTGCTATCCGCAGAGAGAGGAGGATCTTGCTGATAGGCTGTGAAGAGACATTCCTGCCAGCATGTGGCACCGGCTGAGCGATAGCAGTTGGTGGCTTTGGCGTAGTTTTTGATCGATTCGTATGCCAGACCGGCTTCCCGATATTGAGATTTCGATTCCAGGAAAATGGCATAGATTTCGGTAAGTGTCTGCAAGCGGGGCGGGTCGTATCTATACAGTTTGAGGGAGTCTTGGTAGAGGTCGTGCTTGCTAGTGTACTTGCACAATTCATCAAAGGCATCAAGAGTCTGGAGATGGCCTAACGCTTTCTGCCGGCGTGCGAGGTGATTGTCAATCTCAAACTTGCGGCGAAGCTCAGAAAGAACATGCAGGTTTTGGATAAAGGGGAGATATTCTCTTGGATCTCGCTGAGATTGCTGCGCAACAAGTAAAGCAAGATCAAGGTTGTATAGACCCAATGCATTCTCATACACTCGGTTGACATCCACAAGGAAGCAGATATGCTCTACCGCCTTTTCGGCCAGTTTCTCGTCTTCCTGCATCAGCTCAGCGACAAGAGTCAATCCGTCATCCATAGCAGGAGGCACTTTGCAGACATGAGCGGAGATGATGTTTTGGAGATGGGTTGCTTTGAGGGGCTGTAGGTCTTTAAGAACTGCGTCGCAAATTGCATTGACCTTGGAACCTTGGGGCTTTGTAACTGGAAGCGTTTCTGGGGCCGCGCTGATGCTGTGAAAGTGAGACTTGGATCGCTTGGTGTCTTGATACATGGTCTGCGTGACATCTTCTTCCCTAAGCGATGAGAGGAAAAGGTCGATATAAGAGACCTCGCTGAGCTGATCCAAGAAGAGTCCAACGCTTGAGAGGAACTGTTCGGGCTTGTGATCGTACAGAATGTTCATATCAACTCGCTGTGATCGGCAGTATGAAAATGCACGCGCATAATTCTTCTCGTCGATTAAGCTTCTGATACCAGCAACAACCATAGCTCTAGGGAAGATGGTTTCCAGGTTGCCTCGCGGCATCTGAAGCACAATGCTCATATTGGTTGGCATGGCTGTGACCAGACGAGAGCCACGTTCTACGCTGCGGCAACGCTCATCCTTTTCGGGGTCATCGCCAGGGACTTCCAAATCTGCGTCCACGTTAGATACTATGACTCAGTTTTATGACATGTATACTTACCCTCTATATCTGCTGTCAAGTGCACGTACTTGACAAAGTGATTGCTAGTAGTGTAAATTAGATGATTCGGCGTAACAACAAAAGAAGTGCAATTCTTGGCCAACAATCTAGAGTTGGCAAAAATGTGTCCCGCTCTCGAAAGTCCAAAGGCCATCTCAATGTCTTCGTGCTTGCTGACTTCGAACCACGGAAGCTGCGTTGTGAACTGGAAAGGAAGAATCTCAACTCCCGAGTTTGAGAGCCTATACAACCTGCCGGATTGGTCTTGGCCATAGCTCTCAACAGTAGAATCATCTTCGCGAGTGGCGGTGGCCCCGAGGACCAAATTACTGTCCAGCATGCTGATTTCAGCAGCATTTCCTTCGCCAGTCGATACCACCAGCTGCAGATGGCCCAAGTCATCCTGGTAGCTCATACAACGCAAGCTGTTGTCCGCCACCCAGCAGATTCTTAGAGGTATATGATGCTCTGGCATATTAGGGGTATCAAAGGGCAGCTTAAGCACCTCCACCGGCTTAATTGATCGCCCATTTTTCAAGGGCAGCTCATAGAGGTCTACACCTTTCTGGTGCAGAATCGCAAATGAAGAGTTTTGGCGTCCAAATGCTACGTCAACGACAGAAGACTCCGCCTTGACCTCGAACAAGGACATGGGGGGAGGCACATTGGCAGTGCGGAAAGGTGTGATCTTGACAGTTTCACCATCAATGACGGCAACTACTCCATTATCATACGGTAGCCGGCATGATCCTCGCGACGTGTGGAAGATTTGCTCGGCGAGAATCATGCTCTCCGTCGACACTGCAGCAAATCGAAGGGCCTTCTCCGAGTGCCAAGCCAGACAGGCAAACCCAGGGTCCATGGCAATTTCTTGCTTCAAATACCAATGGTAATTGCCCGTCGTCCAGAGCTGGATCGTATCGCTGAGAATGACAGCCAAAACAGTCGAGTCTGAGTTCCACTCGAGTCGAATCTTGGTGTCGCTAGCATCCAAGGGGGAGCCATTTGGCGATCGCAGAGTAAACTGCCCGTGGCGCAGACCGTTGCGCTCGAAAAACACAACATCGACTCTATCCGCCAAGCGCTGAACACCGGCAATTAGATTACCAGATGGCCTCCAGCTCAAAGCGCCTTCGAATCCGTCCACGGGCTCGCTGACACTATCCAGCTCTCCCTCACGAGAGTAGACTCTGATGGCGCGCCGAGAGCCGTTTTGCACCGAGTTGACAGCTACAAATGCACCGTCCCCTCGCCAGCTGATGGACGCAAATGCATCTTCGTTTGAGCTCGGAAGTCCCTGGTCGACCTTGAGTGGGATCGTGGGATCTCGGAGGGCCTTGGCGCCGCGGCCTTCGAACTGCGTCTCTTTCTTGCCCCAGCCTACGGAAACATGCTTTGAGGCCTTGAGATCCTCTTCCGTCATGGTAACCTCTGCGACAGGATCGTATGTGCTGCCCATGAAGACGACGGTATCGGCCTTTGTGACCACCGTCAGCAGTTCGCCGTCGGGAGACCATCGCGCCGCCGCAATGCCGGCATCGATGGATCCCATGATTTCAATGTGCACATCAAAGGGCCCTCCTGGTTCTTCGCGAACCGTAATGATATCGCCGCCTTCCAGAACGACGCATGTCGTGGCGCTGCCGCTCAAGTACTGAAGGTTGACGATTCGGTCGACGAGGAGATCGGGGGTGGGACTGGGCGCATCCCAGCGGGCGATTGTGCGACGGGTTCTTGAATTTCATGTTAGTTTTGGCGTTTATACTTGTTCTGAATATTGCATCAGATGAACCAGAGGCTTCGCTACAAAAAGAGAAGCAGCCACAAAAAGCCCAAGCAGCAAAAGTTGCTGCCCCGCCCCCGCCTTGAGTCTCACAAAACAGCAAATATTCGCAAAGACGCACATTGAATCCTTGTCCGACAGCCTCACCAGCTCGATGGTCTGATTCTGCACCGTCGGCCCAATGGAGCACACGACTTCGTCAGTCTCGGGATCCCAGCAGGCGGCAGTCAAGTCCGGATGCCGCCATCTTCCGAATCGGAGGTTGCGAAGGTTGCGCATCGTGAAGCGGCGGCTTTGGAGGGGCTCAGCGCATGGAACAGGGAAAAAGAAAAGAAAAGACCCCTTGTCGATGGGCTGATGGAGCGGGTGAGCGTTGCGTGAAGAATCGAACGACTAAGCTTCGATCTGCTCTTCTCGTTTTCGTTGTTTGATTCCTTGGTGTCTCAAGGTTGCATTCGATGCTCCTTTCAGTCAGGCGTTGACGGAACTTTTTTTTTTTTTTTTTTTTTTTTTTTTCTCCCTCTTCCGTCTCCCAAAGCTGGGCTGCTGGAGAAATTGATGGCTCGCCGCCTGAGCCCATTGTAACTTTTGCGCCAGATCGGCGCTAACGGCCCCGAAGTTGATTTATGTCTGGAGCTCAGTAAACACTCATCTATAAGATCAATTACCAAATGAATGCAAGGCAAACTAGTCTCAACGCAGTAGAGTATGTCATCACAGATCTTTTACTAGTTGTATATAATTGACTGTCTCCTTGCGGAAACAAACAGGAATCTCGGCAGTTGCATCCATCACCAGCAAGTGCAACATCAACTGTAAATCACCACGAGACCGGCGCTTTTGCAGCGTCATTAGCGGCTCTACAGTGCGTGCAACAGCGGCTGGTGACGGCACTCGGCGAATCACAGGCAGCCTCCAAACCTCGGGAACTTGCTTTCCCTGCTGGAGCTAAAGCCATCAACCAACGCCCGACTCCTCTCTTGACTTTCCCTTGCCTGCTTGGTGTGTCATTTCTCGCCGCTGACCGCCGATTGCGATTTTCTTATAATTCCATGTCTGAGTGCCTTCGTTTGAAAGACTTTGAGAAGCTCTAATTGACTACTTTGGCCATCGGCGGCTTTCTGTTCAACTACCTGCACCTCCATCATGGACGTCTCTTACATTCCTCATGCCGAGCGCGTCCGCCGCAAGAATCGATCATCCACCAATGTCAACCACCTCTCGCTTGCTCCTCTGACCACCAAGCTTCCCCTCGACGACGATGAGCTTCTAGTTGACGCTGGCGTGCCGGTGCCCCGTCCCAGCACTTCGTATCTACAAGGCAAATCCGCTCCCACCACGCCTCGGCTGCTCGCCAGCTCCGCAACCAACCCTCACTCGCGCTCGAGATCACGAAACCGCACAGCCTCTGCCTCAGGCGCCCCAATCACCAAGAGCAAATCATCGTCGCACCTTGCCAGCGGCCATCATGCGACGAAGAAATCCACGTCGGGCACAACGACCCCCCGCCGGCGGCATGACGATGGGCCTGATGGCGACTGGCTGCTGAGGACCGGCGCAATGATGACTTTTGAGGCGAGAGAGTACAAAGGCCAGTCATGGCTCATCTCGCGCCAGAGCTCTACAAGCCTCACAGGCATCCGGAATTTTGAGGACGTGGCGTTTGAAGACGAGCTCGCGCGGGAAAGGGAAATCACAAGCATGCTTACAAGCAGGCGCGGCAGTCTGGCCGACGACGACATGTCTATTTCCGTCATTGGCAGCAAAATCCACAGTCGGTCTCAGAGCCGATCCCACAGCATCCATGGCAGCCGGAGCCAGCTCATGACGCCCATAGAACGGACCTTGGACGAGGCCTCCTACTTCCCCAACCAAGAGTCGCTCGCCGGCCCCGATTTCGTCGATCTCGACGAGAGGCTGGAAGAGCTGGAGCGAGACACGCTCGAAGACGCCGAAGCCGACGTCAAGAGGCTGATGCGCCGCGGCACCGGGGCCAAGGCGTCATGGATGACTGGCTTCATGGGATGGTCGCTCTTCTCGGTGGACGAGCACGAGGAGGAGACGGACGATGACGACGAGTCAGAGTACGACGAGTCACTGGCAGATTCGCAATCGCACGTGGACCGCAGTGCTTGGCTGAGGCGTCACGTCGAGGGGCCTTTGGACCCGGAGGACTTTGTGCCGCCTCCAACAACGGACGAGGGAGGCTGGAGTGATGCGGCTTGGCTGCTTAGCGTAGCATCAAAGGTCATCTTTTAAGAGGAATCTACATTTTGTTTTTCTAAAGCACGAATACGAACAGCGCCTTATTGCTGGCGGTAGTAATGGAATCTACATGTCAAGTCACGATGAGAACCTTTTTTTTTACTCTGAACCTTTCAACATAATGTATTAATAGTAGCAGGCTTTCTTCCCCAGATAAAGGATCGATCGATCGATCGAGCTCCAGTGGAGACGCCCGTAATAGCAAACATGTCTCTTTGTGTCTCTCTCAAGAATAATACACCTTGTGCAAAGCTTCAGTATTTCTCACCACACAAGACAGTCGCCCTGTACATCTTCCCGCAATAAGCCACCAATCTTACTTACATGTAGGGTCTCGCTACGGCTTGGTACGGCTCTTGGATCATACGCTTGAATTGTTAGTCCTGTCCGAGTGCATATGCAGACGCAAAGCCTGTTTTGGCGAACGCACGGCCAGGGATTCTCAGCCATCCAATCTCCACCACCGCTCAGCTTAGGCACGGACGGCTTCAAGCCGTAGCATCGCCTGTCATTAAACGCGCAGATGCTCGGTTCCAAAGCTCACGCGGCGTGCCCGTAGTGGACGTTCCCAGGGATGCTAATAAGCTCGCATATAGCGCAATCAACCCAAAGAACCGGCAGAGAGGAAGCCTAGACTTCCGTCTCAAATCGTGGCCATGGCGTCCTCATCTGGCCCCCTCTCTTGGCCAGACACAATTTCAAGTGCCGTTGGATTCTAATCCCCACACCTGGCTGCTGGGAACGCCACCAAGACCACGATGGATGGCTGGACCGGTGGGAAGGGCTCGCCACTGGCTCTGCTGCTCTGAGTTGTCAGGCGTTTCGCTCCGTCTCCCAATGCATCTGCGGAGTATGTATCATTACGGGGCATGGCAACTCCACGAAGCGCGCATGAGTCCATCTCGGTACCTAATAGGAGCAGCTCGTCACCCTCATAGCCGCTTCCAATTTATCCCAAACATGCAACAACTACTTGTACGTGCATATGCCATGTACGAGCATGCAAAGTACAGTATGCAACCGCTCGCTGTCACGGGTCCCAAATACATGTACACTGAAGCCATCAATACCTTACTGTAGATGCCGCGTCCACTAACAGTCTCTGGGAACTGGAGCTGAGCCCCGACCCATGGCGGCAGCCCAATGCCGGAACGCCGGCTGGATTTTTGAGACAAAGCTCGCTGGGATCGGGTAACAGAGGCGAGGGGGGGCGACAGGGGGTTCTGTCACTTACAATCCCAGGCCAAGCATCGCCAAATCCGAGCCCTTGGAGTTGGGCCGCTCTCGGTTCGCGCTGTCGGGTCACGATGGACACGACCAGCCGTTTTGATGGCATGATTCCAAAGCCTCCATTTGGCGAGAGATACTAGTATACACAATGCTTGCATGAAGCCTGTTTTCAAGTCAAATAATAAAAAGCAGGCACTACTATGCATAAGTAATAAATGCAGCCCATACAGTCCTTACATGGACTCGCTGACACCACTTCCTCCCTTACAGCCAACAGGGGGACTGCTCCAGCTAGAGGGAGCCGAAATATTCGGTCCATTCCATGGTTCGTTTTTCTTGCTTTTTTCTTCGTCTCTCTAAACTCGAGTCTCTTGGTTGCTTTTTTTGGCCCTACGTGTAAGCCCTTTCCTCCTTTGCCTTGGATGCGTATCCGTGGCCAATCAACACCCCACAGCCGTTTGGCGGCATGTAAGCCATCAATTTACTACTGGACTAGTATTACCCATTGATACCCGGCAGACCTCGCTAAGAGCTGTAGGGAGGTGATGCAGGTGTTGCTTTTTCTTTGCTCTTTGCTTTTTAATATTGAATCCTAGCCTTGATTTTTCCTTGATACATACCTCCTAAGGGGGGTTGTTGTTCACTGCCGAGGATGCGGTGAACAAAACCCTAGGCAATGAGTGGTGCCATTGCAGCCAAAGATGGATTCTATTTCACAACCGCGAATATTGTTTCCCCTCCAAGCGGAATTCCCCTCTCTATTTACGTAGTCTTGTTTCCTCTCCCGATAGTTCACGAGATCGTCGAGTAAAAACCCCGGACAACTGGCCATCTCGCCCAAGCTGATGTCACCATACATTCTTTTGCACCCAAAGCCAGCTGTATATCCATCCCCCCAGCCCATCAGCCACTGCCAATAAGAGCCGGCCATCACTCACAGCGGCATCTTCCCAAGCGTCCAGACAAGGGGCCTTTGGCCAAACGATCGCTAACACGGGCCCACCGCCAGATGATCAAGGCCAGCGCTACTCTCCACGGCCCGCGTATGCGTCCCGAAACCGTGGCGGCCTGGTTTTTGCCTCTTTGGCTCGTGTCTGATGCCAAGGCTGCCAAAGCGAGGGACCGGCCCTCTCTCTCTCCCTTTGCTTGCGGCTTCGTGTGTCTCACCTGCTCAGCCCGGCCTCAATACTTGGCAGATGCATAACAAAATAAAAGGCGTCAACGTCAAAAGCAGCGCAATGCATGTGAGGAGTACTGCATTAGCAGGCAACCATGTATGCAACGATTATACTGCGAGTCCACCACGGCTTGATTGGAATTTCGGGGGCTGTTGGTCGTGCGCAAGTGCAAAACGACTTTTGGGCTTTCGGTCTCGACCCCGGTCACCGGGTTGCCCTCTCCCGGGTCTCTCTTCTTTCATTTGTTTCTTCTTTGTTGATCTGTCATAAAAGGTCAAGCTCGGTATAGGCCATGGCCAGTTGAGCACATTGCAGCGCAGGCAGTCTGGAGCTGCCGCATAGTCTATGCCTGCATATGCATGCGGCAAGCTGAGCTTTTTTGCGCCTTCTCTCTCCTACCTACATATTAGACTAGCCAACCTCCTTCACGTGTTTTGATTTCCTTTCTTTTCATTTCTCTTCTTTTTCTTCTTGTGGCTTTCGAAATCTGGACCTTCCTTTTTGACAATCTCACTCATTGAATCCTTCATTCTCTTTGCTCCATCCGAGTCTGTCGACAACGTCACTGAACACTCACGCACGCCAAAAACAAGGAATCAAGGTGTATGGCCCCCAGCTCTCCAGCTGCATCACCGCCGCAGAGAGAAACATGCTGCTGAAACCAGCGGAGCGGTGCCACTCGTCCCATTCTCATTCTCCCCTTCCATCCGCATCTCGTCGCTCCAAGCCCCCCGGCGCCGTCGAAAAATGGCCATGGCGGCCAACCTCGTCTCGCAGGGCCACGCCCACGACGAGCGCACCCGGATCGTCATGTTTGTCTTCTTCAGCCTGGCCCTCTACAACGCCGGCGAGCTGATGTGCCACATCGCCGTCACCTTCAAGCACTACCGCGGCCTCTACTGCTGGAGCTTCGTCGTCTCGACCGTGGGCATCGCCCTGGGCGCCGTGGGCTACCTGCTGCGCACCATTGGCGGCTCGCTGTCGACGTACGTCTACACGGCGCTGGGCATCTTTGGCTGGGCCGCCATGGTCACGGGCCAGTCGCTGGTGCTGTACTCGCGGCTGCACATTGTCCTGCCTAGGGAGAGGCTGGTGCGCGGAGTGCTCGTCATGATCATTGTCAATGCAGTCTGGCTGCTGGTGCCCATTACGGTGCTGATTTTCCTCTGCAACACGCCGAGGGCGGAGCAGTACGAGCGGGCGTACTTTGTCTTTGAAAAGATTGAATTGACAGTCTTTTTCGTGCAAGAGGTCATCATTTCGGTGCTGTATATCCGCGAGACGTACAATATCCTGCGCAGTTACAGGGGACTCGTGACTGGCTCATACCGCACGACCATGGTGCATCTCATACTCGTCAACCTCGTCATCATCGCTCTGGATATCAGCATCTTGGTCCTCCAATTTACCGACAACTACGACCTCCAGACCGCGTGGAAGCCTCTGGTATACAGCATCAAACTGAAGATGGAATTCAGCGTGTTGAATCGTCTTGTCGAACTATCCCAGTACATGCGGCGCAACAGGGGCCTCGCCCTCATTGACACGCAGACAGTCGACCCGGCCATTACTCTGCCGCTGGGCGTCGTTAACACGGAAGACGGCAGCATCATTGCGAGGAGGAGAGGCACCGTCGACGAATCCAACTTTTCGGCCGCCACATCAATTGCTCCTCCCAAGACACCCAGGAACAACATTCAGCATGAGATGTCGGTCTCGGTATCGGGGTTACAAGTATAAATCAAGGGGGATATTTACAAAGTGTCGTAACAGCAAATTGGGGCGTTTTGGGCGGTAGCAATATCAGAACTTGTCACTACCGGGAGTTGGGCGGCATCAGTTACAGTCGGAATAGTATAATTCTCGTGCATATTTTTGGATACCAGCATACACGGTAGCGCTTTGTATTTTGTTTCATTTTTCGTGTGACTCGAACGCGGCAGGGAATTTTGGGACGGAGGAGTTTAATGATACGAGTATTCACGTTAAAGGGGGTTTTAATACACATGGAGTTGTATATCCAGGACGCTTTTTACTTGAATAATAATGCTGGCATGGGAGAATTTCATCAACAGCAGCTGCAGAGTCCAACAATTAGAACGTTTTAGATGTTTTAGAAGTACGAAGCTGTCATTCAAACATATGGAGTACCGGTAAATTAGTGTTACTCCAGTTACTCCGTATTATAACCTAAAATAAGATTTAGCACCTGTCGCCGGTGGATCCCGGATCTCGCCAGGAGCCGGATTTGCGTGTGTGGTGTTTTAGTCTGGTGCTCAGAACAATTGCTTGATCATCTATATATAGGATAGGATAATGATGGGATAGAATAGCTATTTCAAGGGCGTTTTAGTTTGTTTGCATAAATTGGCTCTCTAGGTAGTGTCCAAGCATCTATATTTTTCATGTAAACCCGGCACTTGAACGACATCCATCCCATGTCCCTCCATTCCAAGACACGCCTCAGCTCTTCCTCTCCAGCCCAGCTCCGCCCAGCTGACGACGCCAGGCGCCGGCTTCTTGATTACATCCGCAAGCCATCTTTTTTACCTTGGTGCCCATAATATGGGGAGATTTTGGTCTGGCTGTTGCCCCTCCACTGCCATAAGAATGTGTAATACAGCACTCATCAGGGCGTTCTTTTTTTTGCCACGCCGGCAAGTCAAACAAGCCCGTTCAAACGTTCCGAAGAGCCGGGTCGTACTGTATGTAAAAGGGCTTTTTAAGTATCGAGCCGTTTGAAACTTCCAATTCTTGAGTCAAGCAAGAAAGGCTCAGAGTGGAATTGCTCCTTAAACCCTCTGGTAATTTTTTCATCCTTCTTTTTTCTTCTCAAATCAACATCATGATTTGTACAAAATGCCCGAAATGAGTGACGCGAACAACGATAAGATTGTCGTCGTGCCCCAGAGAAGCCTTCCTCCCTCTCCGCCTCCGTCTCCGTCGCCTCCTCCCGACCCAGCACCAGAACCGCCGGCGCCTGCTGTCGCGGCTGCGAGCCGTCCATCCCGCGGCCTTGCTGCTGGCGACGATGCATTTCCCTCTGCGGTGGCCGACGACGAGAATGAATTGCCGCCTTCATACGAGATTTCCACGCTGTAGGTAGTCCCTTTGAATTATACACAGTCTTCATCAAATGGGCATGTATCACATCAATGGAGAGAAAATCCAACTGACAAAAACAGCCCCCGGCCAAGCGATGCCCACGTCCACATCACCGTCAGATCCAACACCAGCGCCTCATCCCTGCCCTCGCTCACGGCAGGCCGGCCCGGCGCCCGCGGCAGCATCAACACGCAGGGCTACGTCCTCACCGCGCCCATGAGCCATCAAACCACCAGCTCCCGCCACAGCGCCTCCCACAGCCATCACGACGACCACGACCCCATTACCTTTTACGGCGTCGAAGACCCCTGGGTGCGGCACATGTACAGCGGTTCTGATTACACGACGGCATGCCCCTGCTGCTGCTTGAGCTCTTGCTTGGCTGACGGGTGTTGCTTCTCCAACCGCCATGGATGCTGCTTTTCCGATCGCGGCGGCCTCTGCTTTTCCGATCGTCGAGGGTGCTGCTTTAGCGATCACGCAGGCTGTTTCTTTTCGGATAACGGAGGGTGCTTCTGTTCTAGCCAACCAGGGTGCTGCTGTTCTAACGATGAAGATGAGAGGCTGCCGGTGATGCAGAGTAATGCGAGGTCTGTGTGAAGACGTTTTTTCCTTGAAACTCTTTTTTTTTTTTTTTTCTCGCTGGCGTTCCGAGCAATATATCCACGGGAAAGGGGGGGGGCTGGACGGTAGAAATGGGATACCATGCAAAGGCACAAGGAGTTTGTTGGCGCATTTCGGTCAAGCTGATTTTTTTATTTCTGTATCATCATCTGTATTTTTTTTTTTTTCACTCTGCTCGGGGGGTTCTCCCATCAAGAGCAGTCAGCGTTATCTAGCAGCGAAGCTTGAAGCGTCGCCTAACTTGTCACGAAATTCGAACATCATATATTCCAGATCCTAGGAATACAAGAAAGAAGAGAAAACATGCTCCATTTCCATTGTGAAAAGTTTTGTTGACGAGAAGATGGAAAGAAAGCGAATCTCATCGCTTGCTTTGCTTTGCTTCCAAGTTGCGCACATTTTCATAAATCACACATATCAAATTCATATGTCGTCGTCATCGCTTCTGCACATCACATTCATCAATATCAGAACAAGTCACTTCATCATAAATCACCATGACCATCACCACGTAGACTGCGTCGAGCCCAGCATAAGCTGCCGCTGATAAAACCTCCCCCCCGTAAACGCCGTATAAATGTCCTCCACTCGCTGCTCCAGGTTCTTGTCCGAGCGAATGGCCTTTTCCACCCGCCGCAGGCGAGACCGGCTCAGCATCACGCCCTTTGGCCGGCGGTCCTCAAACGCGTACCAGCAGTGCCGCAGCTCGTGGCCCTTGAGGTTGCAGGCCGGGCAGAGCGGTGAGTCGTCGGCTTTCCAGGAGGCGGCGTCGGCGTCGTTGCCGAGGGCCACGTCTGCTTCCGATGAGGCGGAGAAGTCGAGGTCGCGGATCTCGCGGTAGACTTCTAGAAAGGTCCATATCCGGTCTTCTTCGGCGGGCATGATGGCGGCGGCCAGTTCGACGACTTCTTTGTCGTCCCGGAAGGGCTGTGGTGGCACAGGGACAGATGGTGCGTTGCTGTTGCTGTCGCTTTGGGAGTCTTCCCGTCGATGACTGTTATTGTTGCTGCTGCTGCATTTATGCGTCTTCTTGAAAGCAATCGCGGCCTCTGCTTCACTCCTCCACTCAATCGCCGCAAGATCCAGCTTGTCAGCCCCCAGCATCAACCTCTCAAACAACCCCGGCGAATACGGCAAGATGCAATCCGCCACATCTCGCAACCACGTCCCGCAGTGCGTCTCCGGGAAATTCAACCTGTGGCATCTCGTCACCGCGCTGTACCACTCGTGAGCCCAGTCCTCCTCGACGCCGCTGCTCTCGCCCTCCAGGTCGAACCGCTCCAGCACGTTGTTGTAGTGAACCCGCTCCATCTCAATCCGCTGGCGATACGTCGGCGCCGTGGAGGCCTTGAGGATCGCCATCCACTCACGCAGCGAGAGCTTCTCGTCCAGCGCCTCGGCCTTGGCCGGCACGACGGTGCGCAAGATCAGCGCCTTTGTCTTGTCGACCATTTCGCCGCGGCGGTCAAACTCCTGCTTCTTGGAGTAGTAGATCTTGTTCTGGTCATGGTACAGGCCGAACTCGTCCCTCGTCAGCTCCGAGACGTCTCTCGCGTGAGGGTTAAACTGCTGGACCTGCGGCGGCACCGGACAGGCGGGCAAGTCGTCGGCGGCCTTGTCCGACCACATGTAGCGCCAGATGAAGACGTCGATGTAGGGCTGGATATCGCGCCGCCACTCATCCCAGTCGCCGTACCACTTGAGCACCTTGGGCTCATGATCCAGGTCATCCAGCAGCGTCGAGTCGTCGTCTGCGGTGCTCCTCCAGATGGCGGGCTGAGGATGCGCCTGGGCGCTGGATTCCAGAACAGACATTGTTGATTTAATGATTCTTGTTTAATTTTGCAGGATTCTTTCTTTCTACAATCGGGCGATCAGCCGTAGCGCCTGCGTCGGGTTAGGCCTCGAAGCGGGATAAAAAGAAGGTTGATCCATAAGGATGAGATTCGCCTCTCAGTCGGGGGAGCCCTGAAGCGAAGCGAGACCAGCCACACTGATCGCTTGGAAAAGCGCTGAGGCTGTCCCTCCCCGTACACACTGACTGGCCTAATTGCATTATCGGCATGTCGAGGTTCCACCTGCGAAAGAGGCCGAATCAGACGATGCGCTTCAGTTAGTCGCCTGGAGAGTTGACGTGTAATGCTGTGCTGTCAGCGGGGGGCGAAAAAAAAAAAGTGAAAAAACGAAACAGAGTGCAGCATGCTCTTGAAACATGAAACAAGGTCCACCATCACTGGGAAGATGAGCAGGTGTTTTTCTAGTCTGACCTGGTGCTTTATCTAAGAGTGGTGAAATCCGGCCTCGGCGCAGGTATACCGAAGCTTGCGCCCGACGAGTGCCTGCCATGACGGATTACCCGGCAGTCGATTGCTATGTCGGCACAAACAGGAAACACACACGTAGCATCAGCATTCGTGTAAGCAGTACAATGTTCCCCGCACGCATAGCTTGCTGCATCAACACTGTCAAGGCCAAGGCCAAATGGACTGGCCAGCGGCAGAAGCTTAAACGCAGCAGCTGGAGGCGCCAGGGTGGAGTAAAGACGCCCTCGGCGAAGCCATACAGACACCGGAATCCTTACCTTGGACGAGGTCACTCATCATTGGATCAACTCGTTCAGCTCAACCAACATCGCAGTACATGTATACAGCATTCCAAGGCTGCAGCAATGAGCGACATCGCAGTATCACAACGCGTTTCCCCGCTTGATATCAGCGACTCGTCCATCCCCGGCGCCCAGCTACAAGTCATCCGCCAGGCCGCCGACCCTTCAGTCGTCCACGACATCTCGTCCACCCTCTGCAAGCCCATCAACTCCAAATTCGACTTCCGCGTCGCCTGCGTAGCCCTCGACGACATCGTCAGCCACCTGCCCCTCGCCACCATGGAGCTCTACAGACCAGCCCTGGAGACGCTGGCCTCTGCCGGCAGCGCACCCAGTCCCGAGGGCGTTTCAGTGCCCTGCCTAGCAGACCGGGCAAGAGACGCCCTCAAGTTCATCGACAACCCGCATCTGGCGTGGGCGCCGCAGCACAAGAACGACTGCATGGCGGACCGAAGCCTCGCGGAAAGGGTTCACACGGCGGAGCAAATGGAGCCGTATGTGGACGAACTGCTCGGCTGGCTTGCTGATCCCAATTGGCCGCCTTATCTGGGCTGCCAGAAGCAGCTTGCCCGGTTCCCTGAGGTGACGATTGATCCCATCAAGGAGGTTATTCTCAAAAATCGAAGCGATCCAGAGTGGCTGCTGTACATCCTGGACTTTGTAGAGGGGCACGTGCCCGTGGGGACGTTGTGGAAGAGAATAGAGCCCGAGCTGATTCAGCTAGCGAATGGCGAGGTCGAGGATGAAGAGGGCGTCGTCGAGCTGCCGAAATCTGCTCAACGCATGCTGAGGTTGCTGAAAGAGGCGGGTGAAACGGATGCAAGTTGATCAACTGTGAGATCAACTGTGAGATCAACACTCCTCTCAAAGTAATCAAACATAAGAGAGCAAATGTATACCTTGAAACTAATGAATACATGTAAATTTGAAGCAAAACCAAGATGAATTTTTGCTCTTCATCTTGTATCAATGAAAGTGGAGTTGAGTTGCCCTGTCTCATTAGTTCCTCGGTTATGAAAATGTTCATGGGCAGCGCTGCGCTCCTGACTCATGAATAAAACGACAAAGCGGACTGTGACTATATACATCTCCAAAGTCTGCTGCATTGATTTTTGCTCAAGATGGAGGACATCATCATCCCCAAAGCTTGATGATCCTGGTCACGGTTGAAAGTTGCCATGTTATAGTGGGTAATGTGAGCAGCGGTCAGGCTGTCCAGGGCATCTTGCTGCTGGGCCATGTTGCAAATTCACGCACAAGCTTCATCATGTTTGGCGACGATGTTCAAGATTTGGACAGCATGTCGAGATATATGCGTTAGGATCAAAAAGATCCAACAGATTTGTGGCAAGAATCTGAGTCCGCCTGAGCTACGGCATATATATCATCTCAGTATGCCCTGCACAGATCAAATGAGCCGAAAAGGGCAACAAAGGGCGATGCTATATGCCTTCATCGTGCTCCAACACCGAAAGTTTACTAAAGCCGACTTCGTGTTACTGTGCCTGTTGGGGCACAAGATATTAAGAGGTTACGCAGTTCTCGAATGGGCGACTCGCTGCATATTGATAGGACCAGTCTCGACGTTGTGAGCTTTTTCTTCTGTCCATAGCTCAGCCAGCAGCAGTCTATTACCCATGTTACTTCTTCATCAGGCTGGCCTAGGGATTTTCAGCCGCAACTTGGCCCTGGCCGCGTACCAAAGCTGTCAGCCGACTGATGCTTAGACGGCTTTTGAGTGATTATTCGTTTGGCGTGTCTCTGGTAAATAGTTTCCAGACGGTTCTACGACAACGGATGGCCTTGTTCGCCGAGGCTGTCCGACCCTCCATGTCAAGTCAGCTGCTGTTGATCCTACTACCACTCTGCTGCTTGCGAGCCAATTGTCGCTGTCGTATTGACTGCCGTTGGGGCTTGCGCTGATTCGTCCCACCGGGTGTCACCATTACAACATCCAGCTTCGCTGCTCTCTCTTAATGCCATGCAGGATCAACTGAGTCGCTAGGGCATGGATGCTACTGTGGCCGCGCTTGCTGGGCCAGAGGGAGGTGTTGACGACTGCAGATCATCGCCTCGTTGAGAACAAGAGACACAGCAATGAAAGTCTAGAACATCCATGGGCACAAAGGAACGGCATGCCAAGCCGGGCTCTGGCTTCAAGGATACTCAGTCAAGAGTTGCGGAGGTGTAGTGTGGTCCGTTGAGAAACGCCACAGTGAACTTGCCCGGCTCTCTCCAGCATGGATCTGGCTGCTCATGCCGTCGTTTCCTCCAGATACTGATGAAAAGAGTATCCAGCAACAAGCTCTTTTTCTCGTCCTTTATGCGGTTCTGACGAGAATTAGTGTACCATACGATAGTACCAAGGTAGGTAGCACCAGCAACTTGTAGGGCTCCCGTCAAAGGCCTCGTAGGGCCTAGTGCTTCTCCCTTGGGCGCAAACTGTGGGCTATTGCGTGAGACGGCGTGGATCTTCGGATTCTCGGGGCTGGGTTGCTGGACTAGACTCTTGCTTCTGTTCCCCCTCAGCGAGCCGGGATGATAAGGGGTTTCGCTATTGCAGCTTTGCATGTACAAGTAGGTACATGGGACTCCATATTGGGTATTAGTGCTCCGTCGCATCGGCTCAGCTGCTTGTTCTGCTCTGCTGTGCCTCCTCGGAACTCCTGCTAGGAGAGAATCAAGGTCGGCTGTGCTCCATACTGGTACACAGCTGGGATCGTGGACGTCGGAGGTTTAGCAGGAGGCTCCTTGCAAGCCATGCAGAGTCACGAGGCCCCGCTGGAGCTCGACGGCAGGGCAGGCGGGCAGGTAGCAGTACACGCGGCTAGTCTCTCTACAGTAGAATAAGGCCTAAATAAAGCACAGCATGGCATGTGCAAGATGACTCAAAGTCTCCAGAAAGAGACGCATGGGACCTGCTAACTTGATGCGCATTGTCGGGTCGATGCAATGGGAATGAACATGGCTCCGCTGAGAGGTTGCTGGCGCCAAGATTCGATCCTACATGTACCTATGATACCCAAGTATAAGTTCCAATGCAGGCACTTATTAACGGTGGCATTTCCCGAATGAGCAGAGCTAGGGCTTGTGGGATGACTTCACTCCAGCTAATAAAATATATTGTGTTTGGTACGTCAAGATATACAGTGCCGTACCAGTATATTGTACCTGTCTAAGTGCGCTTGGAGGCGTAATGAAGCGAGCGCCGGCTGTGGCTGGGCAAAATAAAAGGGCCTCTATGCAACCGAAATAAAGAGAAATAAATTATTAATCAACATGGTCAACATTGAATGAAAAAAGGCAGCAGCACTAGAAGAATACGCCCAACCTCGTGGCATCTCGCCGTTCCACCTCCCCTGCCGCATTGCAAAGTTGGTACCCAAACGAGCGAGGTGATGCGCTGCTCACAGAGTCTAGAACCGCAAAGGCCCTTTGTCAGGTGGGAGGAGCCCTGCAAATATGATGTAACCGCCTCCCGCAGCGACGGGTCCCCTGCAGCCATAGACGTAATGGGCGCCATCAGCTCGGGAAGCAGGAGGCTCAAAGCAGCTGGTGCCAGGTGCTGCTAGCACTAGGTACTGCTGCTACAACTCCACGATCCGGACCTGCAGCGAGGCATCTCGCATGGCGATGGCATCAACTTGGATACGACCAGAGGGCGATTCTGTTCTGTGAGTGGGCATTTGGGCCAGCCAGCAAGACCATGAGTATTTATGTGCAAGGAGGTGGCATCTTGCTCTTCTACCCTCTTCTCTCGCTGCTTCTTCTCCCTTATCTCACCGAGTGGTGGGATGTGGGATGCCTCATTCCGGCAGCAGCAAAGCTACCCTACCACACCTCATGGCTTCTGAACCTCTCAACAGCCCGACTCTCTCTTTTTTCTCCTCGAGGACGGAATTAATCCATACATTCCCTGCTTCTTGTGACCCCTCACCCCCTCCTCTCCTCCCCCTCCATGTTGCGGCCCTGCACACCCCTCCATGTGTTGAAGCCTGTCCATTTCTCTTCTCCTGGTTCGGCTCTCCGGTTTGATTCCCTCCCCTGCACCAGAGAACTTCTGCGTCGAGTTAGTATAATGTATGGAGGGAAGAGGACTTGCTCTTTAGAGCAAACCGCGGGCGGGTCGAAAAGGATCAATCGTGCTTGTACCTGGGTTTGCACGCGGGACCCCGGCCTCAGCACCTGCCTACATGCTACCCAAGGCCCTTTATAGGTATGAGGTCTTATATTGCTACACACATATTTGCACTTTGAGCATTGCGCGCAGGTGCTGGGTAATGCTGCCGACACTTGTGCCCTGCCACCATGGAAACTCCATGCAAGTGAGCAGCTTGTACTCCATACCTTGTCTGGAGAGCATCACCAGAGACGAACAAACTCGACACCAGGCCATGGTGGGGATTTGACTCTCCGCCAGCGTACGGACACTTCTCCCCGTTGCCCGTTTGAGTCGTGAATCGAGCTAGGCGGCGACAGCGCAGCTATTAGCTCGTCCATCAGGCCGGAGCCCTTTGGTCTAGATGCCTCTTGGGAGAAGGAGAACATGGTATCGCGCCATTTTTTCCCATGTCCGCCCACTGCTCAGAGCTGGTCCAGAAATACTGCGAGTAGCAGGTACATGCTTGTCTCAATAGCATACATGTATGTAATCTTTTGGTGCCGCCGGCCGGGACTTTGTCAAAGGACGACTGTGATGCGATGACGGCGCCACAAAACAGCCCATGGGGTTTGCCTCCCCCTGCACTTGGAAGGGGAAGGAGAATTAAAAGAGCGTATCACGCCCTTGCTTGTTGCAGCTGCACCCATTGGAAAATTCATGCGCAACAAACGGAGCCCCCTTTTGCTTGTGCAACCAGCATTGATGCCTTGTTCGCGGCGTTGCTGCCACCTTGGACGGTAGCATCAGGTGGTGCGGTACAGGTACAAGGCCGAAAACACCCAAAATACGGGGCGCTCCCCATCCCTTGAGCGCACTGCAGCAGCCACGGCGCCCACCCGCCAACCAATCTTCAGGCCTTGCAGCTCCACTATGCGGCCCGCTGTGACAAAGACGTCAGTGCCCCTCACCCCACTGACGTCTTTGGCGGCACAAGCCATGCATCAGCTTAAAAGCAAAATCCAATCCGGGTTACCGCGCCCTCAGCTCCCACGCACTTGTATGGACGCAGCTCTTAGCAGACACGCTACAGATCAACGCACTCCTCCATCACCGTGGTTTTTTCTTGGAGCATTTGCGTAGGGGGGAAGAGACAACAAAGACGCGCCAAGTGTCCAATCAGAAACGTCTCCGTCGGGTACTTTTGGAATATATTCTCTTGCTTAATTGCCTACCGTATGTTGGGTTTTGAAAATGCCACGAGGAAACGAAAATGAAAATGAAAAGTTTACGCCAGCCATTGAGTAGAAAATGGCTGGCAATACACCAAGTTTTGCCTAAAGAGGCGTCCGGGGAATCAACATGTTGGCTACATGTACCTGCCCGCGCGGTTGGGTGCGAGCTTATTGTGCCATGCACTTTACAACAGCCGTGGTCATGCTCTTTTTCTTCCACTACCACTGCCATATGACTTCTTTACCGCTTCCATTGGCCAGCGGAAAATAGAATAGAATCTCGGGAAAGAAAGTAGATGCGGTTGCTGATATAAGATGTATTGAAAGCTTGTAAATCGCATCTTCGATCCGAGCACCTGCTAGTCCTGTCGTAGCGCTCCCAAGATTCAATCAAATGTTCAATTCCATCTTGTCAATTTGTCTCGGCGAGGCAGCATGTAGCGATACTGCGGCGCCAGTTCATGCCAGGCAGTTATCGCGGAGCTTGCAGCGCTATCCGCTAGTCATGGCACCGCCTGTACGGCCTAGACCCAGCCTGTAAGTTGACGATTACAGCATGCTTACCTGGGAGGCCGTGTACATGTACCCATGCATGGGGTGCCGGTACCTTCCCGGAGCAGAGCACAGCTCTTTCTGCCTCCATCTTGTGCCCCTCTCCGCGGTGCCTTTTAGACGCTTGATTTCTTACCTCAACATCCACAGCGCTCTCGCGTGTTGCTTGACGATCTTTGCTGCTCGTCTCTCCCCGACGGGATCAAGACCCTCGTGCCCTGCCCGAGACGAAGCCAGATTGGTGAGCCAACCCTCGCCCGCTGTTTCACGATCCCCAGATCTCGGCACTGCGGCCATTCATATCGTCTGCTGCTCCAGTTGCTCCAGCTGCTCCAGCTGCTATTACCTGCAACCTGCAACAACCTGCAACCCGCATCCTGCATCCTGCTACCGGGACCCCTCCTCGCGGCTCCCCTCACGCAGCTTCCCTCAGACGTGCCGAGAGCGCAAAACTTGTCCACGCCCCCTGTCGCTCTAAACACCTCTATGTGCTTTTCTCCCTCCTTGTTATTTTTTAACCTTTTTTTCTTCCTTTCCTCGCATAGAGCTGACCGTCCCTTTTTATTGCAGCCTGATTCCTCGTGTCTAGCTGACCCTATTCACCCGTAGATCCTCACCTGGGTCTCCTTCTCACTGCCTGTGGGTCGCATTTCGTCAAACTATTAAAGCCGTCGCCGCGGACGCTCTTTGGCCCTCCCCCACTCTCAACTAAACCGCAACCCCTCTATCGCGGTCGGCTTCTCTCTGCTCTGCAACCGAGAAAAGCGCAGATTTCGCCCCTGACCTTGGCACATCTTCGACAATGGCGCTCCCCGACGACAAAGTTGGTCTTCCCGTAACCCCCCGCGAGCGTAATACAGACTAACAATGCTGGATCTCTAGGAACTCGAGGCCATCTTCGGCGATACCATCGACCTGACGACATTCAAGCAGATTCTCGAGATGGACGAGCCTGGTGACAACGAGTTCAGCTCGTCCATTGTGTTTGGATTCTTTGATCAAGCTGAGGAGACCTTTGCGTCCATGGACACGGCCCTGTATGTTACTCCTACAACCCATCGTTGTGCTGCGCTCTCGGATACTCTTTACATCATCCCGCTTCTGGCGTTATTTCCCTCCCCCTTTCTGTCATGAGACGGGGTGCAATTCTTTTAACCCCTCGCTTACATGCACACCACTACCCTCTGTCATCTATCTTCTCTCGTTCTTCTCACTTTTACTGACGCTTATCCTTCTCTTCAACTCATAGGGACGAGGAAGATCTCGAAAAACTGTCAGAACTCGGGCATTTCTTAAAAGGTTCCTCCGCGACACTAGGCTTGGTCAAGGTTCGCGATGGATGTGAAAAGATCCAGAGATATGGCAAGCAAGAAAACCTCGATGGTTCTCCAGAGAACGACGTCAAGGTGTGCCTGGACCAAATAAAAAAAGCGCTCACAGCGGTCAAGTCCGACTACGAGGAGGTCGAAACCGGACTGAGGAATTTCTACAAGGATGATGACGACGAGGATGGCGCTTAATATGTCTCTGCTAAAGACTGGCGATGACAACTAAACTTCATTGAGGACTATGCGCCTTGCCTCTGCGACACCCAGCAGGAGCACTTGTACGTGCTGGCTCTACAGTGGGAACCACTTGGGTTGCTGACTACTGCATATCCACGCGCGAGGAGTAAGATGATGCAAATCATGGCATTTTCTGCTCCTCATCCAGACCGCTTTATCGCTCTCTTTCCATCCATGTCTTTTTTTTTTTATTTTTAACTCTTCGAATCATCAACACTCACGACTCCTTTTTACTTACATCATCACTTATGCGTGATGGCAGCAGCAAGTAACGCGACCAACGCAACTTGGATTTTGTTGTCTGCGGGCTGGCGCTTGAAACTTGGCAGGATATAGGGAATGCGCACGGCTGTCTTTACAAGCGCATTGATAGGTTCATGGCAGCATGGCAGCAAATATGTTTTTTTGGGGAGCTCGAAAAGTTGGTTACACATGAAGAAGTCGTCTGTACAGGGAGGGGCAGCGTAGAAAGAGATACCAACAGACTCGAGAGAGGAATTCCATCATTATCTGCATGCCAAGCAAACATCCCGTCTCCCTACTTGACGGTCTCTCTCTGGATGAAGCTCTTGTGCAGCTCTCGTGTTTGAGGGCTTACAAATTACGTAGTTGGCGGCGCCATCCCAATGAAGCTTGGCGCGATCTGGCACAGATCTGTGGCTAAGCGGCAGGACTGAGATGCACGTGGCTGCCTCCAATTCATCTACCAGCTTCAGGCATCCGACTGCTGGACATTTCATCTCGACTTTTTCATCTCTTATTCCACAAGATTTCCAAAGGTACGTCAGACTTGTCAGAAATTGTCTTGGTACTAGCATCTCGAAGACAGGGAGCACCTCCAAATCTTTTCCTTCAAGCTCGAATCACGACGAGAAGTCATTCTTCCTCTTCAATCCCACGGCGCATGTTCCAAAACACCCCTGTCTTCTATGGCACATTGCTTCACCCCTTGCTTGAAGATTTCCAAAAAGGGATCCCGTCTTGTGTACCCAATACATGCTGCCGAGTGGCTTGGAGATATCGTGGCATTGATCCATGGTCTCGGCATGTGCTTACTTGCACCGCAGTGTGTTGTCCAAGGGCGCTTGTCCGCCAAGTCTACTCTTATAGGCACACTTCTTCAAGTTACACACGGCAGATTGTTATTTATCGGCTTCTCTGGCCAGAGATAAAATGACAGATGTGATGCTGACGTGTTGCCGCTCACCGGTGGTTTTGACGGCAGCCATGTACCTGTGGACTGTGTCCGATAAGGAGGATTACCCCGTTGTTTTGACCCGATGTCCCGATATCCCGTGTCTCTATTTTTTGTATCTTTTCTTACATTCTCAGATTGCCCACTTGATTCATCACATTTACCCCAGCCATCATATTTGACAGCTTCTTACCAATCCTCTCTCGCAGATAGTATCTTTAGCCACACACCCTCTCACATTAGGCTGATTGGCGCAAGCATGCCTCCAAGGCCTTCTCCTACGCATTTCCTCTGCATACCCCTCGCTGGGATGCAGTTGGCCAATTCTCTGGCATCCTTTCGAGCCGATGTGACCAGTGCAATGAGCTTCGGCCTGCCCAAGGACGCGGTCCGGCCTTTGGGGACGCTACATCTAACGCTTGGGGTCATGTCCCTGAATAAGGACGGCGTGGAGAAGGCAGTAGATATACTCAGGGGCCTGAAGCTGAGAGAAATACTTGCCGAGTCGAGATTGGCCAAGTCTAATCAGACGTCTGCTGCTGCTTTGGCACTGTCCGAGGGTAGCATCGATGGCAGCCAGCTGTCACAGCCAAACAGCAGTCTGTCTCTCACCATTCGAGGATTACACTCCATGCAGCCAGCAGCAAAAGCAACTGTATTATACGCACCTCCTTCAGATCCTGCAGGCATTCTATACGATTTCTGCAAGCTGCTACAAAAACCGTTCCAAGAAAGTGGACTAATGATTGACGAAAACCGACCGTTGCTGCTTCACGCTACTATTATCAATACGATATACGTCAAGAACAGTGGTGGCAGCAGTGGAGCAAGAGGGAAAAGGCGAGAGAAGCTAACAATCGACGCGAGAGATGTGTTGAGTCGGTACGATGACTATATATGGGCCGAAGACATGCCCGTCACTCGCGTCGCTCTGTGTAGAATGGGCGCCAAGCCGATTGAAGGGACAGACGACGCTGCATACGAAGTCGAGGCTGATGTCGAGTTTGAGTCTTGATATAGCTCAGAGCTCGGCGCAACAGTGATGTTGCATTTACAAGCCAATAGAATCGTATATCCTTGAACACGTTTCATTCATGCAGCTCTTCCGCAAGAAGCTACAACATTGAAGCTGCAGCTTTATTCAGAGACTTGGTCTACTGTTTCTCATGCAGCTGCTTGTCTATGTGAGCGAAAGGTGATTGATAAGGGTGCCGATTTTACATTCGTCTGATAACAGGTCTGCTTGTATAATTCCCGAGCTCCATCTCTGCCCATTTTATCAGTTCTAGATTCTTACCGTGGAGATGCAATCCTGCAGGATCTTGTCAAGTGACAAAGCAAAAGACACCGAATTCAACGATTGAATCCAGCGTACGGTTGGGCACGAATCATTGTTATTAAGACAAATAATAAAGACACAAGGGGAAACATTTCAATAAGAAACGGCCTTTTTTTTTTTTTTTTTTTTTTTCCAGAAATTCATTTGTTTCACAAAATCGGCGTTTATAGGTGCAACACCAGGGTGAAGCTTTTCGGTGATGCCCCGCGCCTCTACAACAATGGCAGCTCTTAGCGCTGGCCCAAGCCCCTCCCAAGATCCGTCGGCAGATTTGCGGCAGCTCCCTGTCAAGCACGTCCCAAGTCTTTGTATCCAGATCCATATCCTCGCACACCCGACCTCTAGGCAGCCGCCGAACCAGCATCGTCTCCCCCTTTGCAATTATTTTAATTGTCCTTTGCCCGTGAGGAGCGAGCAAATCAGATCCAGGGGAAAGGCTCTCGCCTACAAAAAGGGCGCAGACCAAAGGCTGCCGACGCCATCAGCCATCATGCCGAACCGGTGTCATACAGTCCTCCACTACGGCCTCACCACAGCGACTTTTGCAAATCAGACCAACTGACCTCGACCCGATACGACAACGAGAAGAAGAAGAAGAAATGAATCAAGCTGATAAGCGCCGCGGCGGCGGTCGCAGCAGTAGCAACGGCCCAGCTTGGCGAACTGGACAAGCGACGCACACAAGCCGCCACAGCACCCACACGATAGGCGGAGTAGCAACAGCAGCAGGCGCAACAGGCGCAGGGAGCAGTAATTCCGACACGATGCCGTTGATGCCGCCTCGCGCAGCCATGGTGGGCACAAACTCGGCAGCCGGAGACGACGCCCACAACGGAAGCCCGACGATGCTGGATCGGAAACGCAAAGACAAGGCTCGCGACATATCCAATAGCTCTTCCGGCACGGCCAGAGGGTCAAGTCCCCACGGCGTGTCCAGCAACAGCAACAACAGTGGCGGCAGCGGCAGCCCCATCTCAAAGTCGCAGCTTCGCCGTCAGCAGCAGCAGCAGCAGCAGCAGCAATCAGATTCAGCCTCAGCAAGCCTTCTCCGCGAAAAGGACGAGCGCATCACCTACCTCGAGAACGAAATGGGCATCATGGAAAGAGAGTTCCACCAAGAACTAGACCGACTAAGCCAGACAGAGAGCGAAACCGCAACCTTTTGGCAGGGCAAACATTCCGCGCTGAACCAGCAGTATCTACGCACAGATACCGAGCTGAGGCTGCTGCGGGCCGAAGTCGACGTCCGCGAGGCAGAGCGGGAAGAACTACGGCAAGGAGTCGAAGTCCTGCGGCGGGAGCTGCAGGAAAAGGACGACGAGATCAGAAGACTCCGGGGCCAGGTCAGAGGGCTAAAGGAGTTTGTCAGCACGAGCACGAGAACGGACGACCAGACGAGCGATGAGGTCTTTGGCGACGGCATGACCAAGCTGGGCAACGGCTTGCAGAATTGGGTCATTACCAATTTTCGAAAAGCAAAACTAGGTGGGCTGCAAGCTGAAATTAGTAACCAAACTCGTATTTTCATAATTTCAGGCAGGCTAACAAAACGGAAATACGAAAAGCAGACCTATCCCAGGCCAGCGACTCTACGCTCGCAGAACTCGGCCACCTCGTGCCCATGTACGACGAGCTAATCCACACGTCCAAAGTCCACCTCTTGCAGTCCATCGTCTCGAGCATCCTCGTCGAAATGGTCTTCAACGCCTACTACGTGGGTCTCTCAGAAGAAGATACACGGCACTTTCAACAGATGGAGCAATTACTCACCTTTCTATGCTGTTTGTCTCCCCCTTTTTTTCTTTTTCTTTTTGTTTCTTGCTTTTTCTCTTCCTCAACATACATGTTCTGGGGAATACCCCCCAACTAACACCAAAGCGGGAACTTCTCAGCCTCAACCGACCCCGTCAACCAATGGCGCTCATCCGCCCTGGCCCTCCTCCGCCGCGAGGCACACCACCTCCACGACAACACAGACACCTTTGCCGAGGCCGTCATATCCCGAATCACCCAGCTCCTCGACAGCATCATCACATCCTCTCCGCCTTCAGCCTCGGCCTCTACTTCAAATTCATCTTCCACCGCCCGAGACTCTGCTCTCCGGGTCCTAGTCAAAAACTCCATCGAGCTAGCCCGCCTGCTCGTCGTGCAAAAGGCCCGGCTGCGGGTCTACATGCCCTCCATCTTACCCCATCAGCAAGTCCTTTTCGAGCCAGACACCATGGAAGACATTGGCGGGGAGGAAGACGAGGAGAACCTGGCTAGCCGGGAAATTAACTGCGTCGTTTTCCCCGGCGTCATCAAGCACGGGGACGAAAACGGGGGCCACATGCAGTACCGCAACGTCATTGTCAAGGCGAGGGTATTGTGTAGTCCGGAAGAATAGATAGACAGGTAGACATGACTGACATGACATTCCCACCGCGGTGACCAAAAAAATGGAATAATATGGAAAAAAAAACTTATCAGCTACTACTAGTCGTTATCAATCCTGTGATTCTCAATGATTCCTACCAGCACAGCCCACTCAACCCCCCATCCATCTAATCTACCATTTCACCATCCCAGCTCAAAACACATCATGATCAAAAGCCAAAGGATCAAAGAGCAGTATAACTCAATTCTGCAGCATTACGTCGTTTCCGTACGAGAAACTCCAAGGCGGGTCCAGCAGCTAGGCAACGGCAAACGGCCCGCCTACCCCGGGCGCCACCGTTTGCTCAAATCCACCAGCCGTCATGGCGCATATTTGTACGGTGCTGCTCATGGCTCAGAGTGTCTCGCCGTACAGTGGCCTTGTTGCATGTGTTGATGCCCGATACCGCCCTCCTAGATCCTCTCCGAGCTGCTTTGCGCCACCCCCGGACTGATAAAGCGCATTGGATTTCCCAATTTGACCTCTCACCGTCCAACTAGATGGAACTTCTCCAGGCCGGCCTGCAATGGAGTATTGCGAGCAGCTGAGTTCACGATGTAACCAGCACTTAAAAAAACGGGTCGGCTCTTTTGGCTCGCTGCACACCCCTGTTCTGTGGCTGCTTTCTTTCCTTTTTCTCTCATGCCTTTCACCTTTCGCCACCCAAACACCATGATTAATATCGCAAAATGATCACGGGAGACAGGAAGGGCAGGTAGGAATCAAGTCATCCGACTTATAACGGCGTCATATAGCAGGCATTGCATGAAGTCTCTGGGAACTAGACGTTGAAGACTTGGGAATCGGGCATAAACGATTCACAGGCAAGAGTCGAGAATGGGCTGTGCTGTGTGTAGGTGTGTGTGTGTGTGTGTGTGTGTTATGCCGAGATGGGCTGAGATGTGATTCGTGTCAACGGCTGAGCCGTATACGCTGGCACCGCACTAATCTCAATGGGCATGGAATGCGAAACTCTTTGCTGCATTTGATTTTGGCTATACGGGAGAAGAAACAACAGCAGGCTATATCGCACAAGAGGGCTCACTGCTTGCTTGCTCTCACTGCGGCAAGGAAACTCGTTGGCTGCGGTTAGCCAACTGAAGTATAGTGAAGAAGGGGTGTCGAGTTCCGATAGCCAATCTAGAACAAAGCCGATCGCCCAATTCCGAGGAATCAAAGCTTGTAGTATTTCGCAAGCCTGCTCCGTATAAGCATCTCTGCCCATCACTAGGTGCTTTCAGATTGGCGGGGAACGGAACCCCACAGACCCAAGAGCCGCAAAAACATGGCGGTTAGAGCTGTTCGCTGTTCGCTGTTCGCCGTCTTCTTTCCATGTTGCTCTCTGGTAGGGTAACTCGCTCATAGTCAGTGCTGTCGGGAATGACGCGCTTATTTAGCAAACCCAGGGCCTCGATGTAACGGTCTGGCCTCGTAGATAGGTGCTGACCTGCCGCATGCCCACCGTACCACACAAGACTCGGCACGCTTCTATCATATTAATGAGGTCGGAATGGGCAGCCATCAGCATTGTCGGTAAGAGTCTGCCACATAATTCGTCAATATCTCGGCATTTTGGCCTCTCATTGGACATAATAACAACCGCTCAGATAGAATAGTCGCCTTGGCGGAATGTCTCGGCTTGCTTCTTTATAGTAAACCAGCCATCATAATTCGTATCAGCTGTGAGGATTCTCTTACCGATATGCATCCTGCATCAAATGACATGTGGCAGTACATGTCGCCGTTCCAATATCCGTGACGGGTGGCATGCACCGCGTGTGCAAAGAATAAATTCCAAATCTCGCTTCTTAGCTCTGCTGGCTGATGATTCGAGCGCCATTCAACATTTTAGTACTATCGCAAGCAAGACCGGCCTGGGTGGTGGAGAGCTAGCATGCAGTGAGACAGGACAAAGTCCACGGAGTGCGTCTGGCTTGTCTTCGTCATTAAACCCCCCAAATGACCCAGCCAAATTCCCACTTGCGCTGCCACTCCACAGGGAGAAAAAAAAAAGTATATACTTTATCATTTCTCAACCTGCATTCCTGCTTCCTCTTGCAAAGGGGTGACAAAGGCCCCAGCTGTTGTCGTGTCAGGGCAACTTAGTGCACGCCGGCGATTGGGCTGCTCCTTTCACAAGCCGCGTAACTCCAAGCGTCCACTCAGTCTGTCCGACCTATTTTTTTGGGGGAGCTTCCGATCAAAGTTCGTTATCGCTGCTGTCATTTGAGTCTTGTGTTCAAGCACACAAGCTTGTTGGACAGGGAGCTTCCCGGTCGCTTGCCAGATCTCTAGAGAGGCGATTCCGGGGTAGTCTGACAGCCCAGGCTAAGCTGATCGGGCAGCGTTCGTTTTGCCAGCATGGTGACGCCACGACCTGAAGATCAGGGACCGTCGACGGCGCTCTTGCCCGGCGACATCTATGACTTTCTGAGTGCTCTTGATCGGAGGAGGGCCAGGTACTTTGCAACAGGAAGCTCTGAGCCTGTTCGCATGGATCCTTTCAGAAACTCACACGCTCCGTCCTCCGCAAGCCGTGAAACTCGGCGCTCCTCTGCGTGCTCCTCCATTTTTGACTCGGCCAGGTCCTTGTCTTCCATGTCGTCAGTCTCGTCGGGGTATATCTTTCCGTTGCGCATCGTTTCTTGTCTTGGGCCGCCAGTGCTAACATAGCCGTCCATAGGCCCCAGCTCCCGTGTGAGTTTGCCGAGTATTACTATTGCGAAGAGACGTTCGATCTGAATAACATTGACGACTGGGTACAACATATCTGCGGCCATCACCTCACCTGGAGGCTTCCAAAGGACTGTGTTTGCTGGTTTTGCGATGCTGTTGTCTTTCACGCCGTAGATGATACAGCGGATGAGCGAGAACGCAATTTCAGGGCCAGAATGCACCACATTGCCCAGCACTTTGGTCATGGTGCAACAATCTCCGATATTCGCCCAGACTTTTACCTCCTAGAACATCTCCGAGATACTGGCTTGATCACAGAAAGAGGTTTTCGAATTCTCAAGGACTGGCACGAAGCTCCTCAGCCAAAGGGGGGTATAAACTCTGAAGAGCCTGCTCCACGTGCGTATGATCGGGGAGTGGCTGTCGAGGTGAGATATCGTCGCGGGCGTGAGCGTTGGCAAATGGTTCGTCAACAATGAAGTCATGGCATATGGTCATGTTTTCTGACACCAAAGTCGTCGCTAGAGAGGCAGAGAGATGAGCCTCTTCAGTATCGTGTCCCCCCTATGGCAGACGTCGTCCAAAGCCTGTGCTCAGATGAGGTGGCGTGGATGGTCACGTACAGTGACGGCATATCGGAAGACTTGTGCCATGATGGTCATCTGACGATAGATCCATCATGGTTGCCTATTTATAACGTCGTTTCTGATGGGTCGGACTGCTGCTGCATGCCGGAGCAGAAACCTCGTCTGAAAGATCATCCCTACTTCATTCATATTAATATCTCTTCATTCTTCTCTCTTGTCCTCCCTCTCCTCTCCCTCCTTCTCCTTCTTTGAACTCTTATCACGGTTGTAACAGACATATCTCGATGTTGTTTTTGCTTGGACTTTTGTATATCATGTCAATATGGACGTGATGGGTTGGTTTTGTTTCTGTTCAGGGGAGAGAGCTGGTACTCTTTTGTCGATGCCCGGGTGGCTGGCAAGGCAAATTTTTGGCATCGATCGCGGCGATTGAATGTTCAAGGTTCATGTTTCATGTTTTGGTTTCTAAATTCTCGGTTAATGGAAGTATTTGTTTAAAGGACTGGATGTGACGGACTGCCAAAGATTCACGGTTGCCGTTTCCAGATTATAGGCAGCGGGCGGCCTGGAGCCCGGATGAACGTTTTTTCGGAAAAGACATGCTCAATGTCCTTTTATATGAACATTTCTTTTTTTATGTCAATAATTCTCATAGTAGGTTGCCTCCGTGGCGACAAATGTATGCTATGACTCGTTTTTTATTGCCTTCACATGCATCGTGGCAACAACGAATTTATAGCCATTTCTCAGGCGCATAATCAGGTCCCAACAACCATCGCCCAACGGTGCTAAAGTATCGTATAAATATTTAGGTAGCTAGCGGTACTCCCTCATAAGCCAATACCAAGTTCCAGATATTCGGGAATGCAAGTAAAGGACGCGTTCTCACTCGAGTGCGAGAACAAACAAGAGGGTAGGTGTGAGAGATACGAGCCAAATATGGAGTAGACAATCATATCTGTGCGAGGCAACCAGGGCTGTGCAAATGCAACCCCTTTTAAAGTGGCAATGCACTTATATGGGCCACGGGGAACAGCTTAAAGCTGAAGTCAAGAATTCGACTCTTTGGTATCTGACAGCTGTTGATGAGACGCGCTCATCCGCAGTATTCGTCACGATGCATATGTCTGTAAGATGGTCATTTACAAGTGTATTGAACCCGCAGTGGGCTGCGTTGCGACAAATAGATTGGCCCTCGCGTTTCATCCAATTCATCAATCAACATGATACCTATGCGGAAGCAAGGGAACAGTGCCCTCTAATCCTCCAATCACTTGTTAACGATGACTACATCGATCCCAACTGGCACTAAATATGGGTAAAACGTGGAGCCAAGGGTATGACTGGTATGACTGCAGCAAGTCCTGTCTTTTGGGATCTTTAGTCTGTTTTAGGATGCATTGGCGTTTCGACTTGAAAGGGTCCAGGCATTAGGTACTTTTCCATGCCGGCACAAATAGCAGTGACTCTTATCATAGGCTCGTCAAATCGTCCTTTACACCATGCGGTTTTCTGGCTTGCCCGCCTCCCCGTATTCTTTGACTCTGCGGTAGCGTGCTGTGTCTCCTGGCCAAAGGACGGGTACATCTCAATAGCGACGCTTTGCTCCTTTGATTTTTCTTGGCAGATCCGAGCAAAGTAATGTCAATATTCTTGTATCTTGCCTCATACTTGACCCATCTCTCAAGACCTGGCACGTGGATTCCCAAGGTCGGCAGTGCTAGCAGTGTCATGATTTGCTTAGAATCTTGGCCGTCGCCTGACTCTTCCACGCTGTAAAGAGCAGGTAGCGAATATCGCACTTTTCTCGGCGCATAGTGCTTGAGAACTTTTTCAAAGTTTGAACGCTCTTTGGGAGGCAGGGCCATTCGAAACGGCTTCGCAGAAGAGGGAAGAAACGGCAGCACGTGAAATTTTGCTGCAATGCATGCGCTCACCCGTATCCAGAAGCGTCCGTCCCATAACTTGGCTGTTTTCCACCCCCGCCAGTGGCGGTGCCGACTTGGCTGATCGCTATCGGCATCCAATCTCAGAATACCTCCTCTGTAGTTTAGGTAACCCGGGAGTTTTCGCTCTGGTAGCGGCTGCTGCGAAGAATATGGTGCTCTGGACAAGAGCCACGTCAATGAATCCGTTTTGAACACAGGCTCAAAAAGTACACCCGCTACTGAAAAGGCCCTTGGCTCCATCATCAGCACTTGATCGGGCGTTTCCGATAAATGCGGCAAGAGTCGGTCTACTGCGTTTTCCAGGTTGGCCAGGGGTGGTAGATGGAGCTCTGGGGTTACGAAAGCAATGAGCTTGCGGATCGCTATACTGGCTATCAGTTGACGAGAGCGTTTGCGTGCTTGTTTGCGCGCTTCTTCTCTGGTCTGGGCAAACGGGCTTCTGGTTTGACGCATCTGCTCCGTCCAAAGGGTAGATACATCAATCAGTAAGGTACCCGCATTGGGATCAAAATCTTTGATGACGTTTTCGCGAATCAGCAGCCTATGGGCTTCGGCTTCTTCCAGCTGGGCCCTCTGTCTCGACCGATGAGCAAGTGCCAAAACAGATGGCTTCTGCAGGGCCTTGGGCAGCGTGTGAAATCGTGTAAGCTTTCTAATAGCATTGCGGGTTGTGAGGGTTGGGTCTACGTTGGTGCGATCTTCGAACCAGCGGACGCCGTTGGCCTCACAGGTTGCAATGAGCCTGCCTTTGTCAAATTCCATAAGCGGTCGATATATCATGACACCGCCGTCCTCGCTCTGCAGAGGAGTCAAGTAGGGTATGCTGGGATCAAATTCTCGCGAAAGACGTCCAGGGAATCGTGTGGCCGTATCGTCCAAGTTGAAGTACGACTTGATCCGATCCCATGATTCGGCCTTTTTGTCGTCCCTTAGAATGAAACGCAGCTGCTTCATTTCACGCGACGGCGGTTTGAAACTTAGGAAGGGGAATTTTTGCATCTGATTATCAAGCAGGCCGCTCTTGTAGACATGATGCAATTCATAGCACTCTGGAATGGCGTTGGCCTCACGGATGCCTTGCAAGCCTCTGTACCCGTGGCCCGCGAGCAGCCGCATCAGAACAGTCTCATACTGGTCGTCCTGATGGTGAGCGAAAAAGAGACTGGGAACCTGAAGGTATCTGCAAGTAGATCCCAGAGCTTGGTATCGCATTGTTCGTGCAAGGCTCTCGACATTAGGCAAAGTAGTTGGCTCGATGCCCTGCCACCTCTGCTCTCTCCAATTCAGTGGTTTGATGACGGACTTGAGACCAATTTTCTTCAGCTCCTGGGTTACGCGAGAAGCTTCCTGGGAGCTCTCGTCTCGCAGTTTATGATCAACAACAATGGCAAAAGCACTCTCAGCAGGGTTATCAGCAATCTTGATGCCCTTGTAAACCTTGAGGAGGGAAGAGAAGAGAAATGCCATTGCCATTGAATCTACGCCTCCGCTAATGGCAAGGGCTATAGTGCACAAAGAATATTAGCCATGATATAGATATATCCATCATACAAACACTTGCCAATACGCTGTGGCCGGGCATAGTACGCCGTGGGAAATCGTGGCCGACATGTTGCCAGGACGGCATCCCGGAACTCGTGCACAGAGATGGGGCTGGAGCCATGATGAAAGGCCGGTGTCTGCGAGCTCATTCCACCATGTGCTGCTGCAATAGCTCGATCAGGGGAAGGCCATGTAGGTGGTGTTGGTGATGTTTAGGGAATGGAGGATGAAGGTGCAGCGAAGCAAACAAGGATTTGATCAATGATGTTTTGTGATTGGTGGGAGACGAGCTCAGAGGGAAAAGCTCCGGGAGACAGGTAATACCGCGTGCTATGTACACGTACTGGTAAGACCTTGAACGCCTGTAATCAGCTCCCTGGCAGAATTGGCCGCTGTTTTGCCGGCGCATGTGTGGCGCTGAGCAGTTTGGACTGATAGGCTCCAATAGGTCATGTGCTGGCATCACAAGGACCAGACGCTCTGGCTTTGATAAGCTGCGGTTGACGAGCTGTCTGTAAGGTACAACAAAAAAAAATGACTCTGCATATCCATCCATTCTCGTGCATGTGAAAATTCTCACACACTTGCTGCAGGGGTCATGCAAAGCAGGTCTGGAGATGCTGCTCTAGCTCTTGTTACTCCAGATAGCTCTCGAGCTGCCTCCCAACCCAGCAGCATCTCTGCCATTGCCTTTTTCTTCTCCCGTCTTCGTCATTGCCTGTATAGATGCGTCGATGATACCGCTACTACTGCTAGTTATAAGAGGCAGCTGATGGATGTTATAAGTGCCTGGCATATCAGAGCTGCAAGAGGGAGGCAACCACCAAGTGGTCCCAGTGGATCAAGCAGCGGCATTTCAAACCTCTACAGCACCGTCTTCAGGGGTGGCCACCCGCCGCCGCCTCTGATTTGCCGCGCCGTCGCCACCCGAGCTTGGAGCTACAGGCGTCCGGGCCACTGGCTTTAGCGGGCGTGCATGGCGAGGCTAACTGCAGCAGTTTGGCGAGACAGTGACCAGCGACTGGCCCACCAAGTCTGCCTTCAGCTGCAAGCACGCACACGACACGACACGACACGATCCGATACGGCAGGCTTGCAACGGCGATCAGCGCTTTTTCTTCTCTCTTCTCTCTTCTCTCGCTCTGCGTGTCTGGTTTTCCTTCCCTCTCTTGCCATGTTCTCGCGCCGGGTTCGCTAGAGACTCCAGCTGCGTTGCGACAAGACCGAAAATCTTGCTTTTCCGTCGTCCCCCACTCCAACCACCACCTTTTGCAGCAACCAGGGCCGGCTGGTTGGCTTTAACGCTTTTTGCTCGCTGATGCAGCAGTCCACAGCCAGCTGGAAGAGAAGCTACCGGGCTCCAAGAAGAACCAACAGAGGCGGACGAAATAACAAACGCCTCCAGAGCCGGATCTCGCATCGCCTCGTCTCTCCTCGAACTGTCGCCGACTCCAGCTGATCCTCATGGTCTCCCAACCCGATCCAGCGCCGTCTCTCGCAATCCGCGGCACCTCGTCCCTGGTCTCTCGCCCGTCGGCTCGCAGCAAGCGCTACAATCGCTCGACAGTCGGCGCCGCCAGCTCGTATCTGCCGCAGAATGAATTCCCCGTCTTCTCCCACAGCGGCGACGTCGAGATCCTGATCCGCGCAGGCGCCGTCGAGAACCGATACCTGCTGCACCGCCACACCCTGACGCGATGCAGCGGCTTCTTCGAGGCGAGCACGTCCAACGAGTGGTCGCGGGCGCAGCCGCTGCTCCCCAGCGGTCACGAACTGTCTCGGATCGGTGAGGACGGCGGCGAGGCCACAGACGCCGAGAATGCGGCGCCCAAGCGGAAATGGCGGTACGAGCTGGATTCCGGCTCGGGGCCAAACGACATCCCCATGCTCATGCAGCGAGACGAGCCTCGACAAGATCCCCGGCCCATGGCAACGGCGTCGCTCTTTGGCGCGGCGCCCAAGGCCTCTCGCTCCTCGCATCACAAGAGCAGCAGCTACTCGCATTCCTCCAAGCGCGACTACTCACGATCCGTCATGAGCCTCGGCGCCCAGCCCCAGACGCTTTCGCAGGCCGACGAGGACCTGCTGCGCGATTACGACAACCTGTTCCGCACCTTTTACAACTACCCGCCCGTGCTGGACAGCATCAACGTGGCCGACGCCTACGTGCAGTGCAAGAGCCTCTTGACGCTGGCAGACCAGTACGACGCCCTGGCCGTCATCGGGCCCCGCGTGGACCACCACCTGCTGCAGTTCCAGTCGCGCCTGTGGAAGCAGATTGCAAAATACCCCATTTCCTACCTCCGTCTGGGCTATCTTGCGCGCAGCAAGGTCATCTTCCAGGAGGCCCTGATCCACGTCGTCGGCCAGTGGCCCGCCGGCGAGCGCAGCCTTCGCGCCACCATGCCCGACATTGTGCTGGACATTATCGAGGACAAGGTGGACGAGCTGGAGGAGACGGTCAGCCGGGTCGAGGGCCGCCTGTTCCGCCTCAACCTCAACACGTCGCGGGGCGAGCGCGTCACCCCCAACAACGGCTACCTCGACTGGCTGGCCACGAGCCTCTTCCGCCAATGGATCGCCGACAACACCACGCCTCAGCCGCCGCCCGAGTATCGCGGATCCAGAGAGAACCGCCCCGCCGATCCACCTCCTCCTCCGCCGGCCCCGCCGCTGACCTCGGTCGGCAGAGCGTACCGCACTCTCGGGTCCGACAACCCGGACACGTTTCTGGGGCACGATGAGTGCAAAAAGTTTCTCAAACTGACGCCCGAGTTCTACAGCCGGGAGAACCTGCGGCGGTTCGAGAAGCGCATGGACGAGCTCAAGGCCATGGCCCGGTCTGTGGTGCGGCCCCTTATGAACAGCGGCCTCGAGCTGGACTTGAGCGGCTCCAGCCGAGTGGCTGACAGCATTGGGTACTTGACGTGCACTGAGGTCGGCAATAGAGACCTGCCCTGGTCGGTAGAGGAATGATTTACTTGTTTCCCGCTTTTTCCTCAGCTTTCTTGATGAAAGATGGGAAGAGTATATAATGACGAAAGCCAGAAAAGAGACAAGATCTCTCAGACGACATGGCTTTGATATTGACATATACGGTACAGCATACGGCGGCATAATGTGGCATTTTGTGTTGAGTTTTTACTGTCTACAGTTTGCATATTGGCGTAAAGAAAAAAATGAAAAAGAGGGAGAGAAAAAAAAAAACATTAACGAGATGAGATGAGATGAAAAAATGATGATGATAATATCACGCTGCACGAATATTCTGATGGATATCTTTGAGAAACGAAATACATACGCCATCTGATGAAACTGGACTTATATGCAACGGGGGGGGGAGGGGGTTGGCTCTTTTTCTTACAAGTTTGAATACCTCTTTTTTTTTTTTTTTTTTGTCGAGACGATGGTTCAATCTTTGTGGTTTATTTCTCTTGTTGTATATTTCTCAACCGATACCCTTACTTGTCGTTTGCCTTAGTTCAGAAAATGAGAAGTTCTTTTGCACCGTTTTGAGTTTACCGCTGTTTATTGTTGTTTTGGAGGTATTATAATTACACGATACACGAGGACACCGTCAATACATATATACAAAGGCAGCAAGCCCTTTTTTTGGCTTATAGTTCTTTTATACACGCACTCTCATTTTGATTCTCATTCTCAGTTGACATTTATTAGCAACTCGTTCCTGTTACAATAATACAATGTCATGCTGTGTGCATTATGCATCCAACTAAAGAGCGTCGCATCTTTTCTCCCCCTGTATACTTTGTTTAAAAGAAAGTCCATTAAATTCGTTTTTGTGCTCGCTCTTCAGTTCGCCGTATACGTCTCTGAACATGTAATCGTGCCTCATACCCCGACGTAAAATTAAGTAGTAGTTCTCTCGAATATTTCTCCCTATCCACCAAACATCTTCTTTTTCCTCCATCGTTCTTGGCATCTTCTTATGGTATCATCCTATCATTTCAAAAAACAAAAAAACTCTTCATCATAACCTCGCTCTGCATCATTAAGCACTTCCAAACACCAGCTCCTCGCGACCAGACATGGAATCAATCGTCAAATCCGACTTGCCATCGCCCTTTGTCCCCTCAATGCGCTTAATGATGCCGCCCGACCGCTTGTAGTGCAAATCATCGCCGCGAATGTCCTGCCCGCCAGAAAGAGTCGTCAAGAGAAAGGCCCCTTCCCACGAAGCAGGGTAGTTGAGCCTGAAATCTCCGCTGATGGACGCGTGGTGGGAGTGGAGACGAGTCAATCCGTCGCCTCCGCCGCTGGCATTCACGGTAGACGTGAGTTCCGCGTCTGGAACATCGTCCAGCTGTTGGTCGGGGTGGATGATGATCCAAGGCTCGTCATAGTTGTCCAGCTTTGAGTTTCTATCCTTTGATGGTGTCGCAGGATCGTAGTAACCGATATGGGTTGCGCCCTCTTTCCACAACGGCTCGAAGACGGTCAAAGTCGTCGTTCCACTCTTTGTGTCAGTCGAAAGACTAGGTTGCGACGAGCTGGAGCCAAAGAGAGGCAGCAGCGTCAACCTTTGGTCTCCAGAAATGGTCTCAATCTTTGCTTTTGACGTAAAAGCCAGCTCGGCGACGATTTGACCGGAAGATGAGGACACTCCAACGACGTAATCTCGCGGCGGGAAATCGTCATTGCGCTTGTTTCTGAGCAACGGCTCGATTACCTTGATGTCTCCAGAAACAGTCTCGATACTGAGCACGGCTTGTTCAGGCTTCTTATCCTGTGACGGCTTTGGGGTAAGGTCCGCCTTGATATGGCCAGAAACACTATGGATCTTGAGGAGGTCGTATAGAGGGAACCAGCCGCCGACATCGCCGCTGACGGTATCAATGATGATGCTCCGAGAGGCCAAGGTGTAGGGCGCCACATTGCCCGACGACAAACTGCCTGTAACCACGTCTCCTGTAATCGTCTTGATCTGAGCATCAGTGACAGCGCTGAGAACAAAGCCATCCTTGACAACGACATCAAGTTGGACCGTCTCGATGTGCAACAAGTCGAGCTGAGCTTCACGAGGGACGGAGACGGTGATTCTAATCTGGATGCAAGCCCGCCAGCTGGGCTCTCTCCAGTCGACCCAGCGAGGGACAGTCACCTTGAACTGCTGGTCTCGCTTATTGAAGTCGACATCGACATGCAAATCCTCGTCATTAGTAGCGACTTCAAGATGAATCTGTCCAGAAGATGAAGCATCGACAGGCTGTAGAATGACCTCGCCATAAACGGTTGGCGTGGGTCCTCGGTGGTTTCTGCCATCCTTCTCAATGGTCTGAATAATGCTGAGTTTCTTGCTGGTGCCAAAGCTGACGACTTCATTAATCTTGGAGTCCTTGAAGGGCCCGCCCTGGCAGTTGTTGCTAGGAGGCCACACCATGGTGGGAGGGGGGTTGTTAGTCGGGGGCTTTTTCACAGGCGAGTCATCAATGATGCCAGGCTTCTTCTAGATGGTGATGTTGTTAGAACATGTACATGTTTTTCTTGTATAATTGATAGTGTAGGTAGATACTCACCCTACCGCCGCCGCTACTTATGCTCAAGGTGCCACCAAACAGCGCAGCTACAATGGAAATGATGAGAAGCACACCAAGGATGGTGCGAACCCTCTTTCTCGTGGTGGTATTTCTCTTGATTCGTCGCCACAGCGTCTCTTGCGATCCATTGGGCGGTCCGCCCATGGACTCTGGCTGTCGTGGAAGCAAAGACTGGTTCTCCTCGGGCACACCCATAGTGTCAGACTGCGCAGCAGCTTGTGGGGGTGAAAATGTCTGATAGCTGGAAGACAGCGGTGGCGAGGAGGCTGAGGGGGAGTACGCAGGAGGCGCGTCGGTCTGGCGATGAACCGTGTACTGGTCTGAAGGCCGGCCCATGGAACTAGAGGGCTGGAACGACGAGACCTCTTCGTCAATGCTACGACGGTGATGATGGCCGGAAGGCGAGGCTGACGACGAAGAAGACGACGAGGCCAGGTGGTGATGGGCCTGGAACGGGGGATACGCAGCAGCTTGAGAGGGAGGAGCACGGAACGGGGGAGAGGGCTGGTGGAAGCTGGCCTCGCCCTGGGCTGGTTGGTGATGCGGCTGGCGATGGTCAAAGGGAGTCGAGCCGCCCGCCCTATTTATGCGACTCTCCTCGGCGGCTTCTCTGGCCTTTGCGGCGGCGCGGTCCTCGTGCAGCGTCGGGTCCTCGACCATGACATTGGGCACAAACGGCACGCTGGACGACTGGCGCGCGGCGTAGCGTGACGGCGACGATGACGTTGCGGCCGCTTCTGGACCGGATGACGACGCGTGGAAGTAGCCGTCGGCGGGCGACAGGGCACTGCTATCGTCGTGCTGCTCGTCCTGCTGCTGCTGCTGCTGCTCGTCTTCCCACGGGTTGCCATCCCCGGAGTACAGGTCGTCAGAGTATGGAGCCGGCATGGCTCGAATCAAGAGCGAGTGGCGTCTGGGACTATGGGGAAAAGCGGGCAGCAAAGTGTAAGTGAAACAGAGTAATATGAAAAGGTAAAAAGCTGCAGGAAATAGTTGGCGAAGCTGACGAAAGCGTGTCGTCGTCGCCGTCTAAGACGAGGCTGCAGCCAGCGATATGTGGGTTGCACCAGGAACACGCCGGCTTGTGGGTTTCAAAGCATGCAGGACATTTAGCAGAAAGTCAATGCAAGAGGACACGCAGCCAACCAGGCGAGAGAAGAGAGCTCGTATCACTTCTGAGAGACGAAAAGTCTTGTACTTGGCAAAAGCGAAGAGGGGGCTACGTAGAAGAGAAGAGCAGAGGAGAGGAGAGGAGAAGCAGCGAGGAGAGAAGAAGCAAAGGTGGTGTTGGAACAAGAACAAGACAGGACGCCAAGCACCGCGATATGAATGCTTTGATAGGCCAATTGTTACTCCATGGCTACCTGGCTGCTACCTGCTGCCCCCGCGGCTGGACAGTCAGCTCATCCGTCGATTCCTGGTAACGTGCAGGTTGTTTTTTTCCCGGAGCCTCTTGGGGGAGCTTCCTCTCCTCCCCGCCTCTCCACACCTCCACTCGCTCCATCCGCTGTGCGCTACAGACGATACGATGGAAACGAGTGGGCTAGCGCAGTATAACGAGAGTTACACAGGGATTGTCAAGCAGCAAATCCAATTGGCAAAGAGAGCGTTGCTTCTTAGTTTTCCTTTCCAACTTGTGGGAAAAAGAACCATCTCCTCCAACATCCAGACACGCAGAAGCAAAAGACAAGAAAAAAAAAAAAGGTTCAGGTGTTTTATCACCGGCCAATCATCCATGTCAACCAACCGCTCGCTAGTGCCCTCGCAAAAGTCCCCCAAAAGGATCGGGCTAGGTCCCAAAAGAAAACCAGCTCCAAACTTCTCCTCATTAACCTACGGCGCCATAAGCTCGCTACGGCCCGGGAGTGCCTCACACGTGCTGCTTTTTGTCTTTATCTTTTTTCCTTTACTACATAGTACCTAGGTACAGTACCCCCCCGGAAATGACCTGCCGGCTGGCGTAATCAGGCACGTAACCCGCCCAGACGATGGAGCGTTTCGTCATTCCCGCCGCTCATGGCGATAACAACGGCCATTCAACGCGCGCCCTTTCCATTTGCCACCATGTGTAGTGTCATAGTCTATCATGTAGCTTTAGGCTAGCATTTGCGACCTGTTTCTTTTTTTTTTTTTATTCTTCCTTTCCTCTAGCTCAAAAGTATGCATCCAACTCGACAGTTCGTCAGAAGAAAAACAGCCCCGGCTCCAATCAAATCCTCCCCCCGGCCTTTGCCACCGGTCACGGAGCTCCTTGTCCCCACTTTTCCGGGTACCGAGCCCGAAGGGACAACCTCCCCATGTTGGCAATGTGCCTCCCTCTACGCCGCTTTTGTTTCTTCGTCTGCTCCCTTCCTACTCATACTCTTTCCAATAATTCCGTTTAATTATAACAATCCTTGAGTTTACATTATACAGTACGGTGTTTTGGTGTAAAGGCTCTATATAACTAAAGAGTACGTCTGCGTATTGCACTTCTGGAGGTATATAACCTACTTAGTAAGATGGGCGGATGAATGGGCGAACAATAATCTCCATCTAAATAACCAACATCTCGTCAAATACTTCCCGGGCTTCAAACTCGCCGAATCATCAAGATCTGTCCGCACAAACATCTCGACTTTGGAAGACTTGTGGACGCGATAGAGGCCCTTTGTCTCGGCGCCGCGCCAGCTTCCGCACGGTAGCATCTTGATACGGCGACTCTCTTCAGAGGTAGATCAAAAGCGTCGATAGTAGACATATTCCCAGTTGTACGAGCATGCAAATGTCTGAATGTAAGTGGCTACTCATAGACTGTAGGCAGTCTGTCGCTACAGTAATGTGAGTTGCTTCTTTATATTAACAACAGATTCACAAGGCTAGCTAATACTACTACTGCTGCTACTTTTCAATATACATGTATATAATGATTAAATAATTTTATAAATAGACTAAATGCCCTGTTGGGCTATGGCTGGAATGTCAGATAATCGAACTGGGTCTGTTATATGGCGTATCCGCCCTGGTAAGATTAGGAATCTCCAATGCCAGCGCCTCCATCTCCGCAACCGCGTTAGCCTCCTTCTTCTCAATCATCACCAGCTTACTCTTTAATACTCTCGCTTCCTTTTAGATCTTGTTACAGCATATCTTCTTCACATCCTTGAGGTCCTCATCATCGCTGCAAGATATACATCCCGCTTGTAGGGATACCATTTACTCATAGACAGATACCGGTACACGGTCCCTTCATATAGAAATTTGAGGTTGGTGGCTATAGACGTTGAGTATGCTAAAAAAAAAATCATTTTTTATATCAAAGGGTGGACAAACCTGCAGGGGTATGTACATGTACATTATTCACTCCAAATCTGTCGCAGCAAAACACTCGGATACCAGACTACAATAATGGAGGGATCAAGCCAGGGGGGAGCGGGATTCCGAAAGGGTTCGTTATATAGGGATTGAGGGTTGGTGACTATAGATGTTCAGTACCTATATAAAAAGTCAATTTCGCGTATGGGGTGAACGAACCTGCAGTGGTATGTACATCTGTTCCCTCTGGATCTGTCGTAGCGAAACACGTCGGATGACCATCTCCGGAAGCTCTAGAAGGATCATGCCATCACCGTGACACCGGACTTGATCGCCATCAATACTTTCGTAAATGACTCTCATCACTTCATGTTCTGAGAGCCCAGATACTACAGCTTGCCAAGCTTGAATGAGGGAAGCCTGTAGAACAAACTCCCAGGTGCCCTTCCAAGTAATGGTGCAAGGCTGACCTTCTGTGGCGGCCTCATACTTGAAGAGCGCGGCAAGGTTCTTTCGTCCATTCCAGATTTGCATTGTTTCAAGGTTTGGCATATAAATGGCTGCTCTTGCTGCTGCTCGGAGCATATTTGTAAGTCGTGTCTCGTCTTGATCAGGCGCCAACAACTGTGAAGTAAGGAACAGATATTTCAGATTGGGCCACCTCTTTGGAGGCTGACCTTCGTCCAAAGCAAAGAAACTATCCGCGTCCACCGCGAATGACGCTGAAAGAGATTCATAATTGGTACTAACGTCAGAGAGAATTCGGCTTAGAGCAAGATTGGGCGGACGAATGCGGTCGCAATCTTCCTCCCAGTAAGCGTGCACGTAGCGTTGGTTAAAATTTTCGAAAATAGTGAGTCTATCCAGCTTTCGAATGATAGGAGACTCAAAAAGGTCAAGGTAACCTAGGTAAAGGAAGACAATGTATTAGAGAATGCGTACCCACGAGATGGTAAATGCTGTCTCACCTTGGTCTGTAGTGTCCTGGAGCATGTTATCCCACTCCCTCCACGGCTCAAAGTGCAGCTCGCGCAATGACGGAAATAAGGCAACCATTTCTACAAGCGCTTCAGGTTCCCAGCGCCGCCGGGTTTGTTGACGCAAAAGCAGACGCGTAACAGCCGGTACCGATGGCAGCTCTCTCCACCATCCAAGATAGCCCATCTCTTCGTCTTCGAAGTCGCCCAACGGATCGTTTAATATTCGGGTAAAGACGTTCTGGACGGCAGACTGAGCCGTCGTGACTTCCCGGCCGGCAGTATCCCATCGATGTCGTGCATCATCGTCAACTTGGCTTGGAACTGCCGGATCGAGCCGTGGAACATCATCTTCATCATCGTCTGGTTCAAATGTCAGATACTTGAACCAGTGTTCGGGGTCACTAGTTGAGTAGACGCTAATATCAAGTATCAAGGAGCTGCTTCGACTCCAAGCGCCAAGGACCAAGAAAAGAGATTGAATGCCCGTCTTGATTAGAAGGTCGTCTGCGGCGCTGCTGAACATTGGAACGCCATCCTCGGGAGAACAAGTGTCGCAACCGTAGCGTTCCAACTCCAAGCAAAACCACAAATACCGTACACGGGATCGATTGCGACGAGTCATGTCGTCAAGCTCGGCGATGCGTGACGGGGTGATTTTGATCCGTTTGAATGTCTGTGGCTCGATGGCTGCCTGCCACTCTCGCGACACGGCAGCAAAGCGCGCCAGCTCGCGGCCATCTTTGACCAGAGCTTCGAGAATCATGCGTTTGATCTCTGCAGGCAGGTTGGCCAAGGGCATTGTTTCGAATACAATCGGAGGTAAGCAGGAGCAGGAAGCCTTGTTGGGTTTGAGATTGGTCTACAGTTTTGTAATTTGGCAATGAGATATATCCAGTGACTCGATTAATCTGAATTCAACTGGAAGCCACAATCTTGGAAAGAGGGAGGAAACTAGCACAAAGAAGGAGCTAATGTGCGAAGAAAGTAATTACTTCAAAAACGTGGCTTTATAACAACATCCCCAACTTAGTACCAATGCCGTAAGAGCAAGGAGTTTTGTATTTATAAGAATAATTAAAGTAATATGTTGGAGTCATATTTGATAATTTAGGTACTAATAGCTTTTAAAACATGTACGAAAACTAGTACTACGAGATGACAAGAGGCCAAAGATAAAACGATATCAAATTCTATTTGATATAGCCTAACAGCCAATCAGCAGCGCGGATATACATAATCAATGCCGCCTCCTGAACTATCTAGAACCAGCCGTCCGCCTTTCTTTCTACTACATAGATTCCTTGCTTAAACAGTAACCAAAAAAAAAATAAAGGCCTTCCAAATGCGAATGAAGCTCGCTGCCAACCAATCAACCATTATGTCCGACAAATGAGATTGACAATGCTAATGCAGTGAAATAGATGCGTGTGTGGTATCATCATCATATTCTTTTTCCTCTATATCCCCCTCACCGGCTCCGTGATATTGCAGCCACCCTGATCTTCATCAATCAGTGCAGTGCGAGAATGCGCTTTGCGTTTTCGTACACCACCCACGTTATACTCAACGCCGGGGCAACTTTGAGAAGGTTTGGCGTCAGGCCCTTGTAGAGTCCGCGGAAGCCTTCATGCTGGATCGTCTTTTGCGTAACGTCCCAGATTCCTGTGTATGTTTGAGGGTGCATCACCGTGCCTTGCGTCTGTAGTCGTGTTCGCACCACGTTCAGTGGATAAACAACCGACGCGCCAAAGGCTCCGGATGTTGCGCCGATGATTCCCGTGGCGATATTACCAGGCTCAACGTCGTCTTCGTGACATCCCGCATATTTGGCATAGCGGATGCGGTAACTCTGCTTGAGAAACTCAAAAGTTCCCATGTCAATCGCACTATATGGGAACATGCCGATCAAGCCCATAGTGACACCCCGGTAACAGGCGCGCAGACCGCCATCTGCGTACATTTTCAAGGCTGTCTGTCGGACAAGGGCGCGCCCCGTCAGGCCATCCTTGACAGTTTCGCACTGAAGTCGGAATTTAAGAGTATCGAGGGGGTAGACGCAGAATCTGTTGGTAATGCGTAGTCAGCAAACAGTATTCAGAGCCATTCAACACCAAGCTGCTTGGGATCATCAGCTGCTACGTACTGGGCAATCATTCCAGCTAGACCACCGGCAACGAATTTTGAATAAGAGTTGATATTTCTGGCATCTCCGTGGCCCTCAAAATTGGCTAGCGCTCGCTTGGCAGCTTCGTATGATCCAAACTTGATGGCCGTCTCCGGCATAATCTTTATGACATTCAATCCATTGCCTGTTGTTGTTTAACAGCCATTGGTTAGCCCATTCGCGCAAAGCACATTCACTGCTCACAACCATGGGGACCAAAATGCTTACCGGCAAAAAAACTGCGGACTCCGCCTGATCGATACAGATCCTTCATGGCATCGCTAAAAGGCCTCGCTGCGTTTCTCAGGGCATCAATGATGCGGCCCTGCTTCAAAGCCCCTATCGCCGTCTCGGCTCCGCTGGTGGTGTTGACAAGCAAATACACCTTTAGTCGGTCAAGCGGAGCAGTGGCCGTCCGCGACACTCCACCGGCGATGGCACCCGCGAGGAAGTAACCTGGATGGGGAGCAAAGTCTGTCAGTCTAAACTTCTTTCTTTTTGTCGATAAAGCTCCGGTTGAGGAGGACTCTTCACGGTGCTCGACTGAGATGCCATCGCCGTCGGTCTCTGTAACGGCATCATCTGCCCCTGACGGGTCCTGCTCGACTTCTGAAATCTCGACAGCAGACGCATGCGCCGTCGCGTCAACAAAATTTCCTCTTGCATGTTGTAGCGGCACTTGGAGCTCCGGGTCTGCTATCCCAGCGGCTTGCGGAGGAGACGGTGGAGGAGGTGATGGAAGCTCTGGGGGCGTCCTCGGATAGGACGAAGGAAAGGCCACTCTTAGGAGAGAGCCGAAGAGGATATTAAGAAAAGAGCTAGAAGAACCGGCCCTACCTAAGCCTTCCAATGTTTCCCCACTCACGAGGGAGTCTCCCTCGGGCGTGACATTAACCACCGAGTAATAAAAGGACAGGACGGCATGGAGATGGGACGCATCCTGGTTCCCCGGCATGAAGAGCAGGAATTTCCTGGGGTAGCTCGGTCAGCTGGTGGATGCATTTTCGCCATTCGGTGTCGTGTTTCATGAGGCATATATATCAGAAGGCACAAACGGGGCGTTTGTTGGTGATCGGTCTTGTGGTGTTCGTGCCCGTGTCCCCAGCTCAAGACCGAGGCACATGACCCCTTGAGATCGTGCGCCTGACAGCGATCCACCCAAGACCAAGAAACGGCCCCCATCCATGTCATGGCAGAAAACAAAGATGCAGTCTGTGAATCAGAAGAAGTGCGTTATGCTTCACTTACCGCCACTCGTCAAAGCTCACGTATCCATCATTGTTGAGGTCCATGTCGCTGAAAAAATCATTGAGCCTTCGGCTTGACACCGTCAACCCCGCAGCCTTGAATGCCGTCTGGAGCTCAGACTTGTCCAGCTTGCCGTTGCCGTCGCGATCGATGGATTTGAATAGGTCGAAAAGTTGACGCTCCGCTTGCCGTACAAAATCTCGAAACTCTAGCAGGTCAAAGGAAAAAGCCCCAGGTCAGTAGCTGTAGCTAGCTATAGCTGTGTATAAGGCGGCTTGCGCACGCCAGAAACAATCAATCATGTACCTTCATATTGAATCCTTCCATCGCCGTTTGTATCCACCTCGTTCATGATCTTTTTCAGCATCGCATCCGCATTCTTCAGCGCTGTTTGCAAGAGAGAAAAAGTCAACAAAGGCCCAGATAGTCATTTGTGGGGTAGGATGCGCAGAGGCGCAAAAGAGAGGGAGGGAGCAGCTTCTCACGGTGATCAATCTTTTTGAAGCCCTTCTTCAGGCCCTTAAAGTCCAGCTCTCCGCTGGCGCTGGGCTCCAGCTGAGCCCAGAGACTCTCAACGCGATCATGATGCTGGATTTGCGGCTCATGAAGCCCTTTCTCCACCTCGGTAGCTGGCCTAGACTGTGTCATGGCTCTGGCATTTCTCGAAGGCGACGTCGAAGCGGCAATGGGGATGCCGCTGTGGGGTGAGGAATTCTGCAGGCACGTCGTCTTGTGTCGTTCCGGTGTTATCTCAGCCGCATCGTAGAGGTCTGGAGGCTTGCGATCTGGCGGGCGATGCCAATTGAGAAACGGGGACAGCAACTGACGTCGTAGCTCGGGAGCAGGATTGGAGGCCGCGGGTTAACGGACGGCTCTTTTAGGGAGGAATAGCCTGGGTAGCGCTGTGCTACGGGGGCTTTAGCGACCGCTACGTAATAAATCGCAGGTGTTTGGTTCGGGGCAAATAAGGGGGGTTGCTTTGATAAGGATAAGGCACGTCGCTTATCGCCCCGCAGCCTCTCCCGTCCGAGCGTAGATTGGCCCGACGATGCAGTATTACATGCAGTAGGTATTATGCGACACGCTTTCTTTCAACCTGGCAATCATCACTTATCCAAACCAGAGTCAGTCGTTACACGCTCCTTTCATAGAGTTACACGTCCGTCCCATCTCGCTGTCGGAGGGAGAGGCGCCTTCGCGGCCTCCTGCTCCACAGCCATGTCCGCCAACTACTGGGAGTCGACGCAGAAGCGATATTGGCTATTTACCAAAGATGAGCTCGCCCTGATGCGACAGAAGCTGGAGGACGAGAACCCGGAGATCGTGCGCATGTTTCCTCTTCCGCAGCCAAGACACCTAGCCATTTATTTCAATCAGCGTGAGTCCCCCGTGTTGCTTCTCGATCTCATCGTTTCCCAGCTAATTCTCCCTCTTTTAGAGTTGCTCAGGCTGGGGAAGCGTCTCACCATCCGCCAGCAGGCCATGGCCACGGCGCAGGTCTACCTGAAGCGCTTCTACACTCGAGTCGAGATCCGCCGCACGAACCCCTATCTCGTCATCACGACCGCGATATACCTGGCCTGCAAGATGGAAGAGTCACCTCAGCATATCCGACTAATCGTCACGGAGGCCAGACAGCTCTGGCAGGACTTCATCGGGCTGGACACGTCCAAGATTGGAGAGTGCGAGTTCTTCCTTATCAGCGAAATGAGCTCCCAGCTCATCGTGTATCAGCCCTACCGAAGCCTGCTGGCTCTGCGCAACGAGTTCGCCCTGGTGGACGAGGACGTGCAGCTCGCAAAGTCCATCATCAACGATCACTACATGACAGACTTGCCGTTTCTCTGCTCGCCTCACACCGTTGCGCTGGTAGCAATCCTCTTGGCTCTGGTTCTGCGTCCCAATTCCTCAGTTCCGGGACAGAACTCGTCCGGGGCCGCGGCTGCGGGCCTGGCTGCCGCACAGGCTGCGCTGAGCCAGGCGCACTCAGCTCGATCAGGCCAAGGAGGCATCCTCGCCGAAATCCCGTCCACACCGGAAGTAAAAGAACGCCATCAGGAAAACAGGATAACTCGCGTTCAGCATTTCGCGGCCTGGCTAGCCGAAAGTGACGTCGACATTGCCGCCATGGTGGACGCAACGCAAGAGATAATATCATTTTATGAGTGTTACGAACAGTATAACGACAAGTTTACTAGGGAGCAAATCAACCGCTTTGTCAAGGCTCGGAATCTCGATAAGTAGGCGCTTGGGATTGGTTTTGAATATAGCGGCATGGGAAGCGTTGGGGTTCATGGCGTCTTTGGTGTTTGGTAATGGTGTGCGTGTTTGAAAGTTGTTTTTCCACCAGGCGTTTCGCTCTTTTTCTTATAAAGACCTAGATCGAACGGCGGCATCGATTTTACGGAAACCTTCTTCAAAGCATTAGACTGGAAACAATCGCTAGTCATCTATTTTGGTATACTTCTAATTTCTATGTCTATTCTTTTTGGACCGAATCTCGCCGCTGCTCGCAGTTCCACTGCTCTAAGATGACCTGGTCTTGCTCTATCAACTGCTCTTCCACGATGCAATGGCTGCGTCAACGACTTCCTTGCCTTTGTAAATGGCAATGGAATGGCTGCCAGGAATCACGCGAACGTCTACGCCGTCTTCGCCCAACACCGCCCTGGTATCTTCGATCCACTCGTCCTTCACAATAAGAGCGTCTTTGTCTCCCAGAATGACGCAAACCCGTTGCAGCCCTCGACCAAGCTCCCGATTCGCAGCGAGCTTTCTGCTCAAAACTGCCCACATCTTGTCGTGCTGGTCGTAGATTGGCGAATAGCGAATGGTGCTCATATAACTGTGAACAAATGCCGGGTTGGCCTCCAGCTGCCAACCGATGACTTCACCGACCCTGACGGATCCTTCCTTCCCGACAGCAATCCGCACGTCGTCAAAGTGGACATCTCCTTCATCGCCCTCGGGGACATCCGCGCTCTGCCCATGCTGCGGTTCCAGCCGTGACCGCATCCAGCCCCGGAGGAGCCACTCGGGCAGTAAGCCGTGAGAATACATGAGACGGCTCTGCCAGGAGACATGGGCCTTTCGCACGAGGCCTCCCGGGCAGACGGCAGTGAGGGAGCGCACCATGTGCGAGTGGTATGCTGCAAAGGCGGCGGCGAGGGCACCGCCTAGTGAGTAGCCGATGAGGTGGAAGGACGAGGCGCCTGTCCATGACAGCGATGAAGATGCCAGCACGAGGAGGATCTGAGCCGTATAGAGGCACTCGTCGTATGCCGTATCGGAAGGGCCATCAGAGTAGCCTCTTCCAAAGAGATCTACATGGGCGGTGCATTGTAAGTTAGCACCCACTGCTCGTATATCTGAAACTCCCCCTTGACTTGCAAAAACGAAAACAAGCAAGCAGCGAGTATAGCAGCAAGTAAGGAAATACTTATAGAAACAAAGCAATATAAAAAAGAAAAAGAGATAGAAACGTACCAAAGAGCATTACTCGATACCCCTTTCTCACCAACTCCCACGCCATGTCCCCCATTGCAATGCACGGCGTCCCAATGCCATGCACCAGAAGCACCTTCTCGCCCTCTTCGGGACCCCACTCAAAGATCCTAATCGTGCCGTACACTGTCTCGACATCCCGGCCTCCCGGAAACAGCTCCGGCGGGTACGGCACGGCCGCGGCCGCCTTCTCGGGAGAGTCTTCCGGATCGGCGGGCGCACCACCATCACGATGCTTTACGCGGACGATGTTCGTCTTGGGGGACTTTGCGCGTGGTGACAAGGTCGGCCGGACGAGCAGGTAGAGGGATAGACAGGCTGCTGCTGCGAGGGCGGCAGTGCCTCTTTGTGAGAGGTTGTCGGGGCGAAAACGATGCCCGTAGAGACTCATGATCTTGGCCGGTTTTCCTTTTATTTGGTGGTACAATGCGAACAGAAATGAAACGCCAAATGAACAAGAAGATACAAGCAACACTCCGAGTCTATAAAGGCTGAAACGAGTTTTGTTTGGGAATCGAAAGCGTCAATGTTACTACATATTCTTATGTTGCGAACCTTGAGATGACCCATCTCCGAGGCCGTTGAGAGGGGCCGTTTACTCACCCCGCCGAAATGCCGAGGGTGTTTTCCTCTTCCGTTACCAATAAACGGCCGTATCTAAGCGGCAAAAGCGAATTTATGCGCTTTCTAGAACGACAAAATATGCGCAAATTTGATGAAAATTTTATGGGAATGCATAGGAGTTTTGTTTACTATTTACAAAAGGCGAGGTGTATTTGCTGTAATTTATCTTTCCAAATGTGGCGGCAATTGCATTCTACCGACAAAACAAAACACCAGATTTGCCTCACCTGCTTGTATCTAGATCACATTTCACGTTTATGATTGATATTAAAGCCCTTAAGAAGCCAAATCAGGGGAAAGGCCACTTCAAAGGCCATTTAGAATTTTAAGTTTCAGCTGGCTATTTAAATAAACAACCAATTAAAACGATGAGGAAGCCAAAAGTCCGCAATGATATATACACAGTATGAGACTTTATAAACTGAGGCCTCCGCAGGTTCGATTCGCAGGCAACCTTGCCTCTCAGTTCCCAGCAATTTTAACCTCCCCCGGGCCAAAAAGAACTCAGCCTTGATTGATAAAGAAGCCCGGCATACGCACCAGGAGTGAGGTGGTCAGCAAATGGCTTCAGTTCACAGCAATTTTAACCTCCCCCCAGGCCAAATATCTGCATTGCTAAGCCCTCCTGCAAGACAAACATGTAAAACTACGTCATCTTCACTAAAACCCCCTGCGTATGCCGCATGCAAGGGCGGTACCAAAGAAGAGCGAAGAAAAAAAGGTATAAAAAAAGTAACAAAGAGGGAGCCTTGCGCGAGTTAATTAATTCTTGTACATACACGGCGGCATGGTGCATCTTGGCCTGCAGGTGGATTAGAGGACAGCCACAGATTCTAGATTTCGGGGCTCTGCATACGATAAGGCACGCAGAATGCATTAGTATAGCACCTCAACAACAAGGCTCTTATCTACGGCAAGCCCGTCTGGTGCAATCGCCCTCTCCAGGAACGAGAGATCGACAATGCCTCGGGCCAGTATGTCGCAATAACAGGACGAACGCTTCTCCGTGTGTCCGTGGAGCGGAAGACCCGGCGCCACGAAGCCACACTCGGGGAACAAGGAGAGCTTAGAATCGCACCGTGTGGCTGCTCCTGGGTGGCTGTGCGCCCCGCCAGAGGTCTGAGATCCACCAACCCTGATAGCGGTATCTCGAGGAGAGCATCCGGAATGGAGCTCCAGAGGACATGTACCTGACCTCCAAGCGCTAGCCGAGCGCAAAGTACTCTCGAGAGCCTCCAGAGCACTTTGCAAGTCTCTGCTCTAGTCACTTCTCAGAGTTCCAGGTCATTTCTCTCCACATACGGGCGACGACTCCACTACGCCGTGTCTCGCTTCTCCACCAAATGAGACCCGAGACAGCCAACAGGAACTCAAGCTCCGTGTCCATAGCCACGACTTGAGCCAATCAAGAATGGCTATCACATTTGCAAGTATCTGTCCCCTGTCGACTCACCGCTTTTTCATGGGTCCGGCAGGGTTTCGTCCAGGGTTGAAGACCAGGGTGTGTGCAAGGGGTAATTAGAAGATGTTGCTGCTTTTATCTTGCCTGGGCTTGTGGCTTTTGCTCTTGGGTCTTGGAACTTGGAGCGGGCTCGTACCCTTGTAGAAGGCGGAAAGAAGGAAAAGAAGAACGAGCGTTTGTGGGTACTCATTCGTCCATGCTACCTGACCTGAAGGATCCGGAGAAGAGCCAGTTGCGGCTAATGATAAGCTGACGATCGATCGTACATAGTGCTGCTTCTGGCCATATCGAACCGGGTCCAGGCACCGAATGCTTACAGTACAGGCACCATACAAGTCCGTTGGGCGAAATATGGGGTGCAGCAGATACCGAACGATCCCAGCGGTCGGAAATGGGATTGAGAGCCAACCAAACAGACGTCTACCGGAAGCAAGCAGCCAGGCAATGAGGAGCCACGCGATCGAGCGGCGAACCGAGCCGGATACAGTGGGCGATCTGAGCATCTGTTAGTACTGCTGAGGGCTGCTACGGAGCACCCCAGACAGCATCACGTTGGCTGGATTGGAGCTGTACCGGCAACCCTCCGAGACACACTGCTAGTAGCGGTACAGTACGTTGTTTTGTGTATCTGCAGGGAGACGAGCGAGGGATGATCCCAGAACAAAAAGAGTTCAACGGCGAGTGCTAGAACGACAAGCTAGGTCTAGTCGGTACTCGTCCGTAGCAGCTGGCTGTGCTGTTTGTGGAAGTCGACGGTGGTACTGCCGTACTGTATCGTCACGATGGTCACACATGGCCATGCCATGCTCGAACCAGAGGCCAGACCAGGCCACCCATCCATCCAATGCCACGTCGGAGCCGCCCCGGCGTTTACTGCTGCTGGTAGGACTCGCTCAGGAGTGCCCGTCTGCGCACAAGGCGATGGCGCTTGTGGCTGGATGACGCTGCCGGCTTTGTTAGCGCCCTCAACCTCTACATCGCGGTGTTCTATTCGAAGCACCTTTAGCCTTTGCTTTTGCAGAACGAAGCAAGCTGATGCGGCAACACCGCGCGCTACTGGCCTGAGACGGGAACCCCGTGCAGAGCTCGATGCAAAACCGGCGGCTATGGCGTTACTCAGGCGGGCAACACGCTCAAAGCTACTGCGAGCATGTTCCAGCTTTGCTGAAGCAGGCCACCGAGAAGCGATTGGGTAGCAGCGATGACGGCATCCTCCTGAAGATATCATCAGACAGGAAGAAGCCTGGCATGATCCTGACGGCAGAGGAAGCAAGAATAGCTCTCGGGGTGCTGCAATGCCACAAACGCCCGGCAATTGCAATTATAAGCCTGGGATGGGCACTGATGGCCAGACCAGACAGATTAGATTGGGCCAGATGAACCAAGCCTCGCTGCAGCGGCATCGACCACCACCGGCAGCCAGCCATGGGGGAGGCGAAGCAGCTCTTTGCAGATCGATGCCGCGGTGTTACAAGCTGCATCGATCCAATGCAGCTCTGTGAAACCCCGAATTTAGACTGTCTTGGACCAACCAAGCTTTTCGTCACGTTCGGCAGCGTTCAGTCTGCCACCCAGCATGTAGTGCTATTGGGCTGATCATATTCTTGGAGGGTCCCCCTAAAGGGTCTCAGTCTGAGCCGCTCATGCTGTGTATGTGTGTGCAAGCAGGTAGGTATCTGCGTTGCCCTGTTCTTGCTTGTCCAACGCATGAAATGAGCTTCCCCAAGCTGCACAGAATCATGGAGGAGGCGCAGATGCTTGAACGATAAAAATGCCCCGTGGGTGGGATCTGCAACACCATGGAGAGAAGCCCATCACCAGATTGGACAATGCCCTGCCGCCATTGGCAAGGAATCCGGCTGGCTGCCGACGGTGGCGTTGGCCCAAACCTGTCATTTGATATGAGAACTTGGTCCAGCACACAGCAGACGCATCCCTTTTAGCATCGTCATTCCACTTTGGCCGCCCATCCAACCACCGCACCACGCCACAGTGCGCGAAGGCGTGCTTACTAGAGACCGCCACCTTTTTCGCTCTCCCCCCCTGTGCGGATTACTTGCAGTGGTGAGAAGGGTTGGGGTTCATCGAGCAAGTGAAAGTGTGCTTGTAGAGTGTGAGTGGGCTTTGGGGGACGGTGCTGGATTCAGCAATGAGTGGGAAATGAGTGCTACTGTGCAGCTGGCTGAAAAGAGTTGGAGCCGGTGCGCGGCCGGGCCGTGGAATCTCGCCCATCTGTCGCGAAAGGGTCGACGACGGCCTCGCTGTCCGAGAGATGGTACCTTGGATGGAGATGGTACCTAGAGATGGCTTCGAGCTGTGGCTGTGGGGGAAAGTCAATCCGCAACTGTGGCGAAAACAACAAAAACAGCCTTGGCAGGCAGACGCTGAATTACGATGCCGAAGAGGCGAGCCAGGCAAGGTCAATACTGTAGAATATAGGCTGCAGAACTGTTCAGTACAGGTAGACTGCCTGCTCTGCCGAAGAAAAGGGCCAGGCCAGCCAAAGAGGGGCGGCTCGACTCCCTGCCAGGGGCGTTTTGGCTTGGCTTGAGGTTTCATCTTGGGGCCTGGCGGCAAACTGGCGCAGGTACAAGGCCGAGTTATGGAGGCAGAATGAGAAACGGAATGCGTTTCTTCGCAGCGTTCCCCGTCTTGTGTCGATGTCTGGGGGTGTGCAATTTTGATGGTTCGAGTCTCGTCCAACCAGTCAGAAATGCAACGCACACATTATATACTGGAACTGGGGAAGTTATATGGCAGATAAGTACTTCTTCAAATCATACAAAAGCCATAGTAATGCTATGTACTTACCTACTAGTACTCTTATACAACACCCAATGTCTCGCTCGACGCACAAGGCGAGGATGCACCAAGGGCAGCTCTCTCCGCTTTCAAACCCAAGAGCCAAGCACGGGTACTGAGAGAAAGACAAAAATAAACATAAAATAAGAAAAACAAAGGCCGGAGCAAGTTGATACTGACTGACTCCGGATTGCCTACTTGGAGCCCGGCACGTCGGTAGCAGCCGTACATGCAGATGCGGGCCGAAATGAAGCAGCTTCATCCCGATGGCATCGCATTGACAGAGGATATTGCCTCTAGTACCTCGCTTCTCTGTTTCTCGTTAAAATTTCGACTGATGTCATTGGAAGCAAACATGGCCTTTCATCAGGACCCGGACTGGAAATTACTCGCAGCAGCAAGCCCGAGAGCGAGGTTCCAATTTCCGCCCATGCTTATTGCGAATTTTAAAGCAAATTCCCCCATGAAGAGAAATCCTCCATGTCTGCATGTATGCTTCTTCTGCCTGATGGAAAGCTGGGCGGCAAATTGATGCAGCTATTTTATTACGGGCACAATTGGTGAGTACCTGTAGCGCCACCACTACCAGCACCCAACTCCGCGTACTTTCTATGTATAGCAGTGTGTTCCTGTACGGAGCTATTGGACCCAAATATTGCAATTCTCTCATCTTCCCTCATCTTACTGTTCCTGGCCAGAAGGAGCCAGAAAGAGGCTCCAAATTAGCAACCTCTAACTGTATACTGTACTGAAGCACTCTTCGTCTTCGCCCTCGTACCACATCGCTTGCGGGATTCGCACCATGTTGGTCAGCAGAGGTGACAGGAAATCGCGTTAGGTCCGCATGGACCGACGACGCACTAGGCACGAAAACGATGCAGTCAAGTGATCATCCCTTTGAGTCGGCGAGCTGGAATGGCTGGGATAGCCACGCAAACCACGCACTGGGCGTTGGGGAGAGGGTCCCGTCGCAACAACAAAGGGCGCTGGGCAGTTATGGCCACGTCCACTGTGCACTGCTGCCGTACAGTGCAAGCTCGCGCGCACAGTGGCGTATTTCTCCAGAAAATGGTGGGAAGATCCCTGGGCCACTACCGTGTGAGCGTGGACGGGATGCTGGTCCTCCCATTGCCACCGTGTGAAGTTGGCAAAGTCTATCCCCATCTGGGGCCCATGCCAGCAAATTGGGGCATCTCACGTTTTGTACAAGTAGGTGCGAAGAGCAATGAGTGACTTGGCTTCCACGCAGCCCGCCACGCGACCTCTCGGTACCGGCCAGCGCACTTGGCGCTGTGGAGGCTTTTTGCGATGGAGGCCTGGCGCCCGGTTGGTAATGATGCAGGGGCAAAAGTCTAGGACCACCGAGGCATACTTGCGCATACTGTACTGGACTTGGGGGCATCGGGATCACGGTACAGAGCGAGACATTCGTGCTGGGCAGAGGCTGCTAGCACGGACACTGTGCAGGGCGTCTACCGGTATACGCGCGGTTTGTGTTTGTGTGTAGGTATTTGTTGTTGTGTTGTTCCCGGTGTTGCTGTTTTGTAGCACTTGGACGGCTTGCCGTGCTTGGGCGTGACGCAGTCATCGATGTCTCAGCGCTTGTTGCAATATTGGATCAAATGTCCAGATATGCCAGCGCATGCAGTGCATCAGGGCGTCCGTGCGTGCGTGGGAAGAGAAATCTGGGGGGGGAAGGATTGCTGAGTAGAGCGCGAGAGCGCCCGAGTCCGTCCGGCTTCATCGCATGGAAACTCGATTGATTGTCTCTGTAGCTAGGCCGCTTGCAGATCAGCACAGTATGGCGGACGCGGCGCTGGAGAAGAGGCAGTGGGCGGATTGTTGCGCATGCACGGTGTGGTTTGCCACCTGACGACACGGCTCCATCGAATCAGCCCCTGGCATTCGCCCGCTGCTGCGCTGCCGCTGGCGTCTCATCGATGGTGCCACAGTGCGCCATCGGCGCCATACGTGCGGCGGCTACCCTGTAGCGCAAAGTACCGCGTGTGGCGCTCTGCAGCAATCCCCACTGTGCACGCAGCCACGCACACGCCCTGGAACCCCCCCCAAGGGGCCCCTAGTCCCGGTACGGAGCCCTCGACCTGCTAGTACGACCCAGCACTAGCAGCGCTGCTGCACGCCAGCCCAATCGCTAGCCGGTGGCGAAGACGGCGCATCCTGGCTCGCCGGAATCTCATTCGACAGGCTGCGCCGCCGGGACCTTCAGCGAAGAGGGTCCCCCAAAGGGCTTCGCAACCAAACAAAAAGGCCGCTGCCCGCCGCAACCCCCCGAGCGCTTCTGCCCTGCTTCCCTCTGCTCTTTTGCTTTTTCCTGCTTCCCACCCATTTGTACCACCCGCCCCCAAACGCTCTGCAGTACCTCTGTTGCTGTTGCTACCACATTAAACTTCTCTTCACACATTTTCTTGCTCTCCAAAATTAGATACATACACAAACCCACGCCGGCACTTTGCAGCAACGACTTTTTCTTCATCGTCCCGATTTGTCGTAACTGTCTAATTCAATCAATCCGCTTCTTCTGCTGCTCAAGCAAGACTCGATACTCTGCACCGTCAACTACCAAATCGTTGCTGCCCTACCGCTTAGCGCCTAGGCTTCAATTCCACACACAACATTTTTGCACCAAGCAACCAAACGTCCACAACCCGGGCTTGTCCACCTCTCACGCTGGACCACCACTCCGACTCATAACATAGACTCCCAGACCGAACCATGTCTTCATACTACGGATACAACGCGCATGCTGCGCACGTCGCCGCTGTCTCGCACAACCACCACAGCGGCGGCCGCAACCGCAGAACCCCCCGCCTGACCGTCTCGCAGAACTCGCAGCGCCAGTTCCGCGGCGTGCGCAGCATGAAGGAGCTCAACGAGACGGCCGCCCTGTCCGCCTTTCGCACCCGCTTCGAGGCCGGCCGGTCTTTCGATCTCGAGGACGACCTCGAGTTCTGCCCCGGCCTGCTGACTGACAGCGACGTGAGTAGCCCTTCAAGATCGGGGGCCTCGTCCCCCTCGTCTCTGCGCAGCCTCTCTGACTCGCCGCGCCAACAGCTGGTTTCCATCTCTGCCTCGGAGCGCTCCTCGCTCGCCAGCAACTCGCCCGAAGCCTCGCCCACGCAGCAGCCCCAGACCGTGGCCCCCGCCTTCTCGCTCAACTCGTCATCGCCGCCCTTTGTCCCGCCCAGCTTCCAGTCTCAGCCTTCGAGCTTCAAGCTGCACCAGCCCTCTGCCGCGCGCGGTCGCAATGCCATCCCCATTGTCAACCCCGCCACCGGCATCTCCATGCCCAGCCCGCCTGTGTCACTGTCGCCTGGCCGCCTACAGCAGAACATTCGCCGATGGTAGAGTGTCTTGGCGGGTCGTCTGCGCTTCCCTAGTTGGGGAGACGCTGTCACGGATATTGTGAAGACGACTCCCTCGCACTTGCTGTCGCGTGCTGTGCGTTCGTTGAAGAAAAAAAAGCACGATTGCGTCTTTGTTTTACGGCACTCTTTTTTCTTTTGTCATGGCGGGCACAAGCGAAACTTTCAAAAACCAAAGTGACATATCACCTTTTTCGTGGGCTGGGTTCCTCGAGGCTGTTGACTCTTCTCTTCTACTCTCTCTACCTCTCTCTCTCTCTCCTATAGACCTGCGGTTGCTGGCAGTCGCCTTCAACTAGTCATAGGCTACCTCCACAAAAAAACACAAAACCATCCTTCTCACCTCTCAACATATCATCACACCTCTACCCATTCTTTTGTATAAGCACCTTTAATCTGCCATACACCGATTTGTTTCGACAGAATTTTCTTACGAGGATATTACCGGCGCGACTTGAGAAAGATCGATACCATTTTTCTGTTTTTGTTACTTCTCTTGCAAAATGCCGCCTTGCTGAGTTTGAGGCTGCTGGGAACGCATGGCGTTTTTGATTTTTTTTTTTCTTCCTTGTATCACGGCAATTTCCTTGCATTTCTCTATAATTGTGTTGCATCGGTAACCGACAGTGGAGTTGTGGGATTTATTTTCTCATTTTTATAACGACTATCCGGCGTCTCACCATCTCTGGAAGTGCATTGTCCTTCCTGCTTAAAAACACTATAAAATGCCTTCTGCCTTGCGGTTATACGGGTTACGAAGTCATCAAGACAACCAAAAAAAGAAAGATATAGAAGCGAGTATCTTATGAAATTGTGTTGGAAGCGGCGCGGCTGTTCTTGTCTAGTCACATACGGGAAATACCTTGGGCTGGCGGGGTTCTTGGGAAGATGAGCGGTTCTTGTTTGCGGCATCACTATACTGGAAACGGTTCTTTTTGCTTTTTTTTTTTACAACCTTTTATTACTATTACTGGGAAACAATCGGGGAGTTGGTCTGAGTCGATTTTCTTTGGGGGAGTTGATTGCGGCGCCGCAGTGTGCAAATCGAACCGGGGAAAGCGGCTTGTTCTTTTGTTATTTTTGTCTCGTCTTTTTTTCGAAACTTGTTACAATATCTCCCCTTTGGGAGACACAGCGTGTGGATCTGTCCTGTTTGGTTCTTCTTTTCGCTGCTCTGACGAACACGCGAGCCCCTTGTGTTACTGGATATTCCCTCTCTCCGTCTGAGAAAAAAAGACAACTGTTTGATTATTATCTCGTGTGTTTTCTATTTTTTGTTTCTATTTTGCGAAGCATATTGGAGTGGGCTTTGGGAGGAAGGGAAAGCTACATATGAACAATGAGATCTGGTTTTGCGGGTCGGGTTTTTCAAAGGGATTTTCTCGGGCTTTTCCATTTATATTTGGAGTCGCCCCTTTTCGGTGTTGTTGCAAATCTTCATGGGAATTTTTGGGGGTGTTGGAACAGCGGATCGACGTTATCCGGGGAATTTTATATGGCGCATGTGTGTGGTTTAGATACCGCGGCTTGAAAGCCTACAGGACGAGAATATACGAATGTTTAAACAATTATTTATTGCCTACGTGATGAGTGTTTGCCTCTAGATAGGGGGAAGCTATCCGGCACCCCAGCTGTAACTCAATACTATAGCTAATCTGCATATTAAGATCAAATTAATACAACTGTTGAATACCTTTAAAGTAGTAGCATCAGTAGCATCGGTAACATTGATAGCATCAATTCAATTTACATGGTATGCGGGTACCTTTTTTGCAGCAAAAGTTACCTACCCGTTTTGGCATCGTGGCGGAGAGCACCACGCTTGAAGCTTGACTTGGATACCAAGGCATGTTGAACGAATATAGAGTCCATCGATCACGACACACAACGGCATCTCAAGATATCAAGTACTAAAATCCCTCCTTTCACAATTAATTTTAAGCATAAAAAGGTGTTTATCATTTCATTTCATTGATCATCACGAGTAAGATGCTTGTGCTTGTCAGAACATGTTGCAATGGTGACGTCACAAAGCCGCGGCTATGGCCCTGTGCCAGCCAGAAGCTTGGCTTTTCGATTGCGAGCTACCTGTGTCGATGAGCGCGAATCCGTACCTTTTCGGTGAGGTGGAGAGAGAGAAGTGACATGACGTTTGCAAGTTTGGGTTTGTTCTCTCTTGCTTTGCTCCTTTTTTTTTTAAGCTTTGGGGATTTTAATCTCCTCTCTTTTCTCTTCTTCTCTTTCCTCTTTTCTTTTCATCAATCCTAACATCTTACACATCGACTTACCTTGACTCTTATTCTATCTCGACTTACTCACAGCATCAATTGAATCTTCTCCTTAACTTTCAATTATTCACAAACCTTCTTTTTTTCAACATGTATTCTCGAAACTTGACTCTCCGTGCCGTCGCCGCTGCGAGACAAACGGCCATTTGCCATCGCGGCTTTGCCTTTTCCGCTACCAAGAGACTGGGCCTCAAGGAATCATCAACCCGTACGTCCAATTTCCTCTGGAAATACCAAAAAGGAGACTAGATTTTTGCTAATTAGAGCCATGAAGAAACAAACGTCGACTACGACCTCCACAAAAAGGACTCCCTCGCCAAGCAGAAAAAGGGCTCCGGCCACTGGAAGCCCGAGCTCGCGTCCGACAGCGAAGAGGCCGTCAAGGCGGACCGCGCGTCGAGGGATAGCCATTCGTCGGAGCAGATTGCCGCGTTGCAGGAGAGGACGAAGAAGTCTGCCGAGGAGACGAGCAAAGCTGGGACGAGTATGAGAGATGCCATGTAAAAATATAGTCTGGTGGTGGTTTTTTTTTTTTTTTTGTGCTGGTATGATTTAGTATGGTGTGGTTATAGAGAATGACAATTACTGGCAAGGACAGAGATTGTTTATATTGAAATCGTCATTGAATGGCCGAGTAAAGGCTGTATAAGAGCTTTGTTGCCGCGAAATCATCACCAGTGTGTCTATAAATATCCCATGCTATCCATCACAAGACGCCAATGAAAACTCCCCTGGCTTCATGTTGTTAATCAACAAGAAGACATTCAATTTAAATTTGATAGCCCTTATGCTTATGAGATCGCTTCTGTCTTCTCATTTCTACATTGCGGCCCTTTTATTCACTCTGTCATTTTGCCCAAACAAGTTGGAATGCCTACAAGTTCAAAAAGAAAAAAAAAACGAAAAGGAAAATCCAAGACAAATAGCAATTGCACGTTTCGATCGTGCGACCTCCGGGTTATGAGCCCGGCGCGCTTCCACTGCGCCAAATTGCTTTCTTTTTTGTTGAATCCACCTTTGATCTCCTCGTCGCTGCTCACTCGCCTTTTGTCAGTTCCTCCAGGGTACGAAATCGAAGCCTTTGCTCAATATCCGCCACCCCCACATAAAGTGCTCGCATCTCCGATCGCTTTTCAGCGGTTATCGATAAACCCACCCACCTTTATCGGACTCATACATACATACAGAACTATATAGCTTCAACCTCTCTCCGAACAAACAAATATTACTCTCCTCCCACTGTTCCAAATAAAGAGGCTGGGCTTCTCCAGCCCTCCCCTTCTTTTTCATCATTACCTTTCTTCCTTCTCCATCTCCTCGCAATGTCTTCCTCCTCCTCACCATCCTTCCAATCCGCCCTCCTCGCCGGCGCCCTCGCCGGAACCACCGTCGACCTCTCCCTCTTCCCCCTCGACACCCTCAAGACCAGGCTCCAATCCTCCGCCGGCTTCTTCCCCTCGGGCGGCTTCTCAGGCATCTACCGCGGCATCGGCTCCGCCGTCGTCGGATCCGCCCCCGGCGCGGCCTTCTTCTTCTGCACGTACGAAACTACAAAGAGCTTTCTCGGCAAACGAATACGACGAAATAGCAACGACGCAAGTGATGGCTGGGTGCCGGCGGATATCCTCACGCACATGGGCGCCTCCAGCCTGGGCGAAATCGCCGCCTGCTCCGTGCGCGTGCCCACCGAGGTCGTCAAGCAGCGCGCCCAGGCCGGCCACCACGGCGGCTCCTCCGCAAAGGCCCTAGGCCACATCCTCAGCCGGTACTCGGCCACGGGAGGGGGGCTCTTCGCCGTATGGCGCGAGCTGTACCGCGGCTGGGGCATCACCGTCTTCCGCGAGGTGCCCTTCACCGTCATCCAGTTTCCGCTGTGGGAGGCCATGAAGGCTTGGGGTCGCCGGCGCCGCAACGACGGGCGGGACGTCTCGGCCGGGGAGAGCGCCCTCTATGGGAGCTTGGCGGGAGGCGTGGCCGCCGCGTCGACGACGCCGCTTGACGTGCTCAAGACGAGGGTCATGCTGTCCAAGGAGCGCGTGTCGGTGGGCGAAGTGTTCCGGCGCATGGCGCGAGACGAGGGCGTCCGGCCCTTCTTTGCGGGCATTGCGCCGCGCGTGACGTGGATATCGATTGGCGGGGCGATATTTCTCGGGAGCTACCAGTGGGTCATTAACACGATGAATAGCATACCATCATGACAGAACAGACCTCACGGCTTTCTTCAAGACATTTGCGACAGACTCATAAAGGGACAGGTATAAAAGAGAAAAGGGTTATATATAGACGCTGTGACGAAAGGATATGTATGTATCAATATAGCTGTATAAACAGGAAAGGCAATTATTAGGAGGGCTCTTTGTATGAATATAGATCAGCGCTTCGATACTGTATATCCTCCCTCCCTATCCCATGGGATACTTTTGTGTACAATAACGACAACAAAGATACGGCAATAAAAATTATTCAGGAAGAATTGCCAGATACATATATATACTGCTCGTGAGCAGGGATATAAACCACAGACAAAGGACAGAGGCGGGGGGGAAAGAAGCAGAAAGAAACATCACGCTACTAGAAACCTGAAAAGCAGGAACAAGGTATCAGCCAAGAAAGACAATGCGCCTATACACCGTTGGGAGCCTCAGTCGGCTCTGCCGTGGCTTGCACGGGAGCTGCCTCTACGGGCACTGCATCGGAGCTAGGCCGTAATGGCAGGATTTCCTTGCGGCCGTTGGCTTTGTAGTAGAGCATGATGTCGCTTCCGCCCTTCCAGACATGGGTTCGGAGTGTGGCAAGGTTCATTGTTGGATGAAGGAGCTGCAGGAAGAGGCTTGTTAGATATTGAAACGTTCATAGCAAGATAAAAGTGCCGGTAGAGGCATCTTACCTGGTCATTACAGTAAAGCTCAAGATACTCCTCAGGCTTGAGCGCATTAGGATCCTCCTCTTGCTCGGGCTCAATCCTCTCGGATATGTAAGCCAGAATCTTCTTCACCCGCAGCATGCGATTGGCGTTCAGTCGGCTGTTTCCATCCGAGGCGATCGGAGGCAGATTGTCCATGGGATTCAGGATAAATGATATCTTGATGGGGTCCTTCATCGGAATCTGGTTCAGCAGCAGCACGTCGCCGAGCCACATGGGCGCCTTCTGCTCGATGATGTCGGCATCTCGGCCGACATGCTCCACAGTCCCTTGATACAAGTTTGCACTGCCACCCGATGTCTCTTCCTGGATAATGACCTTGGTCCCAGGGGGCAGTTTCAAAACGGGAGTATCGGATGGTAGGCTCGGTGTTACTCGAGTTTCGACCAGCTTATCGGGTGATTCGGCAGTCTGCTTATCGTACTCGTTTCGAATCTTCTGGATAACCCCAAAGAAGCTATCATCGACTTCCTTGTCATGGTTGGAAGAAGACTCGGATTCTTCAGCCTTGTCATCGACGACGACCGGCTTGTCCTGTGTCGCCTGAGACAACGAGCGGCCAAGCTTTCTAGAGCTGAAAGACATGCGGAATTTTCTGCTGAATGGAGATTTGCTACTTTCGGCCTTGTCCTTTTCCTTGCCTTTTTCATTGCCGTTATCCGTGGATGTCTTGGGTTCGGACGTCTCTGCCGCGGCCGCAGGGGCTGCTGCTGCTGCACCGCCCGCTGGCGTAATACCCGCAGTAAAATAGTCATTTTCGGCAGATGGGCGAGACCCTGCCTTCTCCAGGGGGCTTGCTACAGCCTCTTCTGGTACGCCCTGAAGAGTCATGACAGCACCTGGAGACGCCAATCCGATCGCGAGGCCAGGAGTGGTCACACTGAGATGAGGAAGGCTGGCGCGCGGAGTGAGGAGTTGATCTGATGAATCTCTCATGGACAGACCAGGCGAGGGTATAATAATTGATGATGGCGCATCGGCTCGGGTAGTAGGTTGTCTCTTCTCCACACCTTCATTCATCTTTTGCCGATGTAGCTCGTCACGTCGAATCTCTTCATCGATGAGGTTGGCGAATAGATACCGCAGAATCCATTTTCCAAGGCTGACTGAGGAAGAATATTAGATTATTGCAGTGAGAGAAAGCGAGGATGAGACTTCAAACTTACCTCTCTGGTCATCTCTAAACTCAATGGGCTCATCCAGTTCCAGCTCATCGGCGTATACCTCGGCATCGAAGCAGTTGAACGGCTCTAGCACAACTGTGAGGTTGCCGGAGCTCAAGTCAACCGAGCACCACGGCGCAACCGCTTCTCTCGTATTGATCTGTCTCTCAACGTCCTCCAGGTGTTTTTTCCCGAAACTTTTGACTGGTTTACACTAATCATGTGTAAGCATTCAACATAACAAGGAGAAGAAAAGAGAGACTGCAGGATGGACGTACCTTGATGAGATCCCATAGCAATATGTCGCCGGCGGTATCTGAAGTCAAGACTCTCCTTCTATCGTTGAGTAGCTTGTGCTTCACAAGACCAAATTGGCCTTCAATCGTTTCTATAGGCAAATTGTAGATGGCTTTAATTTCCGGCTCTGGCTGCTCCACAGCGACTTCTGATCCTTTTCTTGATAAACCATCATTGACAGGATTCGGTTCGGAGTCCAAGGGCGCGCGCAATGGGAAAGTAGCTGTATTAGATACTCGCAAAATCGACTCGGCGGGGATTTCTTTCTTGGCTGATCCGTTTGTTTGCGGTTGAGGTGCTGTTACTGCTGCTATTGACGCTGCTGCCGATTGCCGTGTTTTGTTTGAGGCCGCTGACAATGCGCGCTGACGGCGGTACGTCTCGGGGAGTGGCAGGTCTGCACTCGTGTCCACGTCTTCCCAGCGGTTGATTGATGATCGGTCGGTGGCTGTCCAGATGTAACCGCCCGTGGCCACGACCTTGGAGACTCCAAAATGCTCCTTTGCAATAGCGAGACTAAGTCCGTCATCAATGTCCTCTAAGCTGCCTCGCACGTCGGTCTTGGCAACGAGGCCCGATCTGTCGCTGCTATAAAATGTACCGAGGCGAGGGTCGTCTGAATATAGCGACCAGATACTCTCATCGTGCATGGTAAATGTATACACGCAACGACCACCTCTGACGCTCCACATCTTGATCGTCTTGTCGGCACTGGCGCTCAAGATGGTATCGCCCACATCGTCAATCAGGATGGCGCGGATGTTATCTACATGGCCGACGAGGTTGGAGACCTTGGAGCCGGAGCGCGGATCGTAGAGCTTGACCGTCTTCTCGGGTCCGCCACTGGCAATGAGGTTGCGGCCCACTGCGAGAGCGTAGACGGATCCCTTCTCCGTGGTCTCTTCACCCTTTGTAACCTCGAGTGTCTGGCCCGCGCCGTTGAGATCCCAGAGACAAATCTTGCGGTCGAGGCCGGCCGAGGCAACCCAGTTGGCATTCACATCTCTCGGGGGCGTTGCGACGCATTTGATATAGTCGGCATGCTCTCCAATCTTGAGGGCGCGGTTGCGGCCTTCCTGAGAGTGTGGCCGCCAGACTTTGACGGTGAGGTCGGAAGATGCCGAGACTAATGCGGTGTTCTGTTGCGCTAGAGTGATGTCGTTGATCCAGTGCATATGCGCCTGCGTCTGTGCTCGGAATGTGGTGGTCGATTTGGGTGGCTTCGCGGACGCATCGTCGGTGACGTCGGCTCGGCGATGCAGGTCAAGGTTCAGATCCCAGGCGCAAATCATGCCATCGCGACCGCCGGAATAGCTAAAGAAAAAGAGAATCCATATATTAGCGAGCCTTTTTTTTTTTATTGTCTTGGGCGCACACCCTGTGCAAGCAGCGCAGAGTATCCAAGTTGAGAACCGCTTACAGGATGGCGTTGTCCGGATCGACGGCGAGGCCATTGACACCAAGGCGATGTCCGCCTGCCGAGGACTTGGCATTTTCGAGAACTGGTAGGACAATATCAGCAACTATAAGCCAACATCTTCCTCAAAGTTGATTTGTCCAGGCAGTCTACAGAGCTGTCGGTTCGTCGTGCGATATGCCATGGGCCGTCTGTCGCGTGCGGGGTGGGCTCACGACATGCAGGTGCAAAGCAGTCGAGCAGTGACAAATGCCGCCAGAGCACGGAGTCGCGGGGGTCTCACCGTAGCTGATCCTTTGACGCGCCTTCTTAGCCATGGCGAAACAAAGACATAAAAGCAGCTCAGGGATAGAGCGAGGCACGTCGAAGCTTTCCTGGGAGCGAATGACGATGGGCTCAGAAGCGAGGGAAGAGGGCCGCCTGGAGTCGTTGCGGATGCTACGCTGGGGAACCTTAGTCGGCGGTGGGAGCGGCTGGATTGGCCAGGCGGAGCTCCCCTGTAGGCCCTGCAGCAGTGCGGTCTTTAGCGCCTGCCGGTGTCATTCCACGTGTCTCCCAGTGGCTGTGGAGCAGCGCCGCTATTGATTCGCGAGAAGAGCGCAGCAAAGGCCAGTTGCAGCGCTTCTTTAGCCGGGAGCATTCCTGTAGCTTTCCCCAGGTGGGGGCCGCGGATTAGCGATCAGCGAGACCCCGAGCCCTGGGAAAGACTGCTCGAGGTGCTGGAGATTGGAGATTGTCGCACCAGAGAGCTGAGTCGCAGCGGCATGAGATTAAGAGGCGGTGATGCGTGAGATGGAGCCGAAACGGGCAGGCCATGGAGCTCATCGAGGCTTTACTAAGCAGACACTACTACGGGCACAAAGAAATTCATGTAGCGAAATATATTGTGTGCGCCAGCTCTCATAACTAATGGAGGTATCATGATGTGAAAGAAAAAAAAGAACGCTCTTCTCCAGTGCTGCCATCGTCCCCTCCAACTCCCTTCTATATATGCAGCCAGACTTTCGCTTTTCATTGTCATATCGTCATTCCATCGTTCGCGCATCTATAGCACCACTGTCTGTCTTTCCAATCCAACGTCTCGAGTAATCCACGAAAGATTCGGCATATGGTATATCCAAAGCGATGGAATGATGAGGAATTCGCGCGGACAGCGCCGATGTCGCTTTTTGAGGGTGAGGGTTGTTTTTGGCATGATGGAAAAATTGCCGGTGGTAAATGAATTGATCAATCCGCTGGTGTGGTTGGGGTAGGTACACGCGTCGCTTTGCATATCCGAGTTCGCCGTGTTGAGGCTGCTCCGGATATCGACTGCTCGCAAACAACGCTCAGCGGCTTAAATAGGGTACGTTATGTCTCTTGCTCCGTCTGTGGCGATGGCCTCTACATGACGACGCATTTGCATGCGCAGCCCATGGGGCACCATCGAGCAGAGTGGACTCGGCTGTTGCCTTCGCATTGGGGGCAGTCCTCGGTGTCATATGCGATCTCTTCTTTCGGGCCCGTGCAGTCCTCGCGATAGCATCGTGTATTGCCTCGGGAGACTTGGTGCTTGCACCGATATTCGATGATGCTGCGTGTACACATTGTGCTGGAGCTGGTAGTGCTGTCGTTGAAAAGCTCGGACTGTCGCAGAGGGTGAAAAGCCGCGATGGCACGATCAGTGGCGAGGTATGAAGGCGATGCTGTTTGCAAAAAGGGTGTTGTTCTCGTAAATTATGTTCACAACAAGTCAAAAGCTAGTCCCGCTCAAAGGCATTGTCTCAGGGTCAACGAGTGTAAAGCGTAAAGCATAAAGCATGTGGAAAGCATAAGCATATCCTACAAGTACGACACATCCAATGGAGGCGATGCACCGTTCTTGACCAAAGGCCACCTCCGGTATTTAACGTTTGATGGGACGACGGGCTGCGCGCAAAACAGCGACCCGGCGCACTGTTAGCTGATCTGACGCCAGGGCAGATTCCGTGGCTACCGAGCCAAGGCGCGTAATCACTGCGGTCCGGGAAACCTTTGAGCCCCGAATGGAAGGATTTTTTCTTTCTCATCGTACGTACGCACCGAGCAAGAGGCGCGCTAATTATTTAGTCGAGGTACGTTTCGGTGGCAGTGCCAGTTCAGTTCCATTTCCAGTGCCAGTACCAGAGCAAGCTATACGCACACGATACGAGTACGCAGTTCCGCAGCTTGTCTCAATCGAGGGCCCCTGGTGGCGCATGTGACTCGCTCATCTTTGTCCCTTGGAGTTTGCTGTGCTTCATTGCCTGACTGAGCGGTCGGGGTTCGCGATTGCCGCGGTTTGTGGTCCGAGTCTGGGGCATCATCGCATCGCATCGCATCGCATCGCAAAGAGCTCGTTTAAACTACTGCAAGGGACTTGTTTGATATCCACCTCGGAGGACTATAGAGATAGAGAGGCACAGCAGGTACCTCGAAAGGACAAGTGTATTGCACGGCACCTGGCTATGAAACCGTCTTGAGCGTCTTGAACAATAAACTCATGGGTTGCAGGTTAGGTGACATAGAGCAAGCTTGGCTCCGACTGGGATAGTTATGAATCTCCCGGTCTCATCGCACAACCAGCAAGCTGATACCGCCTGCTCTTCTACAACTGAACAGGGTGTCTAAACTGCATTTGCCTAGCAATTTTATAGTATTACTGGTAGTAAATACTACGTGCATTTCGTATAGTATTGCGCTCCATGGATCACGAGATTAACTTTGGTCGCTTGCCGCGAGTCTTCAATGCCACTCGGTGATCCACAGGCCTAGTCAATTACGGATAATGCCAGGGTGGTATCCCAGACGGAGCACTGCGTACCAAAGCGGTAGCTGGAGCCTGTCTGTAATATCATCTGCAGCACCTTTAATCCGTTAGCACAGGGCTAGTCGCACAGCTTCTGGCAGCGCTTCAGGCCTGCCGGGATTGGCGCAATCCTGGCGGCGCAACCCCAAGGTCTCCGGCGCATCGTTAATCCGGTCGCCATGAACTACACGAAAAATTGCTTCAATATCACGGCCATTGCCAGACCTTTCACCATCTTCTCGCCCAAAGGCAACCGACATTTACGGCCTCAAAGACGGGGCGCCTACTGTCTTGCCTTGATCCCGAGTGAGGCGACTCCCCCGGAACAGCGCTGCGACCGTTCAGCGGCTTCCTCTCTACTTTTGCGCCCGTTCTAGGCTGCACCTTCATTCTCTCTTCAATTCCCACCAATAGTGCCCAAGTTGGCCTACTTTTCGCAAGTCGCATTGTGTCCAGCGATCTAAATCTATATGAATACAACCCGATCGCCAGTGGCTATACATCTCTGATTACAATATTTGCGCGCGCGAGCCCAACCTGTGAACGTTGATTGTGCTGTGTTGGTCAAATACTATCTAGTACCTACCACTTCGCGAGCTGCTGCTGCTATTGCCGTACTGTCGATCGCTCGCTCGCTCTGGCTCTCAAGTCTGCCATTGACCGATCCTAGCTGCCCACTACTCGATCGCATTGTGACGTATTAAAACAACGTTATTTCGACCTCAAAAACTCAAACATCTGCTGTACCCCATTAATCCGCCACCATGGCTGAATCTGCCCGCCCCGATATCCAGAGCATTCTGGCCGCGCTTGGTGAGACACTTGAATAGTTCTGTTATAGAGACTGGACCATAGACTAATAGTACTCATCAGCTTCCCAGAGGCCACCATCGTCGACCTCCAACCAGACACCTCCGGCAGCAACCGGCGCATATCCAGCGCCGCCTGCTGGTGCGCCGCCGGCATCGTATCAACCTCCGCCACCAGGTGTCGCGAGCTTCCCCGGTAGCTCTGCACTGCCTGCTCCGGCGTCTAGCGGCAATGTCGACCTGAGCGCCCTCCGACCTGTCAACTCGGGAACTATGAACTTTGACGACATCATCTCGAAAGCGCGAGCCTTTGCGACCGAGAAGGGCATCACACCCTACGACCGCCCGCTTGTCTACGGCTCAGACTCTCGAAACTCGGATCGACCCTACCGTCGATCCAGGTCGCGATCTCCTCCGCGAGGCGGCAACGAATACCACAATAACGGCAGCTCATATCGCGATGATCGCCGCGGAGGACAGGGTCGAGAGTATGGCCGCGATCGTTCTTATTCGCCCCCATCACGTGGCCGCACCTTTTCGCCTCGTAGTGGCAGCGGCCGCGAAAGATCTCCTCTGAGAGGAGGCGACGACAACTCTGAGACTATCCAGATCGAGTCCAGCTTGGTTGGCTTGATTATTGGCCGCCAGGGTGAGAATCTGCGAAGGATTGAGGCCGACACCAATTGTCGCGTGCAGTTCCTGGCAGCTACTGATGGCGGCCCATTCAGACAGTGCAAGATCACTGGCCCGCGCGCTCGTCGCGCTGAAGTTAAGACGGCCGTCAATCGCATCATTGAAGACAGCGGAATGGGAGCCCTCAACCGCGCCCAAGAAAAGCCTCGCGATCCCGCCAGAGGGGGGGCAGCAGCTTTACGAGATGGCGAAGACCATATGCAAATCATGGTCCCCGATCGTACTGTTGGCCTCATCATCGGCCGAGGAGGCGAGACTATCCGCGACCTGCAGGAGCGATCTGGCTGTCACATCAACATTGTTGGTGAATCAAAGAGTGTCAACGGCCTACGACCCGTTAACCTCATTGGTAGCCGTGAAGCTGCTGCCCGGGCCAAGGATTTCATCATGGAGATTGTCGATAGCGACAGCCGAGGCGATGGCCCGGCCTCTGGTACCAAGAAGCCTGCTGGTGCTTCTCGCAACGATGGACCTCCAAGAGACTACACTGGAGGCGGCGGTGGCGGCGGCAGCGGCGGCGGTGGCGCTGCTGACAAGATCACTGATGCGATATATGTTCCATCTGATGCAGTAGGTATGATTATCGGCAAAGGAGGCGAAACCATTCGAGAGATGCAAAACGTCACGGGCTGTAAGATCAATGTAGCGCAATCATCAGGCCCTGGTGAAGTTCAACGAGAGATTGCACTCGTTGGGACACGGGAAAGCATCGCCCAGGCCAAGCTAGCAATCGACGAAAAAGTAGATGCGGTGGTACGTTGATAATGCTGTTGTATAGGCTATTTGATGAATGTTAGGCTAACGTACAGGTAGCGACAGAAGAGTAGCGGTGGTGGTGGTGGCGGCCGTGGCCGTGGGCCTCAAGATGACCGGCCAAGCTATACCCACCAAGGCCCTGATTCCTCTACTAACCAGCCTCCTCAGACTTCTTCAAGCGATGGCACAGATCCATATGCTCAATGTGAGTTACTTCATCTGACGCTGAAGCTCATAGCTCTTGCCCCTACTGGCCCGTACTGACCAACGCTGATAGATGGCGGTTATCAAAACTACGTCGCTCTCTGGTACCAATCACTGATGTACCAGCAGCAACAACAGGGAGGACAAGGAACTCCTCCCTCCGGGGGCCCTCCTGCCGGTGCTCTCCCTCCTGGAGCCCAGTAATACTGGTTGATTGCGAGCAGCCGCGTGCTTCGTGACTGGGTGTGACCTTGACACTGGGCGCTGGCCTAATAAATTCGCAGACTGAGCGCCCCCTTGAAGATGCCTTGACTTGAAAACCAGCGCCACCACCAAGAAAACAAAAAAAATCCCTCCCGACTAAACTTAACTCACAAAAAAAGCCCACGACTATATGACACTATTCTTATGGAGTCCACGTTGTACTCACCATTTATATACCCCTCACCCAAATCTCTTTCTTTCCTTCTTCTCAAGGATTGCTGATTTTCTTCTTTTTTCGATTCTACGGCCCGGCTGATATGACAACGTACAACCCCCTTTTTCTCTTAGCCCGGTGACTTCCGGTGGGAGGAGACCTGGTATTCTACTTGCGCGCTAGCAGTGCCCATGCCCGCTTACTATGTTCCTGACTGCCGTATCGCCTCTGTTCATATATGGTCCTGAGGTCAGTGTTCCAGGAAAAAAGGACGCCAGGTTGACAGAACTAAGTGACAGAATGCATTGCTTTGAGTCTGTGGTTGCAAACGGAACCAGAAACTTGCAGAGCCGTGACTTTTGGACTCGCTTTGACATGTCGACGCTTTGCTCATCATGGATCTCTGATCTGTTATTGCGAGATTGACGTACTTTTCTGCTCTGCATTCCTACCATGAAGGCATTCTCCTTTGCGGAACATGACGCCGAGGCTTGTGTTGGTTTCACTACTTGATTATGGCCACTTGTGTCACAAACGCGAGTGTCTTTTCCGCAATCAACCAATTTCTGAAAGATATGAGCAAGAAAAGAGAAAACTAAGAAAAGAGAAAAACAAAAAACGAAGATTAAAAAACAAGAAGACTACTGGATTTTCGATCTCGCTTTCTTATCTTCTACGCAATCTACGTAATTCAGCTGGACCCCTTTGTTGCCTACGGATATACCTACATATACCATCGGACATCTCTGGGACAAAGTCGAGTGACGAGAAAATTGCCCTGTTATTTGGCCTACGGCTAGTCCTGCACAGACCATAACCAGCTCAAAGCCACCTCTTTAACATTTAACTTACCATTTTTATTATCACGGTTTCCTTCTTCTTCTTCTTCTTCTATTCTTGTTTTGCCCTCGCCTGGTTGCGATGCGATGCCTCGATTGGGAGCTTTGCTGTGCGCCCACACCCGGCTGGTTTGAAATGGGACAGTGATTTGATACACAAGGGGGCGGTGGAAGAACGTGGCATTTGGAATTTGAAGAAGAGAGAAAAAATTGCCACGATTTGTATACTAGTAGCTTAATCTGCTATATAGGTATGATAATACAGCTTAACCGCCGTTGTAAACGAGATATTGCGGTGTGAAAGGAAGCTGGCTAGAAACGTCTGGACCCTTTAGTTAACCAGCTGGTGATGTGTCCCTTGCAGAATCCTGGCGTTGGTCTGCCATTGGCGACTTTTTAAGTCGTCAGGCTGAGATACTACTTGTACATCCATGTACTACTGTATAGTAGTCGAGGGATTTGACAGCAGGGTTCGACGTGGCTAGCTGAGGCAACGTGCATGCATATAGACTGTCTAACTTGTATATAAAACCGGCTGGCAGCGGCCCTGGAGGAGGATACTAGCATACTCAAGCCGCGATTGGCGTTATACTGCGGACGCACCATGCGAGGGCATATAGGAGATGCATACAAGTGGAGATGACCGTGGCTATACTACGTAGTATAAGCTATCGAATGGGCGATGGCTTCTGGAGACTTCTGGAGAGGCGTCCAATCGGATGGAGCTCGGAGGAGAAGCCGGGTGGACTATTGCTGCATTTCGTCTTGAGCGGATGTGCTTCCCCGTTACTAGGCAAATCCTTTGGGTTGCTAGTCGTTGAAGGGCTGAGTGATTAGTAGTTACTATAGTAGTAATATCGAGATATATGCAGACTTTGATGGGGATGTGAATGTACGAGGACGGGTGACACGCGCTAACTACCTCTCATACAGTGTAGATGTCACGTACAGTAGGGGAGTGAAGTGGCTGTGCGAGCTGCGTGTTTGTTCGTCTTTGGATGATGCCTGCTACTACTACTACTGTAATGATGGGTAGATGGCGTGTGGCCACTGGTGCCGGCCGAGGGAGGCATCTTCAGCTGGACAAGGACCGGGGGTCGTCGATGCCAGTGCCGAGATTCTCCTGCTTCTCGAGAATAAATTACTCGTCATTTTTTTGGTTGTCTGTACAGTTGCGGTGAGAGCTCTCTTTTTTTTCCCTCTTGAGAATGTCTTTGATACAGTATATCCCTTGGAGATGGCGTAGCTCCAGTCATAATGCGGTATCGCATAAATCTTCCCGTGTACCGTGTTTGAGAGGGATGACATTGATGTACCTAGGTATGCCAAGATGTGTTGTGCTGGAGAACAGGAACACAATGCTGGACCGCTAGAACCACCTTTTCTATGGAGGCTCAAAACTTTTGGGGGGGGGGGGGGGCAATGTCTCGGGCTTTAAGAGCTGGACGCCGACCTGGATCTTGGCATGCATCGCCAGCATGCGAAATGGGTGATTCAGCTCTGTGGAGGAGCGCGTGTCCTACCCGCCACTTTATTCCGCCCTCTTTCATCTTCTGCCGCTCTTGGGCTGAGATTCCTAAACCCCCGTGCCTTTTGGATGAGTGATTTGCTGCAGTTGAACAGCCGCCCAATATAGAGAGGGGGCGGTCGAATAAGGCGTCGTGTTGGTCCCTTGCACTTATAAAAGTACGTGTATGATGTGCCTACTGTATCATCGGCCATGTCCATCGAGCCTTGCATCCGGAGTGCTGCTGCAGCATCCATCATGCAATGCAAATATGCACGGAGTCAAAGCCAGACAAGGTTGCGAGTGGCACAAAAACGAGCAGGATGCTGCCGTGCCCCAAATCTCTTTGTCGTTCCGTCTTCTGTGTGCACCATCACGACAATGGCCGGCCGCAGAATCTCGCGGGCCTGAGTCTGGGTGGCCGCAGAATCTGGCCGCAGAAGGTCGGGTTGCATGTGACTTCAATGCCTGTGCCTGTGCTCGTGCTCTTTGAAGGATTGAGTTTTGCTCTTTTTTTTTGCTCTTTTTTTTTTGAACCCCTGCCGTGTGGCTGCAGCAGTGTGGGCTTTTTCTTTTCTTTTTATGCATGGCGTACAAGTAGATGATGCTCGGTGCTGTATTAAGGCATGCTCCCGGTGGACGGGCGGGAGAGAAAGAGGGCAGACGAGACATGCAGCGGCCTGGCCGCGGCTGGTGCGGATAAAGGCGTCTGGTGTATGCGTTGGTTCTGAGAGGAGGCGAGAAATCCCGTCGCTGCTGCACCAATCACTGCAGTAGTTGAGTTGCTAGCAGCAGAAGCCGTGCATACAGGCATCATTGATCGTATACGAGTGCCATGGCAGGATAGAATCGGTAGTGGCAGCAATGGCTGTAGTCACCCAAGAGTAAGCTGCAGCCTCAGGCGGAAATGGCCAAGCTCTGCTGCTGACGTGCCTCGTCAATCAACCGCCAAAAACATCCTCTTGCATCTCTCGTATCCTTGTCCACTCCTCGTGCAGCCAGCAAGGCAGGCAATGACTGCCAAATGCAGGCCAGCAAACGCTGCGTATACTACAGCCAAGGGTATGACAGAAGCCCCGGTGTAGAGGGGAAATTGGATCCTGGCCCGTCAGACTCACGCGAGGGCCCTGTCAGTTCATCCATCGTCCGCTAATCTGTTGGTCGATCTACCGCTCACCACCGCAGCAGCTGTACGGTATAGTCTACAAGTAGACACAAGGAGCGCATATCGCATCGTGCCGGCAACATGCTTTTGCACAGAGGCATGGTGGCGCCGAGCTTCCCCTCTCGTCCCGCCCATCCGCCTGCCTTGGAGGGCTACACAACAAGAAACGAAGAGGGAGCCACCGTGGCTGGCCAGCATTCCCTCTTTCGATTCTGATTTCTCGTCGCTTCTACTGCACGCTCGTAAACGGCCATAGCCCGGGAGGAATCCAATGGCCATCTTGGCGGCTGCAGCATGGTCCCACTTGCTGCACGTCTGCTTTCCGTCCTCTGATCCCTTTGCAGAGTGCGGAACAGCCTTTGCTCTCGCGACTCGTGACAGCTGCAGCAAGTCGATAATGCATCATTTTTTTGCCTGTTTGGGAGTCCAGCTATGGCATCCCGTGCCAAAACTAGCTGTCTCTGGGCGTCTCAGGTCTCAGGTCTCAGATCCAAGTGGCGAGCGCACAAGTGTGGCTCTCGAGCCGTGTCTATCGTCGTAGTACGGGACAGGGCAGGACGAGCCTCGGGTAGCGGTACCCTTATGTGGCTGCTCATGGCTGGTCATCATCAGCTCCGAATATGGCCAGAGATACATGTATGGTCAGCAAACAAGGCAATCTGCTCTGCAGTGACTAGGTAGAAGTTTGTACATACAGTATGACTGCTTCGGACATACATGTTTTGGCGTGTGCATACTTGTACAAACTAACAGAGAGGCTAGGTCTTGCATGCATGCAAGACACGCACCCCCTATGCCCTCTACAGGCCCTCTCTTATAAGGGAAGACACGATCGATCTCCTCCTATGGATGCTTGGACGTCCAGATCGCGCACGGGCTGGGTATAATGCCGGCACGGCAAAGACCCCTTGTGAGCGAGTCGGTCAGTCGCCGAATGGACGCCGGCACTGTCTCGAATTGCATGCAAACAGCACGACTCCCTCTTGGATGAGGCCCTCCTGAATGAGCCTCTCCCTACCGTCTGTTCCGATGCCTTTGATAACTCTAGCCGACGCAGCTTGGCCTGCCCCGGGTTCAAACGTGGAAGCTAGGAACCCGGGGCCCATAATTCTCTGGTGGGCTCAAAACTAGACAGACGCTGCGCGAAAGGCCGAATATGATAGGTGACAAAGAGGTTGCTGCACCCATCCACAGCCGTTGTGCGGTGCGACGTATGCAGGCAGGCATTTTAATCGTGCCTGTTGTCACTTTATGCTCTGGAGGTACACTCAGCCATAAAAGGTACCTACCAAATGGGCTCTTCTCAGCCATGCGGAGATTTGATGGGGCGTTTTCACCAGTATACAAGTATGCGCACATCGATCCATTCTTGACTTGATGCTGTTGGTTGCCATGTCTTCACCACTTTTCCGCGCCGAAACTTTGTTTCCGCACACAGGTCAAATTATTTGCTCATCCGCCCCCCCTTCCTTTTTCATTCTCCTCATTTGCTCCTTTTGTGTTCTCTCTGTTGTCAATGAGGGCATGATTGATGAATATTCCTCTTCCCACCATTCCTCACACATCACAAGCAGCGACCCGATTGTCCAAGTGCTGCCGTCTCTCATACCTACGAATGAAAAGTAGCCGTGATTACTTGTCAGCTGTGTGACTTTGACAGCACAGCACCAACTCAATTACGACGCATGCTCTCGTGCAACAAGCATTTTCATTTTTTCTCTCTCATTTGATCAACCAACGCAGCTTTCTGATTGAAGGAGAGGGGGCAAAGAATTACGTTTGACTCTCTCTGCCAGAGAGATCTGAATGGAGGCCCGTGTGTCCACCTCTACTAACACTATTTTGTTGACTTATGTGAGCCCACCTCCTCTTGTCATTGCTTCATAGCCTCAATAAGCTTTGTAATGTATTTACAAGCGGATTTAACATCTAACATCTGCCTCGGTCTCTACAGTCTAATCTTCATACTGCCTCCATGCAAACAACTTTCGTCTTACTTCCATCTGTTTCTCCTTGGACACCACGACTGCGAACATCTCAATATTCCTTCTTTTGATGGACATTACACCCATGATTGAACAAATTTTCTGAGCGGCATCTCGAATATCATTTCCGGCTACTAACGACATGTGTCGTCTAGTCATTTTTACCGGCACTTGCACTAAGTGTGGCGAAGACCAAGTATGGGAAGATCTCACGCAAGAATTGTCATGCCTCCAGGCGAAAAACAATGGGATTTTTGGAGACTGCTCAAACGGCGTGTTCCAAGAGCGACATGAATTCGACCAAGAGTGCGATCAATGCACCGAGGAGGATGAAGGAGTCGGCGATGTAGGTGAAGAGGCAGCGGAAGACCTCCTTGCTCATGGGAAGCGGCTCGCTGAGGAAGAGCAGTCAAAAGACGCACGGAAGAAGGCCAAAACCAAGAGTTGAAAACCGACAAGAAAACCAATTATAAAAAAAGAAAATTCAATATCAAAATATTACGACATGGACCAACCGCTTTTCTGTTTTACGACGATTGCCTTGATTGCTTTACGAGCGAGCGAGCGCCACATACAGCTGTTCTTTTGACTTCCCTCTGGGGTTCTTAGCATTCGATTCTTTGGAAATATATGTGTGTGATGGGGGGTTATGGTATGGTATGGGGCGTTTATGGAGTTGAAAGAGGTTAATCTTGGGCCGTTGATAACGGATGACCTTGGTCGGCTCAAATATCTGGGAATGCCCATCACTCGACATTCAGCATTTTTAATAATGGGTGGCATTGTTTTGAAGTAGGAGAAGACGCTTGCATCCATACCTCATAATATGAGGAAATCTCGTTCTCTGGGACGATGAGTGATGAAGACCATGTGGGCTGGATGTGGCTGCTGAGTTGGAGTTGTTTATTACTTCGTGGCATAAAGGAAATCAGCAGAGCACAATCATCAAATCATTGCTATTAATCATCACTGCTATTTATAGCTTTGTGGCTTACTACACTGTCTAGATTTTATCCCGGAGTGCCTCTATATCTACCGACAAACGCCATACGCCTCGCTACTCTTTCCCGTTCTATGCTGGTTTCCTATCTTTTCGGCTTATCGGTCATCGTGGCGCTACATGTGTCGTTTTCCATCTCCCAGTATCTTGCAATCATCCGTCCTCACGCCTGGTCAGACTTTTCGGCCTCGAGTTCGGCCTCATGCCACGTCTCCTTTACTACTTGCCAATATCTTTGACTCTCTTTCCTCACGAGTGACACATGCTCCCCGCCTTCAAACCTCTCCTTCCGCACCTTGAAGCCAGATTCTTCCGCCCTTTTCGCATGATGTTCGACCTGGCGCCAGTCGATGATGGCGTCTGCCGTTCCGTATAGATAGGTTCTCTGTGTTTCTCGGGGGAGCAGGCTTCCTCTTCGCAAGGCTTCGGCATTGAGATTCTGAGCAGGCCGGGTAAGGCGAAGCTTGTATATCAGCCAGGCGACGGCAATGACAAAGTGCACCAACGGGGAGGTCCAGCGAGGCAGAGACTGGAGGAGCGCCTTGTGGGTGCTTTTCCAGACGAAATTGCCTGGACATGAATCCAGACAGAGGGCATATCGAGGGATGACGAGCTTGTTGCCGGCGCTGTCGCTGCCGAGCTCCTTTCTCAGGAGTTCTCGGATTCTTGCGGCTGTGCTGACGCCGCCGTTGGAGAGGATATGTAACAAGACCCTGGGCCTGCTGCTGCTATTCGTGGCCTTTGCCTCTGGCTCTGTAAATTGTCTGAGGATTCGGATTGCCGGCGGGATATGTCTCCGAGCGAGGCTTGGCCAAAAGACGTGCGATGCGGGGGAGCGGATGAGAAGAATTCGGGACGAGGGAAAGAGGGCGCGGTGTTGGGCAATGTATTTTGCTATGTGGACGTCTCGGGCACCCATCCAGCTGAGGACGAGGATGAGTTCTGGATGGCGGCGTTGGTGATCGATTGTCGTGGCATTGTCGTTTTCGGACTGGGTGGTGAGAGGAATAGCATCTTTTGGACAATAGTATGATACAGAAGAGCTCAGATGTTCCATAAATGCCAAGGGGGGCTCCTTGTTTGGAAGCAAAGTCTTTTTCGACGCCATAGCTGCCCCCATGGTGGTGTAAGTCCTTTTGGGCCGTAGTACAAAAGACGGCTTCGTTTCCGCCAAAGAAGAACATTGTCGAAGAGGAAGAAAACAACAACGATTTACCTTCGCTCCTCCTCGCCCTAACCCCCCCTGCATCGCATATCTGAATAAAGAAGAAGAAGCAGTTAAAGCTACATGGCGGCGGGTGTGGCCAATATCAAAGGCCCGAGATGCACGCGGCAGGGCGACAGCAAATGAGGCCGGCATTTGGACAGAGAAATGGGGTCCAGTACCGTGCATTAAGACCAATTGGCTCTAAAAGGGATATGCGGGCTGTATTGATTGGGTTAATATCGCAGAGGTAGCCCAGGTTGGCAGGAGATGCGACTGGCTGGCAGATGATTTTGAGGTGGGAGAGCTGAACAGTAGCTTTTGAAAAGTGCACTTTTGCTTGTTTTTTTTTTTGCTAATAGTGCCGAGATTTTTATTTTATTTTGTTTTTCTGATTTCCTTTTTTATTTAAGTTTTTTAGAATCTTCAAGGAAGCTTGCACTGGGCTATTAGAAGCATTTTATTGAGTTCCACTTGTTTGATGGCTATTCCCACTTGTTTCCACTTGGAGATCTAACCTCGGTCTGTTGAAAAAATGGCCTTGGCGATAGACCGTCGAGAAGCGGTGCTGCCCGGCGACTTTTAGATCTACTTTTTTCGAAAGTCGCCTTTATACCGCGCGCTATACGCCTTTTGAGATTGACAAGGCCGGGGAAATGGAGGCAGGATTAGTGCTTGTGGATGCTTTTTTTTTTCTTGTTGTTAGTTTAGAACTGGATCCACTGTTGGGATAGATCGATCGTGAGGTGGTTTCCATGCGGTGGGTTATTTGAGGGATGTCTTGATCTATGTTGTAATATTTCTAGCTTGGCTGTTATGCTTCTTTTTTAGTTAGTTATTGGAGGGCAGGTATTGAAGGTGCAAGGTTGGTAGAACGTGTGGTTATCAACTGCGGTTATCTAGCCGAGCTATACAGCGAGTGCAATTGCGCCGTTTCTGTACCAATGCCGCATACTATATATCGACTGGCTATTTTTGGAACAAAGAACAGTATCAAAGTTAGATTGTCTCAACAAATAAGCGAGAGGCGGAATACGAGTCGCGTATTCAATGCCTGGGGCATGCCGGGCCGACGAAAGAAGGGTACCGTGTGTTTTTGTTGCCAAGGTGTCACAGATATTGGACGTCTCAGCGGAAATAAGAGGCCTGGCTGTAGAGCATGTATGCTATAGTAAACGGAGAGGCTAATTTTGATACAAGACTCGATGTTTCCGGAGAGTAGCACATTATATCTGCTGGGAAGGTGCAGCATCTCGACACCTTTGGCCCGACGGGTGGTTGTTCGCTTCGTGGCATTGATAAAGTCGCACAAGTCTCCTTTACTTTTCTTCTGCTGGAGAAGCTGGTGGCACTCGGGAAGCTTGTTTGGGATTGTATTAGACATACTCGAGTGCTTCGAGGCGAGTGTTGCAAATGAACCTATCATGTATAAATATGTGATTCTATATTGCTCAAGGCACAATTGTACTTGATGATCTACCTAAAGACATGATATCAAGCATGGAATAAGCTGTGCCAAACTCTCAGAATCCAAGCTGGCCAATTCAGCAAAAAACAACTCACAACTCGGGGCGAACAAGACTCGGTCGATTAGGCAGTGTCTCGGGAAAGGCCACAAGGTCGTTAGATCTGTGGCACCGGGACGGGAGGAACCTGAAACCGGCTCAAAGCAAGAGCAAACATTGGCATAAAAGTACGACGTGGTGAGTTGGGCTGAGACTTTATACATTCATATCGCAGTGGTTTTGACTAATTAGAGCAAGGTACATGTATACTACAGTCGAATGACCCCTTTTTTTGCTTTGTTCCTCTCAGGCGAAGGCATCCATGCATATATATAGAGAGATTTCCAATAGCCATGCAGTCTTTTGGTCCATTTCCAACATGGACAAAGAGAATCAACAAATAGCATGCTTGATAGCCATAGACCCTCCTCATCTCCTCATATATAAGACACGACAGCTCCTCCAGGCCAATTCATACAATGGGCCAAGAGCCAAACAAACAACTTTGCAATACTATTTTCGTCTTCAAGGACCGTTCCAACGTTGCACCTGTCCGCTAATTGCACAAGATACCCAGCCGTTCGATGTGATTGCCGAGTGAAACAGGTGGCAGGTGTTGCACTGCTTCTGAGCTGAGCGGCCAGCTGTCAAAAAGCTGGCCACTCGTCTCGACTCGACTCGTTTCTTTTTGTTTTGTTTCATAGTATGCCCGTCTCTACGGGCTTCTTCCCTCTTCTCTTTGTTTCCTTCTTCATCAATCTTCGTGGCTCAAAGTCATCGCTCCTCTTCCCTCGACAGATTTGTCAAGCATCATCGTTTTTCCTTTCTGTCCATCACTTCCATCACCTCCTCATATAGCATTGCGTTACTACCCATTCCCACCTCGTCATGATCATCATGAAGGCTCTAAAGTTGGCCATCTGCCTTCTGGGCAGCATCGTCATCACGGCATCCTGTGCCAACCTCCCCCAGGTCAGACGCCATGCTCCAGACTGGGACCTTGCAAAGCCCATGAACGGCCTCACCTTTGAGAGAGCCAAGGCCATCAAGGAGCCGAGCAGCGACCGCACCACGATGCACTTCTCGCACCTCAAGGGCATCAAGGCAAGGCCAGGCCAGCAGCACTCGGGCGTCTCTGCGCTCAGCCGCCTCCGCAGCAGCACCCCTGGCTCCATCAAGCAGTCGTTCCAGAACATCTCGGCCCTGACTGCTGCGTCCACCCAGTATGCCATCCAGTGCGGCTGGGACGGCGTCCCCGTCTGGCTGCTCTTCGACACCGGCAGCTCCGACACGTGGGCGACCAAGACGGGCTTCAAGTGCTCGGACGGCACCGGCGATTCGCACAACGAGGCTGCGTGCGGCTTCTCGACGCCGTACATTGACGGCTTCGGCCACGGCCAGATCGACGAGCTGCACTTCTACCTCAAGTACGGCTCGGGCGAGCACATCTCGGGGCCCATGGGCTACAGCGACGTCTCGTGCGGCGGCGTGTCCGTGGCGAAGCAGCAGGTCGGGCTCGCCAACAACACGTACTGGCACGGCAACAACGTCACCGTCGGAATCCTGGGGCTTGCGTATCCGGCCATCACCAGCGCCTACTATGGCGACGTGGGCCAGGAGGCGCCGTGGAACGCCATGAGCTACACGCCGTTTCTGACCAATGCCATCAGCCAGGGCACCATCGATCCCGTCTTCAGCGTTGCCCTGATCAAGAACTCGACAGATGGCGTCATCGCCTGGGGAGGCTTGCCGCCGATGGACTGGCAGTTCCGGGGATATGCCAAGACGGATCTCATCATTGTAAGTGGCCGGCGTGACATGGCATCGTCCAACAACTAAACGTGGCGATTGGATGCTGACCGTGATGCTCTAGGCAAATCTTGTTGGCCAGCCGGAAACTGCGTGGAAGTACTCGTTCTACACGATTGTGCCCGACGGCATGCGATGGGACCAGACGACAGACACCACAAAGTACCCGTACATTGTCGACACGGGCACGACGATGCTCTATCTGCCTCCTCGTAAGCCCCCCCTTTCTGTTCCTCTCGACAGATGTGCAATACTGACTGTTGACTTCTCCAGCCCTGGCCGAGTCCATTGCCAACTCGTTCCAGCCGCGCGCCGTCTACCTCTACCAATGGGGCACGTACTTTGCGCCCTGCGACGCCATCCCGCCGCACTTTGCCATCATCATCTCGGGCGTCGAGTTCTGGATCAACCCGGCCGACCTGATCTACCAGGACCTCGTCGACCCGCTGACGGGCTACTGCGCCATTGGCATCGCCAGCGGCGGTCCGGGGCCGTACATTCTGGGCGATGTGTTTTTGCAGAACGTGCTGGCCGTGTTTGACGTTGGCGCAGCCGAGATGCGGTTCTACTCGAGAAAATGAGTGCTGAAATGGGGGGTTCTGTTTCCATCTTATTCCATTTTTCTTTTTTTACTCTTGTTGGTTTGTCAATTGTGCGACCTGCAAGAGGAAGCATATCGGTTGGTTTGACAGCATGTTAAAGCTGCAGGAATCTTGTTGGTTCTTGTTTTCAATGTGACAGAAGCCAGAAACATTATTTCATACATTTAAACAATGAATTTTCTCCTGATAATTTCTTTCTTTTCTCCTCCGTTCATGACTCGGTGCTGAGACGATCAAATCAAAGCCTCTGGAATGCGCTGCTCCTGAATTGCAATGCAAGGGGGTGGTTTTTGAGTGCTTATCAGCTACTGCGACTTCGTAGTTCCTTGTACTAATAACACTGCGTAGCTCCAACCCACTGGCGCCCCCATCTGCCATTATCAGACTTTTTGCGTGCTTTTGATTGAGTCAATCTCATGTTTTCTTCTTCTGCAACGGTGATTCTGTCTGCAACACAACTCTGACTTTTCTCTCATCTTCTTTTCCTCATTTGCATTGTTCACGCCTTTTTCATACAACGTCAAAGTCGCTCACCAGGGTGCAAAGACAACGCGGCATTTCTTCAGCTTTCCTAGGAGCTTTCTGCCAAAGAGCAGCGCAAGGACTAGGTTAAAGGGAGGAGAGACAGAAGAGATACAACAGCACGACGACACAATCTCGACACAGACATGATAGGCGTCGCTGCTGGGCCGCCGTCAAGGCCTTCGGGACCTGCGGGCAGGGCGAGGGCGAATACGTGGAGTTTCAGCAAGGTGAGAAGGACGAGCGAGATATCGTGACGTCGACGGGTCTCTTTTTTTTTTTTTTTTTTTTGTCTTCTCTGCTTACTTGCACATCTCCTTACGAATCCTGCCTCCTCCTAGCCTAGTGACTAGGTAGTACTTGGTAATCCTACTATTTCACACAGACAAAGTCGCCGGTCAAGTGACTGGGCATGACGAGACAGTGGTTGCAGATGAGATGCAGACGCAGGCGGTGAAGGCAGACCAAGACAACGACTCCATTGCATCGGGGCGGTTCCACCAGCAGAGCCGTAGCGAGGAGGCGTTACATGCAGACGAAGCAAACACGAAGCTCGGGATAATTCACGGGGACGGATCCTGGCATTTCTTCTGGTCGAGACGACACTTGATCCCGGTGGTTGGCCTGCTGTGCGCTCAGGCCATTCACACGCAACATACGAGATGAGCCTTGATCCCATGATTGAATTTTTTCCCTTCGTTTTGCCTGTCGGATAACCCCGGAAGAAAGGCAGCCAGGGGTGCAGCACAGCGTTCCTGCAGAGGCGACCACTACCTGTGGCCCAAGATGCCCGAAAGAGGCAATCATGGAGACGACCCCGACGTGGAGAGATCAAGGCCGTCGGTAATGATCGATTTCGCGGGTTGCTGCCATTGGGCCGCTTCCGATATGGCGAGATTCAATGGCAAATGGGCCGATGGCCGGAATCTGGAGAAGCAAAAACACGAGAGGATTGGAAAGCCATTGGCAATCGATTGTCAATTGGAATCTATGCACGCCTCATTTCGCTGAGCATCGGTCACCTGCCCACGAAAACGAAGCGCTTCGAATCGGAACGTCGACACGGGCCTTGGCGCCTGGCCGCCGGGACGATTCGGGGAGAGCTGGCGCTGTCAGGGGCTGGCCGGGCAAAGGGCTGGCGGCCCCGCAGCGCACTGCAGGTGCTACAGTAGAGCGCTGCAGCTGGTGCTGAGCTCCCCCTGACTGGACGCCGGATTACAGCGAGGCACAGCTCGCCCACCGCCCTGGAGCCTCTCCAATTCCCCAGAGCGGCCCCCACTGCAGGCTGGACGGCACAGGGGATGCGAGAGCCGCCTGACAGAAGCAACCACGCACGATGGAGCAGTGGTAATTACTTGGTGCTCCGTGCTATAAGCAGACGCATCACGGGGCATGCCGACGGCAGTTTGAAGGGGCAAATGGCATCAACAGGAGCAGAGAGAGATGACCCTGGCCACGGCAACGTGGGGTGGACTTGCACAAGGCATTTGATTGAATGCACATCCGAGCTGGATGCACTCCATGCTGTAATAAGGAATCCGAGGTACACAGACAGGCAGGGCAGGGGGGCTTCTTTTCTTCCAATCTTCTTCCATTTCCCCTTCCGTTGTTTTTAATTCTGTTTCAGGGCCATCCCCATCCCCAAGCACGCAAGGTACATTCATCGATTCGCTCTCACCGAGCCCGGTGCCGTTGCCTACCTGCCTCCGGAGAATTTGCTGGTCTTTTTCGGTGCCTGTCCGCATGTCACGCTGCTCCTTCCCCTGGCGTCCAGTTTTTCTTTATTACTGCTGTCATTGCCGGATTGACACACACCTGCCACCTCTCTGGCTGTTCTTTCCTGTGGAAAAGAGTCTTGAGGCTTAGTGCTTGAAAGACTTGCCGCTGGATACTAGTACGCCTAGACGCTTTCTCCAAAGCTTCCTCCAAAGTAAAGTCTAGCACCTGCCTACAGCTTGCTCCGGGCGTGCTGCACTTGCTCGATCCGATACGTGTACCTTGATAATCCGGGGTATTTTTGTATCTGGCAGTCACGAGCAACCACCACCGCCGCTACCTGGTACTAGGCAGTACTTCTGGGCGCCGATATATACTACACTTGGCCTTGCCGTGCTAAAGTCTCCTCTTTTTTCCCTTCAGCTTTCTGGCAGCGCCGTCTCCGCAATCTGCATCATCCCAGAGGATTGCAAGATTTTTACGCCCATCGTCATTATCACGGCCGCGAAGCAAGCTGCAGCCTTTGCCGGGGTCGCCTCTACCCCAATCACGGCCCTCTGCTGCGGTGCTACCCGCCTGCAGCCCTTTTCCCCGGCGCTGCGTCGCTGCATCGCTGCAGGCTTGCCTCGGCTGTGGGCTGTTTCGACCACTGCGGCCTAGTGCCCAGCAGCCACTAAAGCGGCTTGACGTCGATAGAGCATCGAACCCTTTTGGCCTGGAGCTGCTGAACTGCCGCACACCCTCACGCGCGCACCTGGATTGAGCACCCCTTCACGCAATTCTTGGTTCCCGGGCCATTCGTCACGCTCTGCTGCTGCTGTCCAGCGCTCTTCAGTCACTGATTGACCCTGGGCCTTCGCCTATTCTATTCCACTCGGTTCAGCCACTCTCACGCAACCCGCGGCCAACCTCTGCGTCTCTTGCCTCTCAGCCGCTTCTATCCATCACCTGGCCTCGTTCACTTTTGCCTCGTCTCAAGAGGGATCCGAGGATCAAAAACCACCCTCCACCGTTGCCTCTGCCCTGCTACAAGCTTCTACTGCTGCTGCTGCTGCTGCCTCCCTGATATCTGCTGGGCCCTCATATGTATCAGCCGCCACGCCGGATGCCTCTGCTATCACACCCCAAACACCGTATCAGCATACTTGATCTTAGCAAACAGCGTCGCCAGCTCCTTCATCGTGACAATGCCGTCGAAAACTAACAATGGCGTGGGGATCCAGGTCGAGGACACCAAGATATGTGTTGTCATGGTCGGTCTCCCGGCCCGCGGGAAGAGTTACATTGCCCAACTAGGTATGCTTGTTCTGGATATTTTCTTTCTTCTTTTCATCTTTTACATCTTGGCTTCATCTTTGCTTTGCGGGAACGGGCAATGGCCCAGTCGCGGAATATGCCTATGCATATGCACATGCACGCAACACACTCACTCACGCATTCATTGAGCCGAATGCTTGTCCCAGAACCTGTTGCATTATGACGGCCTCTTCCCCTCTCTTCTAGCGTCGGGAAGCTGCCTGATTTTCTCCAACTTCTCACGCCACTTTGTATAGACCATTGAGAGCTTGACTGACATATACTTTTCTCCTTCTTGCTCGTTCGGATATATAGCCCAGAGATATTTGCAATGGCTGTCAATTCCGTCAGCGACTTTCAATGTCGGCAACTATCGGCGTCATGACGCTCCACAGCCAACGGCCGACTTTTTCGATTTCAGCAATCCCGAGGGTGAGCGGAAACGCCGCGCCGCTGCCGAGGCCGCCGTTGCTGACATGCTTGCCTGGTTCCGCACCGGCGGCGTTGTTGGCATCCTGGATGCGACCAATTCCACCAAGGAGCGCCGTAAATGGGTCTATGATACGTGCACTGCCCATGGCATCGAGGTTCTGTTTGTCGAAAGCAAATGCGATGATGAAAAGACCATCATGGCCAACATCCGCGACGTCAAGCTGACAAGCCCCGACTACAAGGGCCAAGATCCAGAAGAGGCCGCTCAGGACTTTCGCAATCGGATCAAGCACTATGAAAAGGTCTACAAGACTATTGATGGCGACAAGGATGAGGACAGCTACACCTACTTGAAATTGATGAACGTTGGCAAGCAAGTCATCATCAACCGTATCCAAGACTATCTCCAAAGTCGCATTGTCTATTATCTCATGAACCTGCATATCCGACCGCGATCAGTTTGGCTATCAAGAGTGAGTTACCATGTATAAGCCATGGCTTTCAAGCTCTGTTATCTAACTAAATGCTTGTTGATAATAGCACGGAGAGTCTCTATATAATCTGAGCGGACGTATTGGCGGAGACATGCTTCTGTCTCCCCGAGGCGAGCAGTACGCTAGGAAGCTGCCGGACTTGGTACGAGAATCTGTGGGAGTAAGTTTTAATCCCTGGCATAGTTCATATAAGATCCTTTATATGTGTCTTCAGAATACATATGCGGAATGGCGGCTGACAATGGTTATTCAGGATGATCGCCCTCTAACGGTCTGGACCTCGACGTTGAAACGCACCATTGCCACAGCCCGTTTCCTCCCACCGCACTACAATCAGTTGCAGTGGAAAGCGCTGGATGAATTAGACTCCGGTGTGTGCGACGGCTTGACCTACCAAGAAATCAAAGACCGCTACCCCGAAGACTTTGCGGCCCGTGATGAGGATAAATACAACTACCGATACCGTGGTGGCGAGTCGTACCGCGACGTGGTTATTCGCCTGGAACCAATCATAATGGAGTTGGAACGTAGCGAGGACATTCTCATTGTGACTCACCAGGCGGTTTTGCGCTGCATCTACGCATACTTTATGAAGAAGGACCAGGCTAAGAGCCCCTGGATGAACGTGCCGCTTCACACACTCATCAAATTGACACCAAGGGCGTACGGTACAGAGGAGGTTCGGTACGAAGCGCATATTCCTGCTGTGAGTACTTGGCGTGGAAAAGGAAGTACTGCCAAGCATGAGAATCCCACTCCAGAAAGCCTGTGAGGTGGGGTGTGAGAAGGGATTTATAGGGAAAGGAGGGAAAGGAGGGAAAGGGTGGAAAGACAGGACAAAGAAAATTGTAAGCATACAAGTTCATGGATCAACCGAGAGTATCCGGAGTTTGGGAGAGACGAAGGGATAAAATTTGCCGACCAACGGCACACAACAAGGCTAGTATACCGTCTTACGCTTGTTCTTTTGTGGTTTTGGGTTGGAAACGGAGTGCTTTGTACACGGACTGCATGGTCACCGCCAAGGATGAGAAAGTGAGTTCAATTGCTCGTTTGACTCTAAATAAAAATCAATAATTATCAACGCTGTTTGCTCTATTCTGATGGATATCTGTGAAGCTTGACAGCATCCAAGAGTCAGTCACTGCTCTATTGAGATATTCTAGGCTGATTTACGATGAATGTGCGCATATGATTCTGATTCACAGTCATTTTCTGCGAGTCTTCCAAGGAAAAGCGATTACTGTTTACTCCTGCACGCAATTAAGTGCGTTGTCACGATAGTTTGTCCAATTCAAGCTGTAAATTGCCAATCCAAGCAAAGATTTAATTCAATAGTTCTCCATCCTCTCGCTGGTGGGCAATGGGCAATGAGCAATGAGAGTTGGCGTCATTATATCTGTTTACATCAAAGATATCCGAGCACATCTACCAACGCCATGGCATTCGTATCCCCCATTCCCGGCGTCGGGGTCCAGCACCCTTGGCAAATCCAAATCCATTATCCTACCATCATTCAGCAGCCGGTCATACCCGTTGTTCCGCAGCCTCAGTTTCTACTACAACCTCAAGTCCAAGTCTATCAGCCTCCTCCTGTGAGCATAATGGTGCCAACAATGGTAGTCCATCCTCCTTTTTTCACTCCTCCTTGCTTCATCGTGGCGTCTGCTCAGCCATCGCCAGGCGCCGACGCTCATCTACCCAGCGGTATCTCGTTGCGGGTTGTCTTTTATGGGCACCCATCCGACGACGATTATACTCCCCCCATGTGCCTCTCCAGCACGACGTATAAAGAGTCGGCATTACCGAGTAGGGATGCCTTGCTTGCGGAGATAGCGACCTGGGCTGGGCACCATGGCCTTTCGATCACACATTCGGGTGGACGAATCGATCCTCTCAGAGTGAAGCTATATGTTTTGCCCAAGAGCAGCAGTTCCAGGGGACTGTTGTGTGGGATTGATTATGAGCCGGGCGCGGGACTGGCTGTGCCGGGAGACGTGGTCAAGGTGGTCAAGTTGGGCGGGATCGAGGAGAAGCACTGGCAAGAGGCGCTGAAGGAGATTCAGAAGGAGGGATATGAGGCTGTTGTTGCGGTGGATATGGGTGATGGTGGTTTGAATACGACTTCGACTCCGGCTGTAGTTTCAACGCCCGATAGTGACGAGAACGCAGCAGCAGCATGATCCCAGTCTCTCTATATATTGAAAGAAAGGAATCTATTCATCACACTTCAAAAGGAAGAAGCGGGAAAAGGCATTTTCAATATATCACTTTTTTAAAACAAAAAATTAGAGGATGAGTTAAGAAATACAGTCAACTTTCATAAAAAAAAAAACCAAATCAGTATGCGCAACTATAAAACACACCTCCCTACTCCGCCTCATTCTGTACCAACAGAAATAAAAAGAAGAAGAAAAAACCAGTCCTCGCAAAAACACGCGCAAACTGAAACCATCCCGTACTGACATATCTACACCCCTGTAGTAGTATAATATTCCAAAAAAAGTACTGGATGTGTGTGTGCGTGTGTTTTTCTTTTTTATGTATCTGCTTTCGCCTTTTTTTGTTTTCCAGGTGAAGGAAAAGAAATAGAGGCTTTGTGTGTCTGACCATTTGCTTATATATTAGAGAAAAAAGAAGAATGAAGACGCGGCTGCTCAGCGAGAACGCCGACTTGTTGAAAAAAAAAAAAAGACCAAAGTATAGAAGAGAAAAAATATTGTTCGAGCAGAGAACAAAAAACCCTCCAACGGACAAAGAAGAGAAGTAGAGAAAGTGACAGTAGGACGAAACCTTTTTCAAGCTTCAAACGACCTTCGTCAGCAAAATAACGCAGCCCCTGAGGCACCAAGTCCGCTCCCTCTCTCCCTGAACATGAAGTGAGAAATGAAAGATAAAAAGGCAACGATGCTGTGTCTATCTTACGTTGAGACACAAAAACTTTTTCGTTTTTCAAGCAGTAATGGGTAATTGGAAAACAGAAAAAGAACAAAAAAGGAAGACGTCTTTGAAGGAAAAGAAGAACAACTCTCAATCAAGGGGACACGCAGCAAAAAAGCCAAATCCACCAGACTGGTCGAGTCTTAGTTTATGGTACACGAGTAACTCTGTTACCCAAATTATAAAGAGCCTACCCTCCTTTTCTCTTCCAAAGAGCGCCAGCAAGCACAAAAGCTCTAATGTTTCCTTCGCTAAAACTGTCGCACAACGTAGCAAGACCCAAAAAGAAAAACTCCGCATCTCATGGCGTCTACTCCGTATATATCGTGATGTAGAGAGCAGAACAATATTGGAAAAAGAGAGAGAAAAAGAGCACTAGGTCCTCGGGGAGACATCGGATCCTGACTGAACAATGCTTCCGCATCAAGGTGTCGTCGAGCTGCTCCCGGGGTCTTGTTCATTGCCAACGTATACACACACACCAAACCTGCCACTGGGTATCAATCCACCGACACACATATAGACTGTAGAAGAAAACCGGTGTTTTCCAAATAGCTGCCAAGAAGCGCATTCTGTCGGGAGCGAGTACACTATCCGGGTTCTCTTTTGCAAAACAGAGCTTTTTTCCAACTTGTCCAATATCGATAAAAGAAATGCCAAAGATAAAAACACCAAATCGATGAAATCATAAGAGTTTCAAACAGAAGACGCCACCATGCCGCATGATGATTAAGGACGTGAAGAAAATCTGGCGTAATGCGTGCTACAGCATTATTGCTTTTGATGCCGTAGGCAAGAAACATGTCTAAGAATGTCAATCATGCATTACCACACTTCAAGCTGGGTTGGCCTTGACACGCTTTGCCATCCGAGGAGTCTGAGGCTTAACCCTGTTCTGTATGCCGTTGACTTGGCCAGCGCCTGGCGCGACGGAATCATCCTCAACTTTGACAGTAGACGGACGCCGACGCTTGTTAGAGGCCGGTGACGTGTTTGCACTTGGTCCGCTCGAACTCGTTCCCTGTTGGCTTGGCTGGAGCTGCATGCCAGGAGCTTGGCCTGGCGCAGGACTGCCAATGTGAGGTGAGCCAGGAAGGTTCATATGTACCGCTGCAGGGCTCGCTCCGATTGGAAACTGTCCAAAGCCGGGTGTCCTGGGCGCTTGTGCCATGGCTTGGCCGTTCATAACCGGGGTCGCGCCATTGATTTGGGTTGCTACGTATTGTTCCAGCGCGCCGTAGGGAGTCAGGCCAGGGTTTTGGTTGTAGAACCCAATCAGTGGGTTCATCTGACCCATGACTTCTACAATCTATAGAGACAGTTAGATCGTTGCTATTCTCCGTTACATCTCGTATGCACAATCCGGTCTTGACATACCTCGAGGAATTGATGGACGGCCTGAGTGACTCCTTGTTTGTTGACAGCCGAGTTGAGGTCAACCAGCACGCCGGGTGGCTCTTTCTGAGGCGACTTGAGCTGCCGAGACTTGCCCTTCTTGGACATTTCCGGAGATTGCTTGCCATCAATCGTGTTAACACTGCGCCACTCCTTGATCCATTCGTGTGTTGGCTTTGCTGCTTCGATGACACTTCTCATAGACACAAATTCCTCGTGTCCTGTGGTGAGGAATTCAAACAATTCGATTTTCTGTTCGGCATCAAATTGCGCACGTAGCGTTCCATTGGCCACAAGCTGCAAGGGCAAGATCAATTAGCACAAATGATAGCCAAACAGGGAGGAGACAACATACATGTGAGCCTGTCTCGAACCAATAGACGAAACTGGCTCGTTGGTTCTCGATACAGTAGCAGTCCCCGGGCAATGCCTTGTCGATGCTCCCGCCGTCGAGAATGAGTTGTATACTCTTGACGCCACTGCTGTAATAGGTATGGAGATAGCGAGCAATTACTGGATAAGCAATTTCATATTGCTTATCTGCTACATCTTCCTTTTCGCTAGGGTGGAATGAGTGGCGGAAGACACCGTTGGGTGATGAGAAGAACTGGGATACAACTCTACTCCAGTACGTGAGATCCTCTTTGTTCTTTGCTCCCTAGATAAGTGAACATCAGTATCAAGACCAGGCAGTCGAAATTTACAGGGAAGCACATACAGGGAAGGTACTTAGGCATTCGCCAAAGTGCATCAGTCTTAATAGACACTTTGTCTTCATCCCTTCTCTTAGTTGCTGCTGGTGCTGCTGCTGCATCAGGGTGTTGGCCATGAGTTGCTGGGTTGCAACGGCGGCCATCTGGTTTTGATTCGGAGGATGGGCCTGTTGAGGCTGGGGCTGGCCCTGTTGCATCTGATTCGCCTGAGCCGGAGTCGGTGCGGGTGTCTGAGGAGTCTGTTGCCCCGTCGGTGCAGGTGTGCCGGCTTGTGAGACTTGCTGCGGCGTCGGCTGCGACTGGGGACCGGGTTGCTGCTGGGATTGCGGCTGGGCCTGGCCTGGCGGCTGCTGGCCCGGCTGCTGCTGTGCGCCCATTGACGGCTGAGCTGCCATGGGATTTGGCTGTGGCATACCCTGCATGGGCTGAGCATTCATCGCCATGTGCTGTGCTTGGTTATGGCCCGCCATTTGCTGGTTGTGCGCTGCCTGTTGCTGCGCGGCCTGCTGCTGCTGAGCTTGCTGCTGCGCTGCCTGTTGTTGGGCCTGGGCCTGGGCTGCTGCCTGTTGCTGAAGGGCTAGCTGCTGGGCCATGATCGCTTGCGGGTTGTGCGCCTAGGGAGTGATGTTAGCAAGTGTCCCGGGTCTCTCCGTCGCGGTGAAGAAATCGCTATATGAAGCAACTACTGACATTTACGTGACCCAGTTGAGCAGCGGTCCGCGCCTGTCTCAATTGGTGAATCTGCTGTGGTGTGAGTTGCATGCCCATGGGCATGCCGTTGACTGCACCAGGGGTCATGCCTGGGAACTGTTGCGCCATCATTTGCCGCTGTTGTTGCTGTTGTTGTTGATGGAGAATTTGCTGCTGGCGGATAGCAGCCATTGCGCTCGGGTTGTTCATCCCAACTGGATTGCCGCCGCGTTAGTCTACCCGCTCCATGACGGATATCCATGCTAGTAGGGTACTTACATTGCTGCTGCAACTGCTGCTGCTGCTGTTGAAACATTTGCTGCTGTTGCGCAGGACTTATTTGATGCATCGGGTGAGCATTCGGGTTCGCCCCGGGAGGCATGCCGCCCATCAAGGCCGGATTGACCTGGCCTCCTGGACCAGACACGGCAATGTGACCGCCGGCGAACTGGTGAGGCATCCCACCAGGCGCGCCCTGCTGGCCTGCGTTGGGCTGCATGCCAGGGCCAGCCATCGGGTGTCCTGCGACTCCCGGATGGCCCATCCCAGGGTGCCCCGCGAAGTTGGGGCCCATACTACTTGCGGCCATCATCTCTGGATGAGGCCGACTATCCACAGCGTGGATATCGACGAGCGTCCGTAGACACTATCGCATGCGCATACGACGGGGGTTATGAGAGATCGCGACTGTCGTCGGTACAGAGAGACGTGTGTTCCACCTGGTGCAGGCTCAAGTCTTGCTGCCTTGCCGTCTGTTGCTGTATATTTTGGAGTTTCGCGTCGCGGCGACAGGTAGCGTGGATCACGGGGTAGCAGCGGTGGGAGGCGGCAGTACCGCAAGTGAGACTTCTAGAAAATTGGTAATAGCAACAATCGTCGAGGGTGCAGAGTCCGCGTCCCAAAAGGATAAAAAAAAAAAAGGCGTCTATAGCGAGAAGAAGCGACGAGGCGTGCAGTGGCGACGATGCATCGGCAAGAGATAATGCGGTCCGATGGGTAGTTGGTGGTGCGATCCGTGATACCACACCAGCCCGACTCAAGACACTGCGACGGGTGACAAATAAGAGGTCTAGCGGCTGAGTGGGCAGCAAGTAGGGGAATAAGCCCAAAGAAGAACTTTGTTCGGGGACAAGAAACCCAGTTTGACAAGGGAAAGCCCGGGCGCCAGAGGAAGAATCCGGTGAAGAGAGATTGGGACGCGATGCAGAGATGGGCGAATAAATATCTCCGCCAGATCAACGGGATTTTGCAGCCAGCTTCAGCCTACGGTATAATCGCGGCAACCGACCCAACCGGCTGCTGTGCTGTGCAGACTCCCGCGTTCTTTTTCTCCCAGGCTCTTTGCCCAAGCGTCTGGCGCGACTCGCAGCGCTGGTGCCGCCGCAGTATGCGCTGGTGCTGTGCTGTGCCGGTGCTGGAGCGGATGCTGGAGGCCGGTAGAGCAGAGAGGAGATGCGAAGAGGGCGAGGGACGTATCCAGGTGGATGTTGTGTCAGGTCCCCAGGCCGTCTGGCGAGACGAAGGACGTCGCAGTGCAGCAGGCAAGGCGTCGATTCTGGCAGACCAACCCTGCGGGAGCAGCGAGACGGCGTTTGGGGGATCTTTGGTGCGTGGGTACGTGAGTGGGCGGGAATGACCAGGGGAGGAGAGGAGGCCAGGGATGAGCCGTGGGGATTATGCAACTAAACGGTGCAAAAGCCCCGCTTGGGATATTCAGCAAATACTGTAATATTTGCTTGCATTTTTGTGGTTGGAGGGTGAGAGGTCGATGTTTGCTGTGAACTGCAATGAAGTGGCGTCTTCTGCGCAGGAAAGCAGATGGGATTGTGGGCGGGAAATGGTTGGTAAGGAAATCGGAACGGGCTTTTCTTTGTTTATATACTCCTAGTAATCGATAAGAAGGAGTGCCACGTGTAGAGACTCCATCAGCATTCATTGAGCGTAAAGATGAATGGAGGTAAAAGGTACGGGGCAGTGCAGCAATTCTAGTGTTAGAAAGCAGCGGGCTTCTGGGGGCCCTGGAAGCACTGAAAGTATTCCTTTAACTTTCTCCAGGTCCAATACTTTCATCAGTTGAGGCGTACTGCATGTTACAAGCCCTTGACACTCCTCTATACTTCCACGAAGCGGATATGAAGGGCTGGGTATTCTTCGTTTCTCTTTCTCTCTTTTTTTTCACATTGACCACATCTTCTCTCTCTTTTGTACATCTCATATGATTCCAAATGACTTATGCGCACTGCAACCTTCAAATAATTTAGGTACCCAACTATGAGATCGTGTAAGTTGCTGTACGCACCATGGCCTCTGCTCATCTCGGAAGAACTTCATCCGTTAAGCCTAGTTGGGCAGCACTTGAATATCCACTTTCTGATCTAGTCTACTTTCTGCTATAGTCCGCTCAAACTCGGTGGCTGGTAGCAGTCATACCTCTCTATCGGGCCGCTAATATCGGGATAACTCTTTTTCCGCTCGAATGACGGGAACCGACGTCTGGTACCTGGCAGCATCGTCTGCCTTCGGGCCAAATCGTATCTCTCTTTATCTGACCGGTATTTCCGCCTCTTTGTGGCTCATAGGAAAACATGCAGCAAATATGACAAATAATGACAGAAAATCTGAAGGGATTTACCGCTGGGAATAGTAGAGCAAATAATTCTTCTTGACAAAACACTGCGGCACAATGACAAATTATCCGCCGACATGCACATAATCTTCAGTTTTGCGAAAATCCGCGGCAGACCTGCTAGCGCCGCATTCAGCCTTAGCAATCGTGCCTTAGCTCTCTTAAGTGAAAATCGTTTGAGTAACGAGATGATTAAATCCGAGGCGCCATTTGCGGCTGCCGCCGCTAATACTTTAAGCGGGAGAATAGCATCACGTGAGATACATACAGTGCCATTAGTGAGAAAATTTTGCTTGCACTGTCTCTGAATATCTTCTCTCGCCGATGGAGCTTCTGGGCGAAATTTTCCTTCCAACACAACTTTTTTTTGCCCATGCAAAGAGCTCACTGGCAGTCTCGCCGTTTTTTCTCAGCGCCGGAGACGAATCCGAGAGGTTTGAATTTGGCTCCTGTTCATTCTCTCCTGGCCCAAACAGAAAAGACAACGGGTCTATCAGAACAGAGTTTCTTGAAGCGTGTTTGTGCAAACGCGTTTGCTTGACATGTGATGTCAAAAGGTAAGAAACTTGGTGGTTTTTTTTCTTCCCATCCCTTCACAGGAATATGCAATTCCTTTTCCCTCTTTCATGATGACACTGAATAAACGTCTTCTTTTCCCAACCGAATCGACCATGAAGAAGTTTTTGACTACTCGGATCCTCAGGATCTGTTACTTGCCAGTATAATTGTCTGACCTTTGCACACATTTGCTCAATGCACATTTTTCACTCTCCTGCTTGAGCGGTCATGCTAACTCTATGACCCAGCTTTTCTAGAATTTCCTCGACTTTGCTATACCTTTCTTCCACCTACAATTAACCTGGCAGACACACCGAGCTCGTGCCCTGACCATATGGTGAGTACTTTGCTGCATTTTTTTTTTTCTTTATTTCCTTGATCATGTGTTTGCATGATGAAATTTTCCATTTAATTCGCAGTTTCCACTCGAGTTCCGATGAGCCTTTTTCTGGAACAGATGAGGGTTAATACTTCCTTGGATGTCTGATCAAACACATTGTCTTCCTTTTTTATATCACGACTTGTTTTATCTTGGCAATTTTACGCGTTGGCCGAGCTTGGAGCTAACTCGTCAAAGTTTTAATAGTGATTTCTCCAGAGCAGAGTGCTCGTCGTAGATTATAAACATAGTTCATTATTCATGGAAATAAAACACCATTCAATCAATTCATCTTGTCTATTCTTGCCTCTCAAATGTGTCTGTCAAACCGTGTAGTATTGTGCCGTGTCTGTTCCTCGGGCTCTTCCTCGCCGAGGCAATGGAGCCTGGCTTTTTAATTTTTAATTTTTTCTTTTTTTTTTTTTCTTTTTTTTTTTTTAGAGAGATAAGGCGTTGCTCCGGATAAGGGATAGCCCGAATGTTAAATTGGCTGAAACTGCGTAATCCCAGCGCAATCCTCAAAGATACTACCCTACAAGGCTTCTCAATCATGTTTTATGCCACTGTCATCGAAAGATAGGATTGGATCTATTTGAGTTGCTCATTAGCTATGGGTAGGCGTGCTTGATTTATTCTCATTTAAGACACACAAATATGTTGCAGCTGTTGCACATCTTTTACCTGCTGGATCAATGTCATATTTCGTATTCATAATCTTAGTCCTATTATCTAGATAGTAGGTAGAGAGAGCTCTGTATAAAGTAATCACACATGTCTCTTATTCCTACAAATGGGTACGAGCTTTGGATATGGCACTGCGGCAATCATATTTTCTTTCCCAAAATAAAAAACTAAATGCGCCTCATTCTCCTATCCATCGTAAATTCAGCCCAAATATCCTCCAGATCAAAAACAAAAACACTCAAGCAACTCGCACCTCCTCGCGGATTTCATCTCTCCTCACTCTGCCCCCAACTATACCCATCCTGTTACGCCCCGTCCGGCCTCTCCCCAGCCAGTTGAGCTTGAGCATCTTGCACAGTTCAACCATCTTCCTGTTACTCTCGTCGCCCAAGTCGCCACCAACGCCGCCGATGCTCGAGAGAACACTCATGCACTGGAACATCCGGCCCACCATATCAGCTACCTGCTTCGAGTCCTCGACATTTTGCTCACGGACGCTGCTGAGGGCCTGCATGCCTGACGGCGTATAGGGGCGAATCACTCCATCGCTGCCGCGGCTACCAAGGCTGACGTTGCTCACAGCTCGGCTGCGGCTGCCGGCAGAGCCATCACCTAGCAAGGTAGTGCTGGTCGAGTTATACGAGCCAACTGAAGGATCGATGGACATGGCTGTGCCAGGACGGGCCATGGAAAAGAAGGATTCGGGAGGCGATGTGGAGAGACTGGCTTCCAAAGGAGGAGACGCGAGCGCCATGTTTGCCCACGCCGAAGGAAGGAACTCGAGAGAGAGGCGGGAGAATATCGTTTTGAGCGTCTCATAGCGCGACAAGATGATGGTATCCCGATAGGCCGTCAATACCAGGCGTCTTACGTCGAGGGCGGTCGCTGCAGGCAAGACCTGTGCTGATTGCCCTGCCGCAGGAGAGGGAGCAGTGACAACGCCGCCCCAAAAGTCGCGAGCTTGTTCAGGCGTCATAAGAGTCCCACAACCTGAAACCTCCAGATCAAGAGGCAGCAATGCCGCTTGCATGTAAGGCAAGATGGAAGTGAAAGTAATGAGCCAGTTGTCCACGAGAGTTGGCATGAAACGCTCCTCTGGCATTCTCCGTAGAGTCTTATCCATTGTAGCGAAGCCCAGTGATAGAAGCTCTCTAAGGTCCTCTAGCAGTCTATTCGGTGACCTCTTATGGATACACCATTGAATATGCAAGCTAACAATGCGATTGATGTCTTCTACTGGAAGGCGAATATCTTCACCTTGGAAAATGACAAGAAGCTTTGGCTTCAAGTAGTTCCACGCATCATCCATAGCCAGGCCTGTCAGCACCGACTTGACACCGTCCACTGTGTCGGACAAGATACTTGATTGCTGCGACATGGAAGGCAAGCTTTGACTACCAGGCCAATCTCCGGGCACTGATTCACTGTCCATGCGGCTATCCGATCTTTCAGCATTCTTTTTATCCTTCTTGGCCTTTGCAAAGGTAGAAGACGTAGGACCGGGGCTGGCGGGGACGCTGAAATTGTAAAGACTGCTTGGTGCGTTTGGATCCGTAGGCCTCGAGTTGCTAGCGGCCGATGAGAGCGGTAAATGATACTCGTCCTTGAGCTTCTGCTTTTGCCTTGAAAGGAAGTGATGCTTCTTTTCTTTCTCTTTAGCTTTTTCCTCCCCAGTCGCTTCATTTGGCCGAATGGTTGCCGATGATGAGTTGTTAAGATTATAGAATGACTGGTTACCAGAGTCTGTGAGATTGGTTGAGCTGAAGTTGCCTCGCTGGAGAGCTGATAAAGCCGAGCCAATCTTGCCTGGACTTGGCAACGCCTTTTCCTTGGTGTCTTTGGCGCTAATCTTGGATGGCCGTGAGAACAATTTGGCCTTTGCCTTTTCGGATTTGGAGAGAGGCTTCTCTGAAATAGTCGAAGCAGAGGTTGCGGCAGGCAAAGACGGAAATGGCTGCGGCTGAGGAGACACGGACGGCTCCCTTGGAGAATTGCCGCCAGACCGGGGGAATACAACATTGGCCGCAGCCGTAGCAGCAGCGGAAGACTGCATAGAAGCGGCCCCAAGCCTGTCTTGATGTGTTTGATGTGCGCCTCCTCCTGATATGTTAAAGGCTGATTCCCGCGGCGCACTGGCCTCTGTTAGGCTCAATGTGGGCGGGCTTATAGGGCCTTTGCTCCCGCTCCCTCTCCTCGCGCCTTCAGTTTCTGGGGCCGTCTGAGATCGCTGGCGCGACTGGAGGATGTTCTGATGCGACATTACGGCCGCTTGCGCTGCAATGGCGCTGGCAGACAGTCCTCCGTTCGCAGGGCCCGCAGGTTGGCCGCTGTGGCCCATTCCGATCTGGGACAGGTTGGACGTGCTTGTTGACGGCAAGGATGGCTCAAACATGCCTTGGGTGGCAGCGTGTTTCCTCGTGTGCGTCTTAAGAACGGGGGACGACGCTCCCTGGGGCGCGGTTCGGGGGGCGCTTGGGCGAGGATAGCTCTGCTGGATGCTGGCGCTGCTGCTGGCGAAGGCATGGCTGGCGAACTGCTGATATATGGGCGTGGATGGCGGATTGACGGCGCCGGCGCTCTGCTGCCGAGCCTTGGGGATGGTCATGGCGGGCGTACCGTCCTCGCTGCTGCTGGGCGAGTCGACCATGCGCAGGGGAGGTGGTCGTGACGACGATCCCGGCAGGTCGATGGACGATCGCGGCACCCCGGGCAAGGGCGAGAAGCTGCCGGGAGCTCGGCCCTGAGGCCGTCCCGTATTCGATGGTGTGGGCTGCATCTTGCGGTGTTGTGAAGGGCTCGTTACATCTTGGCTGGTGCCGAGAACATGAGGCGAGGCGATTCTGGCGCCGTGATGCGGGCAGACGGGCCGCGACTCGATGTCGCAACCAGGGCCTGTGGGTCGGTCACTTGGGATTCTTGTAAGGTTCGAGGCGCCAGAAGTCTAAAGCGAAGAGAGTGAAGCTCTAGGAGAGACCAAAGACTGAGGCTGGTCGTTGGTGGAAGGATGCCGAGCTGCTGGAGTTGGAGTTGGGGTTGGAGAGGTTTAAGATGAGACGGCTGCCGTGGGGTTGCGTCTTCCGAAAGCAACCCTCGTACTGTAAGGCAGTAGATCTGCATGCATAGAGCTTATCTCGGTAGGCATTATCGCATCATGTTCCGCTCCATACGGGCCATCGCTGCTAGAGTGTGTACATATTCTATGTCTACACAAATCAAACCTCTAAATACTAGTTCTCAAGAATAGAAAATAGCTCTTGTTCTCTACCTACTTGCCTCTTGTCATATCTGGTTTTGTTTTGTTCTGGCCTGCCTTGTCCACAGCTGCAGCATGTACCTCATCTTACTCCCCAAATTGGGTGGATTCTCAAGTACCGAAAGCTGAGGCTTGAATTCCGCACTAACGCAGTACTGAGGTACATGTGGCATGTGGGGCCCACCGCAGCTTGGGGGAAAGCTATAAAAAATCAAAATCAAAATCTCGTGCCTCTAGCCTCTTTTTGCTTTCTTTCTCCTCAAGCATCGCCCTCTTCAACGCTGCGTTTCCATGCTACAAACAGAGAATGTGCAGAGCCTCCGGGCCCTTGTCAGTCTCGACTTCTTTTTCGCATGTGGGAAATTCGGAGAAAGCTTCAAAGCAGGAGGTGGACACGTTCCTCTCTTGTACTCGTTTTCCATGCCTGGAGCGTCCTTGTGGCCTCCCGACGTGTGTCTATCGAGTCTGCCTGTGATGGCCTGGCGTCACCCCGACGTCTGCAACAGACATCAGAAATCTCAGGCCCGAGAGAGCCCGCGTGTATACTTCGGGAAGACGTGGGTTTATCTCGGTGTCCTATGGGAAGTCGTTGCGAAGCTTGTTGCGCAAACTTGAGTGCGATATGCAGCGTTTGTTTTGCTTCGGCGAAATGAATCACACAATTCCGATCATTCTGTTGAGGGCGATGCTTCAACCCTTTTTCTCCTCAGGTAAGCTGCTGATTATACCTGTTTCGCTTTTGGGCAAGAATACTACTAATCGGTTGATCCTCTCGCTCGAGACTTTTAGATATTAGGACCGAGCAGCGGTAGGCAACTCAGCTGCCTCACCCTGACTCAAATCGATTCCCTGGGCTTTCATGGCTTCCTGTACTGCTTCGCTATCGATTGAACCACAAACCGTAAACAGAGGCCATCGCCCTTGTACGGTAGACATGGGAGGAATGACTCACACTTGGGATCTAGCTAGAGCCCTCGTCTTACCTTGACAACTTGTCGTAGCTTCTCGTACACACCTCGTAGTGCAATGATGCCCCTCTAAAGATATCATAGTCGTGTACCTTATGGCTTTCTGCGGCTGTTGCCAAAATGATGGATGCTTTCATCTGAAGAGATACTGTCAAACTCTTTCATCCGAAGTTGTCAACCACAAACGCTGCCCGCTGATCTACTCTTCAACTTACGGACACATTGACTCAATGGCCTAATAATGAAATGCACGTCTCTTCAAACTCTGCGTATACTGCTGGTATGGAGAGAAACCATCCAAATATTGGGAAATCTACCAACTTGGACCGCCACGTGATCCGCCTCTCAGCAGAAATCCTGCCCCTCCATGCAGAATAGCTCTCAGCCTGCTATTACCCCACCAATCTCTACACTCCCATAACAACCACCTCAAAAGAAATCATACTCAATCCTGAGATAGATCAAAGCTTCTTCACAATGTCCCAATCAACCTCCTCAGATCCCACCCTCACAGCTTTCTACTCCTCACCCTCCAGCGCGCCCTTCAGCATCTCCGAATCCATCCCCGCGCCGCCTACGCCCCTCGACCCGGCCGGAAAATCCACCTATCTCGAATCACTGCGCGCTTCCGTTGCTGCGGCCCAAGATCAGATCAACAAGGAGCTCACGACGCGCATGGAGGAAGATAAAGCTCGTGAGGGAGGAGCCGCAGCTGTGGATGAAGAGAAGGAGGAAGAAAACTACGGCGAAGAGGTTCAGGAAGAGGAGGATTAAAATCTCCGTTCTTCCATTCACCCACGCAAAGATGCCACTGCAGATACAACTATGCCATACGATTTGGATTTTATATATTATAAAAAAAGGACAACACGCCTTAGAATGTGTACAAAAGGGTATAGCCACATCATACGAACAGATAAAAGCCAACCCAGCTCAGCGACTCCAAAGAAGAAGAGAATGAAGGAACAACACCTAGCTATGAGAGAAGAAGGACCAAAAAAAGAGCAATCTGGACAAAAAAAAGCATGGGCGTCTAAAACCCTCTACTCCAACTGGGCTTTCTCGAACCATTCGCTTTGTTGCCAGTTGCTTTGCTCAAACAGCCATAATGGACAACTGTATTATCCGTCAACACGGCCACGACGCTACCACCCATTCTCATGCCACCAGCCAATTTCTTGTGGCACACGACGCAATGCCTCTCGTCGGTGATGACGACATGGCGATTCCGGCCGCCCTGTCCTCCGGGTTTACCGTCGCCTAGCTGTAATTCCGCGGCCACGGATATGCCCTCGGCTTTGCGCAAGCCGGCCATTATGCGGGATTCATTGACGAGACTGTTTGCTGCGCGTATTCTCCCGCGGAAATAGGCTTCGAGGGAGCCGACGGGGAGATCATCGGGGATCAACCCAAGTGTTGATGTGGCAGGGAGGCGAGAGCCGTGCTTGGAAAGCAGGTCTAGAGCTGGCTCGAGGTTTGGTTTGTGGGGCGGAGGGGGTTGAAGATAGAGGGAAAGTAGCGTGTGATATACAGACGATGCTGATTCGTCGGGGTCATCCGAAGGGGTTGTAGATGAGGCCTGAGATCTATGTGCACGATTACAATAGCTAGATGAAAGTCAGCTACAGATCAGAAAGATAACGATAGAGCATTCTGGCGACGTACTCTTCCGCTTTGACATAGTCCTTCATCTTGAATACATAAATCTCTAGAGATTGCCGGTGCTGTCCCATGTTGCTTAATACAACAGCTTGGGCCTCGTAAAAAGCGGCATCTAATATTATTAGCATATTGACATTGGTTCATTCTAGCTGTCAAGTTTCAAAGGACTCTTACCATCTTTAGGAATCAAGGCAAATGCCTTTGTAAGACTGTACACTTGTCGAGACTCCCGCAGGAACTTGACAAATCGTTCTTCAAGGTCATCCCAATCATGACCCCTCTCACTGTTACTCAGGCTGGAGACATAGAGCTCGACCAATCGATTGTGGAAATCCGCCGTGGTATCATCGAGTTCCATAATAATATGTTCCAAGTATTGCCTCTCAAGCTTCGGATCAAGGTCTCGGAGGTAAGGTAAAACTTTCTCAGCAGGTAGAGTTTCCGCATTCTCCGTATCACCGATGAAAATATCCATTGCAAATTCCGGGTTCGCCTTCAAAGTCCACTCGGCATGCTCAAGAATGAGATCAATTTCCGAAGGTGGAAGACTCTGGAGATACTGTATGGTGCGATCTGGGCCATGTAGAGTTGGGGCTGTTTCATTTGGCTTTGGCGCAGCGCCGAACTGATGCAATAATTGCAGAGCTGACTTGTGCAGCTTCTTGCCGTGGAAGAAGTCAATCAACTCCGTATAGCGGTTATGCTCCAGTAGCTTTTCATTCACCACGTCCGGATCGCAAAAGTTGGGAATCCGAAATAGCGAGCCGGCAAGAGACGGCTGCGAGAACATGTAGGCGCGAAAGAGTGTGGTATCGACCAAGCGGAAAATCTCGCGCAGCTTTTGCTCACGCTCCTTGTCAGATTCATCTGGTGTAATCTTCAGAAGCCTGTCTTCAGCGTCCGCCGTTGAGCTGGGCTGATCCACTCGCGGCTTCAATTTGCCAGTGACTGGATCAATGACACGCTGAAGGCGAGCTCGAGTGCCAGCAAGATAACTGTTTAGCTCCAAGACGGCCCTTGTAAGGTCTCTGCCTTCAAGTGGCCTGTCCTCTGATGCTGGTGCGTCTCTGGCGTTGTCCGAGTCTTCTGTTTCGCCGTCCTTTTTCGTCGAGATGATTGAAGCGACGTCAGTCGGTTTCTTTTGGGCTCCCTTGAAGTACTTCACAAACCCTCCAACTGTGGGAGATTCGGCATGTTCGCTGGTAGTAACTTCTGGGCTATTTGGCCTTGTGCCATTGGTCTTTCTCACCTGGGTCTCTGCATTCTCTTGGGCACCCTGACAATTTGCCCACCTGGACAGCTCTCCCGCAATAAGAGGTGGATACATCCTCAGTACTCGCTCGGGCGGAGCATGAACGTCGTCTTCGTTCATCAGGTCCATCGACTGTCGAAACTTCTTTTGCTTGAAGAGGCCTTCTGCCTTTAGCATCTTGACCTCTCGGAGAGTCTCTTTCTTGTTCCTCAAAAGAGCATCCTCAAGCATTTGTAACACACTGATGGCTTCATCAAACCTGCCAGCCTCAATGAGCTCTCCGATCTGAGAGTCATAGTCTGTAGCTCCCATTTTCCACACGCAGCGGTCACTGGAAATGTGGAATCCTTTGCCGGCATGTGCTAGGCTCGAAGTAGGCGGGGGAAAATGAAGCTGAGCAGCACCGGGCAGTTGGATGGTCTGCATGAGAGACAAAGTATCAGGGTTCCGAACTTCGAGTGAGCCTTTAGAAGGAGGCTGAAGAGCCACAATGTACGGATACGAATATCCGATGGACTCGGGTGCAGTTTGCCACGGTATTTGCCTCTTCTCCAAGGCCTTGCCCTCGTCGTTGACGAAGAGCGTATTGATGTCCTTGGCAAGGAGCATTTCGCCATCAGCCAATTTGGCGGCCAAAGGCTTGGGAATGTAGCTTCCAAGGCCCATGTATCCCATTCCTGCGCTGCTCACAGCTCCAAATCGGCTTCCTTGGCCTGATACTCCCACCGCGCCCGGGCTCACAATGTCCTCGATCTCTTGCGTCACGGCATCGACAATGACATAGCCACTATTCATGCCACAGACTATCTTCGTCGCACTCGCCCATGTTATTGATCGGATAGACTCGGAAAGCACCACTTCGGAGACGTCGTTGTTGAGCTCGCTCTCATGCCAGCTCCATAATAGCAGTCGCCGCTTCACAGCAACAGCTAGTCGGCTGATGATTTCGGGTATGCCAGTGTCGGAATCACGAACGATGTTGGACGTGATGGCAAAGCAGGACGCATTCTTCGTTCGTGAGAGCGTCTCGATGAGATCGTAGGATTGTAGGTCGTGGAGAGATACGTGGTAGTTGGATAGGGAGACGATGGTGTTTGCCTCTTTTATGATTGCTAGCTGCTCTATCGCCCGCGTCGAGAATCGTTCTATCTCGCGCAGTAAGTCTGTCGGCTTGGAGGCCGAGTCTGCGGGAGGATGGTCGCCATTCTGAGGAGGAGTCGCATTTGCGGTGAGTGGAGGTGTTGAAGCGCCGTTAGCGGGAAGTTCGTTGAGGCGGTAGACCCGAAGAGCGCCGTTGTTGAGCCCGACGAGAATTCGGTCCCCTGTGAATTTGGTCAGAGGCGATCCGGAGAGCAGGAGAGCGCATCAATGAAGACGTTTGCCCTTACCGTGAGCGAGGATCGTCTCAATCTTCGATTTGTCCCGCTGTCGGAGCTCTATTATAGGGCGAGCTGTAAAGGCGGAGAGCATGGCGTCGGCCAGCTCCAGGGAACGAATCGCTATCTTTTCGAGATGAGCATCAGAAGGCCGACGATTTGGTTCGATACTGCTGACTCTCTACAGCGTCTGGATATGAATTCTTGCGACGGAAGCTGTTGTGCCTAAGGATGGCATTATTGCCTGAACGGGCCCCGGAGCTATTCAAGTCAGGTTGCACTATCTTATCCCAACGACGTCAGGGTACTGCCGTTTCAGCTTAGCTGCCACACAGTGTAAAAGGCCTAAAACACTGTCGCTACAGTAGCTCTTAGACCTGGCCAACCCGGTAAATACGTGCCCACTAAGTAATAATCATGATTCTGAAAAATGAATTCTGAAAAATAAGATCGAAATTTCATTATAGACAGATGATTCTCTCGCAATGCTTTACAAATTCAAGCCACATATGCCCCTTATACCACCCATACAAAATCCAACTTCTATATGCTCCATTCGCCCATCAAACATACATATCATAGATCTCTCAGCGAGCTACCAACTCAGTCCAAACCTGCCACTTCCATAATACCATATCCAAGTGTTACTACGACGACCAAGGTAAGCAAACTGCTTGGAACACCTCTGCTGATAAAGTGTTTCACGCTCAGGTAGCGTTGACCGGTAGCGTCCTCTTTCATAATGGCAGCTGAAAGGACAAAATTAGCACCTATCATCTTACGTAGGAAAATAATAAAAGACTTACTCATATTGGGGAAACCGCTGGTAGGCAGACCCATCGCAGCGCTGCACATTAGAACGCCACCCATAACAAGAAGGTTGGGGTGAGGCTGGTCCATGGCCACACCCACATCGTACACCAGAGGCAGGAAGATGAGTGCTGCTACCGTGTGGCTGATGAAGGTGGCGATGACGAGAATCAAAGAGGAGAACACAGCCAAAACACCGTATAAGCTCATGCCCTCGACCTCGCGTGAGACAATCTCGGCAAGGGTATGGAGCAGGCCTGAAGATCGGACAGCCTTACCGAGCGACAAACCGCCCGCAGCCAGGATGATGATTGTCCAGGGAAAGTTGTTGAAATCCTCTTTTGTCAAGATGCCGATGCCAAAGAAGAGCACAATAGGAATGATGGCTACAACACCCATGTCTCCAAATATAGACTCCAGGGTATGGCTGGTACACCACAAAACGATGGTGATGATGGTAACGATTGCTACAAACCACTGACCACCGCTAAATTTCTCCTTAAGAGGACGGATGGGTGCGATACTTGTTCCCTTGCCAGGCTGAAACGTGACCAGCAGAAGTAACCAAATCAGGACAAGAGAGACGATGCCAACGGGAATGACAATGAAGAACCACTGCAGCCAGGTAGGCTCTGGCTTCATTATTCCCATGGCTACGACGTTTTGAGGCGATGCAATTGGTGACAGCATGCCACCAATATTTGAAGCAAGGGCAATACCAATGATGACAGCCTTGGACATGTTCGAGTCTGAAGGCAGAGTTCGCAGCATAGGCTATAAAAACAAATTAGACATGTTACTTTGAGAGGTCAGTATCATCGCCAAGAAACGTACCTCAATGATGGAGAAGCAGAGAACGGGAGCAGCCACGTTGCTGATGAGCATAGACGCAAAGGCAGCGACAAACATGTTTGCAATCAACACAGTTCTGGGCTGAGTGCCGGCTTTGCTCAAGATGAGCGTCGCAAGGCGCTTATCAATCTTGCATTTGGACAGAGCAGCAGCGAGGGTAAAGCCACCAAGGAGGAGCATGATAACAGGTGACCACATGGCAGAGAAGATGGCCGACGTGGCTTCCTTGGAAGAGAGACGCTTTTGAGGCTTGCTAGGGTCTTCTTCACGAACCACTCTGAGAACGACGGCCAAGAAGGGGATGAGAAGAGACGTAACGAACAAGGGGATAGTCTGTAGAAGCGGTTAGCGAGAGTTTTCCCGAAATTGACACTGTATGGTTTGATAATACCTCAGTAGCCCACAGAAGACTGACAAAAACAAGAAGTGCCAGGCAATTCTGCTGCTCAGGGTTCTGCAAAATGGGAATAAACAGCAGCAGGAAAAATGCCAGAACAGATATGAACAAAGTGAGCACAGAGCTGTTGGACAGCCACGAGGGCAGAACGATTCTGCCAATGGGCGTTTTGATCTGTGTTTCTGCTGGTCCAATCTCATCATCACCTTGTAGTCTCTTGGGTGTGATCCCCGAATCCTGTCCCAGCAAGGTTTGGCCAATTCTGGCAGCCTCTCCTCGCCGCTCGATACCAATCAGATCTCTCCATACAGTGTTTCGCTCCCAAACAACGTGCTCTCGGAGGTGAGAACGCAGGTCCTTTCTAGCAAGCTCCAGATCGCCAGCGGTTACGACATCAGCGTAAGCGGCTTCCATCTTGGCAATGTTTTCTTCGAGCAGCTTCTTAGTCTCCGGCTTGAAGGGGTATGCCGTATCGACATAGGTGCTGATGTAGGATGATCGCAGCTCTTTATCGAGAATCTTGTCGAATTTCTTGAGAACCTTGCTAAAGCCGGTCTTGTTAAGCTGTGCGTATGACTTGAGCTCGCAAAGCTGCACATAGAGGGCTACTATGCGCTTCTTCAGCATAATAGCGGACGAGTACAGCGTCGAGCCGAAGAGAAAAGATTGATCGCCATAGTCATCTATGGTGGTGCTGTATCTCCTGGATCGACCAAAGTCTGAAGATGCAGCCATGTCTGGGATACTGGACGCAGTCTTTCTCCGGCCATATCTACTGCCGCTTTTGCGTCTCGTGAGACCGGTGGTTTCGTCATCGTCGGTAGCGCTGTCATCGTCGTCGGAGCCACGGCTATGCAGGCTGGTAGGCCGAGCGTGAGTGCTGTGGGTATCGGATGGCGTTGGGCGCAAGGTAGTGGATGTTTCCAGAGAAGGGCCCTCTCCCACATCATGTAGGAGCTGGCTCACTTCTTCCAGCAATTCTCCTTCCTTGAGAGAGTAGAAGGAGCATATCTTTTCCAGCTCAATGCCTAGTGATTTGCTAAAAACTTCCTCTGGCTCCTCGGTTGATATAAGGGGTCGTGATTCAGCATCGCCGGCTCTCGCTTGATATGCGGTCTTTTCGAGTTGGTATATGCTAGAGACATGGCAGGGCTGGTTAGTTGACGCGTTTGGCTGATATTCAATCTGGCAGAGGGCTCCTCACAGCTTTTTGAGATTGCTGTACGCAATGTAGTGGCTGCTCCAATCAGGAACAGCGTTGAACTGAATGCTATGAGAGAACTTCATCTCGTCCCGTGTTTCTAGCCACTCTCGCTTCAACGTCCGCTTCTCTTGGCGTCGACGCTCGAGGTCTTCAGTAGCCTTGCGCTCTGCAATCTCTTTGTAGTCGGAGAGCTCGTAGGTATTGTCGCTGTCGCGTGGTCGATCAGGAGGTGTCGGGTCTGGCGTTGGGATTGAGGGATTGGTGGATGACGAGGCACTGTTCACAGACAATTGTACACTCCCTCCTCGCTCGCGGCCACCGGCTGAGCGTGTATTGACGTTACTAGAAGATGCTGTCGGGTCTGTAACAGGAACAGAGGAGGAGGGATTGCCCGGCCGCTCCTGGGACTGAATGGTGACTGATTGAGGTGTGGTGCAGGGCTTCGTCGGAGCCGATGGATGGACTGCAATGGGGTCTCGTGGCTATCGATAGGTTGACATGGAAACCCTCAGCCAGGCGTCGCCAGTCAAGCCTTGGGCGATACCAATGGAACTTTACAGTGGCCTAGCCTCTGCCTAGCCCGCTCTTCGGATCTCTCGAGTCAAACATGGGCGTAATGGCGATTGCGGCGCTATCTGGAGGCTCCAGAAAAAAACAACAAGGTTGCACCCATTACACACAGGCAATCAGCACGCTGTGACTGGCTCAGGGGGGAAGCATGTGACCTGCAGCTGACAGCCCTGCGCTAAAGAGACCGCTGCGCGAAACGGCAACGGTTCAGGCTGCGCTGCAGGGAGGGCGGGCGGCAGATGGCGGAGCGCATCCGCTACACGGCGACCTAGCGACGCTCCTTTCCAGCGGCCCATGCACATTACAGGCCTCTACAGCGTTCGACGCATCCACTATCGCTACCGCAATGTAGGGAAGGCTATCCGGCTGTCAGGCTACCTCATATTCGGCAGAGCCACACCATGATACATCACATCCCACCTCCGCGACGTGAGGGGGCGGGCAGATGACTTGCTCTTGAGACCTCCATCTCCAGTAATGATGGCGATGGTGCCTATTGCTAGGAGCTGTTGATTTAGCTATATATTCCCCCCTTGGCATCCGCCCACAGCCCCCCGATCTTCCACGTGTGGGAATTGCGTCCAGCTATTGGTTGATGCATTACAGATTCTATTAGTGCTTGTATATTCTATTCTATCCATCCTGAACTTTACCGCCGAACCACGCCAGCCTCGGTCTCCTATCCCAGCATCTGCTGCAGCGCATTAATCCTATACGACTCACTTCTCTCCACAAGTTCCTCGTGACGACCTTTGTCGACCACTTTCCCGGCCTCGACGACGAAGATCACGTCAGCTTTGCGGACGGTGTGTAGCCTGTGGGTTATGGCGATGACGGTGATGCCTCTGGCTGCCTGCTCCAGGCCTTCTTGCAGGGCCCTTTCGCTCTCTGCGTCAAGGGCGCTGGTGCTCTCGTCGAGCAGCAGAAGCCGTGGTTTTCGGACTAGCGCCCTGGCAATAGCCAACCGTTGACGCTGGCCTCCCGACAATCGAGATCCGTTGGGACCGCATTCCGTGTCATAGCCGTTCGGTAGTGCTACGATGGTGTCATGGATATTGGCCAGCCTGCAGGCTTCTTCAATCTCCGCGTCGGTGGCTTCGTGACCTGGCACTGCACCAAGTCCCACGTTGAACTTGACGGTTCCATCAAACAGGGCACAGTCTTGTGGCACTACGGCAATGTCATGGCGAAAGTCCACACCTTCTCGAGCACAGATGTCGACTCCATCAATCTCGACCGTTCCTCTCGTAGGGCGATACATCCTCTGAACAAGTGACATGATTGTGGATTTACCCGCTCCCGATGGACCCACGAGACCACAAAACTGGCCAGCTGGTATCGTGAATGATGTGTTCTTCAGAATCTGGATATGTGGCCGAGCAGGATATGCGAAGGATACATCTCGGAAAGTAACGGTGGCGCCACCATGGCCTGGCTTGACCCCTCGGCTGGAAATTGCGTTTGGTGCTGCTTCAACATCCTTCTCTCCGCGTGACGCATTGCTAATTCCGGAATCTGTCACACCCTGGCGCTTGGCAGAGCCAAGGTTTATGAGACTCAGGATTCTAGATGCCGCTGCTCTGGCCCGCGAGACCTCGGGAGCCAACGTGAACATCTGGCCCCACAGCTGGGCACTCACAAGCATGGCCATGAGAATGATGAAGAACTGAGCTTGGCTGTACTCTCCATCTGTGATTCTTGTTGAACCCCACCAGTACGCAAAGGCGTAAATGAGGTTGCCGATGCTGTTGGCGATGGCAAGCCAAAAGTTGGTATACACACTTGACAGGGCCATCTCCTTTTGAGGAGCCTTGAGAGCTCGACGATATGTGTGTAGTATTTCATCTTCAATAGCCAACGATGACACGGTCTTGTACGAAGTAACAGCCTCGACCGTAATACCGAGAGCGTTTGAAAATGCTCCGGCATGCTTGCGCTCAAAACGAGACAGGGAACGTACTTGCATGATACCCGAGCCTAAAAGGATAGGGACAGTTACCAAGCACACAATGGCAATTTTCCAGGCAATTATATGTGAAAGAATAATGGCGATGAAAAAGTTGACCACAATGGAAAACATGGTTCCCATAATCGACCCGCTGAATCCACCGACGGCGGCGGCGTCTGCTGTGACGATGGAGAGCAATGACGCTGGCGAACGACCCTCTGACTGGTGCCAGTCTAGCTCTTGTTCATAGAGCGAGCGGAAGGTGAGCACGCGAATGTTGTAGAGCAGCTTTTCTGCGACATAACCAAAGCCGAACCAGCTTCCCGTGTAGGCGATCAGCTCAACCACGGCCAGCATAAAGAACAGGCCGCCGAAGAACCTGCCAGCCCATAGAATTTGATGAGTTGAGTTGCAGGGGCTGACTTTCTCGACAGTATTGCCAAAGATGACGCCAGCAGAGGAGAAGGTACCGCCGACGATGACGGCGGAGAAAACGGCAAGGAGGAGCATCAGGATGTGTGGGCGAAGCATGAGGCCAAACATCTTGATGATTTTCCAAGCTGACAGATCGGCATCCAGTAATTTATCCTCTGCTTCGGCGGCCGTCTGGCTAGGTTCTTGCTCAGTTGATGAAGCAGCACCTGGTACGTCTTCTTTTAGGGTTGTAGGCTCACTCAGAGAAGATTCTTTCTCCGAGAGAATGATTTCAGTTTCGCCTTTGGTTGTGCTAGACAGAGATGGTGTGTCGTCATGTTCCTTGGACGCCAGGTTTTGTAAACGGACCATGCCAGCATATGAGCCATCAAGGGCCATGAGCTCTAAATGCGTGCCCTGCTCAATGATTTCGCCGTTATTCATAACGATGATATTGTCGGCGTTTTTGATAGTGGACAACCGGTGGGCAATGGCAATGATGGTTCGGCCCTTGGATATCGACTCAACTGCCGTCTGAATACGCTGCTCGCTGGCTGAATCAAGAGATGCGGTGGCTTCGTCCAAGAGAAGAATCTTTGGGTCTCGGATTAAAGCGCGAGAAAACGCAAGCCTTTGGCGTTGTCCTCCACTAACAAGCTTTCCTGATGAACCAACAAGGGTTCCATATCCATATTCAAGCTTGTGAATGAAGTTTGATGCGTCGGCTAGAGCGGCCGATTGGCAAATCATTTCCACGAGCTCGGCCATATCAGGGCCGTACGCCTGAGCGACAGTGGTCAAATCTTGTCCATCTCTAACCTTTTCTGCTACCTCGGCAAGTCCATTTCCCAGAATGATGGATTGGAACTTTTCATGCTTCTGCCACGGCGAGTTGAACAAACCTAATGCGATATTCTCCAAGATTGACCGATCCAGCAGCGACGGCTCTTGTTGAACCAAGCTGATGAAGCTTCTCAAGTTTTTCACGTTGATATCCTTCAAATCATGTCCGTCGAGCAGCACTTTTCCATTTCGAGGATCATAGATTCTTGTTGTCAAACCAGCCACTGTAGACTTGCCACTTCCAGACAGTCCAACTATCGCAGTATACTTGCCAGCAGGACAGTCGAACGAAACATTCTTAAGCACATCCTGATCTGGCCTGGAGGCGTAAGCGAACGAGACGTCGCGGAATGAAATGGAGGCGGGGGCAGAATCAGGAAGTTTCAAGCCGGAAGTCGACCTGGAGTTGATTGTGGCTGGAGTTTCGATGTCTTGTCGCAGTTTTAGGAATGCTGTGGACGCACCCCCTATGAGAGGCAGAAGGGGAGCAATGGAGCCAAAAACGACACATGCTGCGAGGAGAAATGTTAGAGAAATTTCAGTTCAGGGGTAACTATCGCTAAAACTTACCATCCACAAGGAGGAAGATGACAGTATAAATCTCTCCCACTGATACGCCATTGGGATTGGCGATGGTGTTGACAATCTGGTGGCTTCCCTGCCAAAAAGACAATGCATTTGCAGCATACGCGATGAAGTAGAGAGTGCCGGCCTGAACTGCCGCAGCAAAGGCTTTTTTTATGCCCCTTTTCTGAGCTGTCATGACGTGTGAAGAAAATTTGGCCTCCAAACGCGGTCCAGCGCCAAAGGCTTGGACAACGGCAATATTCGACAGAGTTTCCTGAGCAATGGAGGACGCTGAGCCAATTGCATCAGACATGGCACTGGTATACTTTGCGGTAAAGGCACTTCCAAGCCCTGCCATGAGGAAGAAGGCAGGGATAAGGGACAGAAGAATGGCAGCAAGTCTCCAGTTCTTGATAAAGGCCACAATGTAGGCCGTCAGGAAAAAGGACGTGCAGGCGATGCAGATGCCGACCTTTTCTGACGTTCCAGACTGGACAGCCTGTACATCGGCATTGAGACGCGATGACAGCTCACCGGCTTGACGCTTGTCGTAAAAGGTTGCATCCTGTTGCAGGAGTGCTTGAAAGTAGCGGTCTCGGATACGGGCTTCGAGTCGGCGGCTGAAGATGCTCCAGCAGACAATGTAGATGTAGATCAGGACGAAGCTGGCAATGCCGATGTACGTCAGCTCGAGCACCTTGCTATCGATTGAGTGCTGGATTTGCGCAGCCTCGTCCGCGCTGGGGCTCTTGGCATCGCAGCTCGCAGTGTTCAAGTCGTCGACGAGCTGACCGAAGAGGATTCCCATCAGAGGGAATGGGACTCCTGCGGCGGCAGCAGAGACTGTGCCTACGGCAAGAAGAAGGATGTCGAGCCATGTTGGGTTGGCATAGACGAGAAGCTGGAAATAGGTGAAGAAATCCGAAAAGAACTATACGTGTGTGCAGCATTGTTAGACATGGACTGGGTGAGCTTCCCTGTGATGATTGACACTATACTGACCTTTCGAATCTTGGACTGCTCCTTTTCCGTGTTGGAGATTGATTCTACAGCCTCGCTGCCATCTTGAGGTGCCATGACAGCTTCAGTCGCAGCATGGACGCTTGCTGTCTCGTCCTGAGTGCCCATTGCTGGCGAGTCGTGGATGTGTCGATGGTTATCTCACAAGCCGCGCGCTCACACGACCGAGATCGAGCACATGAAGAAGGATCAAAGGGTCTATCAGAGGTAGAATTGCCGTCCAATACGCTTAGACTCCGGCAGTTGGGTCAATGTTCCGTCCAGCTCTAGCTCTCTGCAACTTGCATGATCGGCAAACAGCTGGGATATGATTCCGGCTTGACTGACTGCTGAGGACGCGCAACCGTGCTATCCTCTTTTTTTCCCTCCCTGGCATTGGTATGGCTGCTAGTAGTAGCATCAATCCACAGACACTCTACAGCGTCGCCCAAGCATGGATCCTGGATGGGCCACCAGGGTCTCTCTCACTGTCGCTCCCTCGCTTCTGCTTCTGGGCCGCCGTTTAGTGTGCTCCATATTGCCTGTAGGTGCCATCATGTCGCTGAGGACCGGCAGTATCCACTGCTGCTGGGATGTCGTGAGAATGAGAGCCGGCAAAAAGTTCAACGCAAGTACCGTTTTGTTGCTCAGAGGTCCCTCAACTCTCCAAGAGACACGCCCCTACTCTGCCCCGCCGCCTTGTACCTCTACATCGCAGCATTGGTTCCCCACTGCTTTTCGGATCAGATAATTTCTCTCGGCAGAATTCCCCACTGCACGCGTCCGACGATCGGCTCGGGTTAGCTTGCTTGTGGAAAAAAAAAAAAAAAAAATCACAAAGACTTGGCAGAGAAATAGCAATTGCGTAAGTGAAATGGCTTAGAAGGAGAAGCAGAAAAAAAATCCCTCTTTTCAGGGGTGGTTTTTTGGCCTCTTCTCGGCCATTCAGTCACCCGCGCCCTTGCTTTTTTGCTCGGTCTTCGAGGTGGACCGGTCGGCTTCCGTGAAAGCTCGTGGGGCCGGCGTTTTGATATTCTCACGGCCTCGGCCTCGGATCTGATAAGATTTCTGGAGAGAAACGCAGACGCCCTTCCACTTGTAGATGGAGTTTTCGGGGATTGCAAAGCCACCTACCAGATATAAACTAGAAGGCCCTTTTTTTGAGGAATTGTTTTACACCCCCTTTGGAGGATGGCTTTGGACTCTGCAGATCCTGATGCTCTCTGATGGGGGCCCGCTGCAGACTGGACCTTGGCAATAGGCGGTGCTTGGTGCTAGACCGAATAGACGGGCAAATGAGCGACAAATAGCGACACATAATGAATTACGCAGTGCCGTTAGCCGCATTGAAACCGCCAAGTCCCTGTATCGGCGTCTTCTCTGCTCGGGCAGCTCGTCGGCACATCGCGGCTCAGCTGCTCTCGCCGTCTAAGCCATCCGTCCGCTGGCACAAGTCCATCTGCACCGGCAATTCGCCTCTTGCATCTTCCACTACTCAGATATACAGCAGCCGTCTGAGCCCGAGTCTCCCAAGAAGCCCTGTCCAGCTGCAACTCCGTGCTCTTCACAGCTCCCCTTCTCGTCAACTTGCTACTGAACGCTCTGCCATTCCACATCAGACCACCATGGGCTCGATTCCAGACTCTGCCCCTGTCGTCAGGGTCTTTATTGCGGGTGGCTCCTATGCTGGCCTCTCTGCGGCCGTCAATCTGCTCGATCTGGGCGATGGCCTGTCACCACGCATGGCACACGAGCGGTATCAGCACCACCCCAGCGTGCCCAAGGTGAAGTTTCAAATCACCATTGCCGATGAGCGAGATGGTTACTGTAGGTGGTCTCCACGTAATGGCGCATTATTGAATCTAACAATGGCCCGTAGATCATTTGATTGGATCACCACTAGCCCTGGCGGATGCCGAGTATGCAAAGAAAGCCTGGGTCAAGTTCCAAGATATTCCTGGCCTGCAGCTCCCCAACGTCCAGTTCGTCCAAGGCTCGGTGTCCAGCGTAGACTGCGAAGCCAAAACAGCTACCGTCGTCAACTCCGTCACCAAAGAGGTCATCACTCACCAGTACGACTACTTCGTCACTGCCACCGGCCTGAGAAGAGTGTGGCCCGTGGTGCCTCAGTCTCTGACTCGGAAGCAGTATCTCATCGAGGTTGAAGAGCAAATCAGCGCCCTTGACGGTGCAAAAGATGGCGTCGTCATTGTCGGAGGCGGTGCTTGCGGCATCGAGATGGCTGCCGAGCTGAAGCTCGTGAAGCCGCATCTCCAGGTGACACTGGTTCACTCGCGGGACAAGCTCATGTCGTCTGAGCCACTTCCGGATGAATGCAAGGATAAGTCCTTGGACATGGTCAAGGAGGCTGGCGTCCAAGTGTTGATGAACCACCGGTTGGCCAGCTCCAACAAGGTCGTAGCCCCTGACGGTGCGTCAAAGTATGAAGTCGAGTTTACGAATGGACACAAAATGGTTGCGAGCCAAGTCATCATGGCTCTTTCTAAAAGCACTTCAACGGCTTCATATCTACCATCATCGGCTACCGATTCCGAAGGTCTCGTCAAAATTATACCCAAGTAAGCATTCCTTACTGCCCTATGTACATGTTATTGGGAGAATATAACAAAAACTAACACCCCTGTTCTTCCTCAGCATGAGCTTCGAGTCTGGCACTCCCAACGCTGCATCGCACTTTTGCGCCGGCGATGTAACCAAATGGTCAGGCATCAAGCGATGCGGCGCCGCCATGCACGGCGGCCATTACATCGCCTACAACATTCACCAAAGCGTTCTGAAGCAGGTTGTTGCTGATCACCAACCAAAGTTCCAAGAGCTACAGGAAATTCCGCCCATGATCGGCCTGGCGGTAGGCAAGAATGCCGTTGCGTATGGGCCTGACGTTGGGGTTGTTACTGGGCCTGAAGTAATGGAGGCGTATTTTAGAGATGATTTGGGCTGGGCAAGTAAGTTATCTGCGTGAATTGTGGTTTTTTTTTTTTTTTTTTTACTCTTCGTTGCTATTTCAAGGTGCTAACGAATGGTGTTATAGTCTGCTGGAATTACATGCAGCTGGGGAACCAAGGATCTGATGTCAAGACATTGGAGACAAAGTCTTCTTAATTACTGGCGACACCGGGTTTAAATATGGATTGATGAGAAGGACTATCGGCGTTTGAGGAGTTACAAACTGATTTAGATACAACACTTATATAAATAGAATATAGAACAAGGGCGCTTGTACGTTTCATATGCGTCTTCACCCATTCGCTGGCCCAGCCCATATTCAATCCTCTTTTGCATAGTGGCAGTCGCAGCATCCAGTTCAATGTCAATGAGCCTTTTCAACCCCTTTTCATGGGATAATTTCGCACTCACAATAGATAAACCTGGCAACTCGCTTGTCTACTTAGGACCTTTATACGTCACACTCATCAGAATATATATAATTCTTCTCATTATAGACTATTTCATGACACTACAAAATTTTAAAAAAAATCTGTAGACACAAAGTCCCACCATCGCCCATCTTATCATAAAAATACTTTAAAAGACAGTTCCCTTGACCTGCTTGTGCTTTCTCACATCAATATCACGCCACATCATTGTACCAACCACCGCCAATGACAAGACGGCAGTAGCAGCAATCAGCATCATCTTCTGACTATCGCCATAAGCCTTTTGAATGGCGATACGAGCCGGAGATCCCATCGGGTAAGACAACTGGGCTTCCAAGCTTCCGTAGATGGTGGTGAGATTTCCAAGTTCAGACTCTGGGAGATATGCAGCGAGCTTCTTGGGGAAGACGGCCTGCCAGACGGCAGCTGATACGGTCAATCCGATGGCGCCACCGATGGACGAAGCCATGGCCTCTATGGCAAGCACTACAGCAACATATTGGTGAGAGGTTGCTGCCATGACGGCCGTTTGTTCGCAGATGACGATAGTACCACCAGCAAAGGCAATGAAGATTTGGCACATGATAATGTAGCCTACATTAAACAGCCACACATTAGCGAAATGTATCTCGAAAAATTCAGGGGAAAAGATTTACCTATATTGACATCTGGCTGGCGGAAGTGAATCATCAGACCGACTCCGAGAATGGTGACGGGAACTCCAAAATAGAGACAGACAGCCTTGAACTTTCCGGTATAGCGAATGATGAGGCCAACTAGGATAGCCCACAAGCAGGATCTATTCGGAAGTTAGTCATGCAAATACAGATACGAGGGACAACTTCCTGTCTCTTACCCCACACTATAGATTTGGGCCACGTAGCTGGATTCGGTGACATCGAGGCCGTTTACCACCTGGAGGAAGCTGAGGAAGTAGCTGTCCCATATGTAGTAGCTGACGAAGACAGAAGCCGCCAAGATATTGGCTCCGATGACAGTGCGGTCCATGAGAAGCGAGTAGGGGATAAAGGTGATGGGCGCAAAGAACTTCTCCCAAATGCCAAACACGATGAGGGCAACCACTCCTCCTACCAAAAGTCCAATGATGAGAGACGATTTCCATCCATCTTCCTGATATGAATAGATATTGAAAGGCAAAAGGAACATGGCCAGTCCACCGGAAAGAATGAGCAGGCCAATGATGTCAAACTCTCGGCCGTAGTGCATTGCAGTTTCGTAGAAGTTACCTATTCTCTCTCGCGGACGAATCACACCAAGCTTCTTTGCCTTCTTGTTATAGTACATGAAGAGAAAGAAGAGTGGCGAAGTGATGACCGGAGTGATGATGGCAAAAGATCCAAAGCCCCAGCGGAAACCGGGGCCGTCCAGGAAAGCTTGAGAGATGGGGCCAGAAAGCCATGTCGTGACGATATAAGGCGAGCTGCTGTACGCGAAAATGAGACCTCTTTTAGACAATCCTTGTTAGCTAGATTTCATATATGAGACAAGCATAGAATTGAACGAACCGATTACGCAGAGAAGTGGTATCAGCGAGGAAAATTGATAGCGAGTAATCCAAGCCATTGTAGCCAACCCAGTAAAACACCTGCGCAGCGGCATAGGTTTCAACATTCTTGCAGGCTGCCATCATGATCAATCCCAGAGTCGTGAACATGATGGAGATGAGGTAACCCTGTGGACGGCCAAAGATGTCGAGAATCTTGGCAAGAGTCAACTTCCAGACACCTCCTATGATGCTGCTGATCACATTGACGGTGGGAGTAAGAGAGTGCTCCTGAAAGGCGGATGTGACCCAAGGCGTGAGTGTACCAGTCGCGCCTTGCTGCATGGTGTCGACAAAGTAAATGACCCAGATCATGCCAAAGGCAGTGTACAGCGCATGCTTTGTCCAGACGGAAGTGATGGCCTCGATGTTCTGCACACCGGCCTGTGCCGACGAGTTGAGGCCATCATCCAGGTCCGAGTCTTGAGGGCCGCCGATGTTGATGTCCGGATTGTCTTTTCCAGACTCTCCTCCATCGACGTGGCCGACCTTGGAATCATCGATAGTAGCCATGACTGGAGCAAAACAGTGTTAGTAGCGCATCATACAATGGCGAGTCTTGCATCACCATGCTCTAGGGAGCTGGGTATATGCAAATGTACGTGTATCTAGGTGATAAAAACAGAAGACGCGATTACTCACTGGACCCGTATCTTGCAAATTGAGAGCTTGACAACCAACGTCCCTGATCAGCAAGCAGTCGGGATAAGGCTGCTACTTATCGCCTCAAAAGCTATGTGGGAAAAAAGAAGAAGCTGAAGGCTGACGAGTTCTAGATTTTGCCGCCGACAAGGGTGACAAGATAGACCGGGTGAGGGTGGTCGCTTGCGACACTAGTCGTGGCTACCTTCAAGTTACTATGGGCCACTTCCCAGCTGCTAAGATGTAGCCATCGCCGTTGAGATGGAACGGTTGACGCCAGCAAATTAGTAGAGAGGAGAATTGCAGCCACCAGCGCCTACTAGGGAGCCACTTGATCACTCGGTTAGCATGATCGATCAAAGGCCTGCTTCTGTGTGGCGGTTTCGGGATGTGGCGGTTGAATCAAGCTGGTACCTACCTATCTCAACATGATACTACGTGGAGCAATACGCCGAGCTGTGAGATGAACTTGGCTCTCAGTGCTGGTACTGTGTTGCGTATTCAATCCAAAACTCCATTCTTTTCGGTTCTTCGGCATATCTTGTTGGCCAGGCTATTGTTTTGTAATGTCACACTAACAGAGAGACCCATGGCGATTTTTTCCGTAAAAATGCCGTTTAGTTATTGCAATATGGGTACTCTGAATTGTAGCTGCAATAGTGAAAATCTGATAGTGCGATGACGATGGAGACGACATCCCGGGAAAATACTGGCTCGTCGATCAAAGAGGGACCGTAAACCATTGGATTGCTACCCACTTGAGTAACTGGATGATAATTCTTCATTATCCAGTACGAAACATGAGTCGCAGTATAGTACCAGGTATTGCTGTCGTAAGCGCATAGTAGCAGTATGTAAACTGGCGACGGCCAAGAAGTGCTATTTGTTCTCTTCCAGCGGGTATTCGGCACTTGTACTCGTGCTAGCAGATCACTTGCGCGAATTCACAATCTTGGTCACGTCTGCTCTGAGCTCCTGCAAGTGCTAAAACGTAATGGCGAGTGGAGAGAAAATTATCAGATCATGTATACGCCCGAAGCTGGCGCTTTTAGCCGCTCCGACAACCGGACCGCATGTGGAAATACGCTCCAATAAGGTTATCAGATCCGCCTAGTGGCGCCGCCTTTGGGAAACGGATCCAGAAGCTCCAAAAGCAGGATTGCGTTACGGAATCAAAACGTCTGAAGCTTGCGTCGCCTTTGGGTGAGCTATTGGGGAAAAAAGGGACAGCAAAGTGACGGAAATGGCGTGTGCGGGATGTTGGACTGGAGACGAAAATTTTGCAGAGTGGGAATATGCACTGATGTAACCCTGTTTAGTTCGAGCGCGGGTTGGATCAGTGGATCTAATCAATCAGTCAGGGAGATAATCTGCTCACGCTTCGGCCGTTGAGCCAAGATGGGTTAAACTGGCTGGCCGGTTCTTTTTCTCTGCATCTTCCATGTGCGTGCTAAGCAAGGGGGGTGTGAAGCGAAGAACCAGGGCAGAGCCAGGGCATCTTTGGTTGGTGTTTTATGGTTGATTGGCCCCAGAGGCTTTGTATTTGTACTTGATGGCTATACTCGTGCCTTGCCAAGGCTATGAAGGTGTTTGGACCTGGGTACGTAGAGACTCATTGCGTGCTGATCACTTGTAGATCCGCCGTCACTTGCTATGATAGAGAAAAAGAGGTCCAAGGCCCAGGCACGACGTTAACTAGTAGCAGTATGGTCTCTGTTCATGTATGCTCTAGCTGGGAAAAGAGCTGGTAAACTGGACACGAAGCGGAAAAGCACGGAGTTCTTCTCTCAAGGTTGAATTAGCAAGAGCCGAGGCCTCTCGGCATGTAGCATGTAGCATTAGTTCTTCCCTGATTAATCTTTTTGCTTGTAGTGGCAGTTCTAGGTATATCCCATCTTATCTGATTTGTTTCCATCTTCTCCTCTTTTATTATCAATCTACCAATACACCATCATTGGGTTGGCATTTTCATATTCTTCATTGTTTCTTTGGTTGATCTTCTTCATATCAAATTTCACATCGATTAATCTGTAAAGCTGAGCCACAATGGCTACTTCTCTTTCTTCAATACCTCCTGATCAGACTGTCATCAAGCTTCCGCATCCCTACCAGACCGAGTACTCTATCCAAAAAGTCTCGCCACAGCAAAATGGGGACGACAATGCGGAACAATATCGATTGAATATCAAGCCCAATGTCTCTTCAGGAAAGAAGCCTCCCGTCGAGCTTCACACATCCAAAGCCGTCTTCACCGAGCCAATTGATCTCAAATCGAGTGAGTTGCCGCCGCATTCGAACAACAGCGCATGGGCTCGCGCCAGACGGTCGCCAGGCGCAAGTATATCGTGGGATGGCCTTACAGAGCGCCCCACGTTGGCGCAGGCGTGGATGATTCTTTACGTGTTATTCACGACGCGGCCTTCTACAGAGTCACTCAGACTGGAGCTCAGGGGCGCAAATGCCATTGTGCTGGGACAGCAGCTGAAGGATGTCGCGCTCGCCATTGATCATCCACTGCGCCCTCGAGAGAAGCCAGGCCCATCGACAACGACAGATACAGATGTTGTCTTGGCTCTGCGGGCTACCTTCTGGCAGGGCGCCGGATCTCCTTTTGGCCCTCGACCTGTCTGGTGCCCCGAAGAGTCTCCGTCGTCTCTGCCATCATCCAACCCGCTGAATTCGTATCCCATGACTCCCCTTCAGCATACGATGACCATTACATCGGCTGGCGATCCCCAAGATCCTGAGCGAAGCCAGCAGACGTGGCATCCCCTTCGACCCGCCAAGCCAGCTCCGGGCGCCGTCATCTACAGCCGATGGATCCCCCATCTGCAAGAAACATTTTCAATGGTATCGCTTGACTGGCAAGACGCTGACCATCTGAGGCTATTCCACGAGTGGCAAAACGATCCTCGCGTATCTCAGGGCTGGAATGAGACGGGCACTTTGGAGCAGCACCGAGAGTACCTCCGGAAGATACACGTTGATCCTCACCAGGTTGCCGTGCTGGCCAAGTGGGACGACGAATATTTCGCCTACTTTGAGATTTACTGGGCCAAGGTATGACGAATAACATGTTTTTGTGGTTGCAAGTCCTATCAAAGAAGCATACTAACACAGTTTTCCCTTAGGAGGATCGACTTGGCAGTTACTACGACGCCGGCGACTTCGATCGCGGTCGCCATTCCCTCGTCGGCGATGTCCGTTTCCGAGGCCCGCACCGTGTGTCGGCCTGGTGGAGCAGCCTGATGCATTATCTCTATCTCGATGACCCCCGAACAATGTATGTCGTGGGCGAGCCCAAAGACAGCAACTCCACGGTAGTCATGTACGACCTCATCCATGGTTTTGGCCTGGATAAGTTTGTCGACCTGCCACATAAGCGCAGCGCATTCGTGCGGTGCCACAGAGAGCGCTTCTTCCAGCTGTGTCCTCTGGGCGATAACGAAAAGGCTGTTGGTGGAATGAGGATTGGGCTGGTGCCGAAGTTGTAAATATGTGCAAGGTTAGATAGGGGCTTTAATTCTTGACATTTCATTGTATTATATGTGAGCTCCGTGTATTTAATAAAAAAAAGAAGACATATCCAACTTCAGAACTATATAAACAATCAACAGTCTATTCTATAAACACAGCGTCATCTCTGTACACTATACACTCATCTAAAGCTTAGATGTTTTAGCCATTTTGCTCAAAATCTCATCCCCCAACTTCGCCATCTCAAACTTCCGAATCTTGCCACTTCCCGTCAGAGGCACATCCGCCGGCACGCCATCATGGCCCAGCCAGAAGACATGCGTCGGAGCCTTGTGATTGCCCAGCGTCTTGCGGACCCAATCTCTGATTTCCTGATCCGTAGGCTTGTTGTGGCCGTCGCCCAGCTCGAGGAACGTTCCGACGACTTCTCCGTAGTGCTTGTTCTTGAGCCCGACGACGATGGCGCGCGAGATGGAGGGGTGGCCCATGAGGCGCTCTTCAATCTCCAGGGGGTAGATGTTCTCTCCACCCCGGATGATGATGTCTTTGAACCTGCCGGTGATGGAGCAGTAGCCGTCTTCGTCAAAGACGGCCTCATCGCCAGTGTGTAGCCACAACACGCCCGCAGCATCACGCACCATGGTCTCGTTGGTCTTTTCCGAGTTGTTCCAGTATCCGGCCTGTAATTGGTAACCGGCGATGCAAAGCTCTCCTCGCTCTCCAACTGGAACGATGTTGCCATCGCGGTCAACAAGCTTGGCCTGCGCATGCGGCATCAGAGTGCCCACAGTGGTCAATCTCCGTGTCATGGCATCGTCTGTGAAGGCATTGAAACACGTGGGAGAAGCTTCTGTAAGGCCATAGCTGCTAGTAAACTCGGTCATGCCAAAGCGATTTACCAACAGGTCCATGAGATATCGCGGAACCGGTGCGCCAGCAATGATGCCCGTGCGAAGCTTGTCGCACTTGAAGTTGGGTGGAAGTTCGGCTTGGAACAGGGAATCGAACATGGCTGGTACGCCGTGGATGGCGGTGCATTCTTCGTCCGAGATGGCTTTGAGTGTAGAAGCAATGTCAAAGACCTCGGCTGCATAGACAACTTTGCCGCCGTGGGTGATGATTGCCAAAAGCCCAAGGACGAGGCCGAAGCAGTGGAAGAGTGGCGGCGGACAGCAAAGGACGTCCTCGTGGGTGAGACGCATTCGATCGCCAATGAAGCGAGAATTGTTTACCAAATTGCTACGTAAGAGGAGCGAATTAGCAGCTAAACAGTTGGAATTGGGAATAGAGAAGAAAAGGGCATACTGGTGAGTGAGCATCGCCGCCTTTGGCAAGCCCGTCGTGCCGCTTGTAAACTGCAGATTGACAACCTGGTGAGGCAGCACCTTGCTCATGACTCGGTGAAGCCTATCATGGTTTTGGCGAGAGCCTGATTTCACGAGCTCGTCATACGTCGTGTAAGTGCCGCTCTCCCCTCTCAAGATGACGACTTTGATCGGAGAAGCCTCGTTATGCAGGTCCTGCAGCAGCCGAGTGTTGTCCGTGCGGCCAATCGTCTTTGTGGTAAAGAATACTTTGCAATCCGAGAAATTGAGGCCGTACTTGGCCTCGGTCGCCGTATAAGTGTTGTTCAAGATGACGAGGATGGCGCCAATCTTTGCGACGGCGAAGAAGACTGCGGCATATTGCTCACAGTTGCCAGCCATTATGCCGACGCGGTCGCCAACGCCAATGCCCAGGTCCAAGAGGGATTGAGCCAGTGCTGAGCTCTGTTGGTTGAGATGGTAATACGTCCATCGCGCACCGGTCCATGGGATGATGAGACACTCTTTGGTGCCATATTGGTAGGTTTGAAGCTCGAGGAGCTCGCCGAGTGTCAGATCGACGAGGGGAGGATCGGAGGGGCCGTGAAGAATAGAGAGCTTCTGGGTGGGTGGTGTAGAGTATGGCTGAATAGCCGTTGATTGTGAAGCCATGGTGGCAGACTTTGGAGGAGAGGATTGTGTAAAAAGATGGGTATAATGATGGCTTCTCAGAGGCTCTCGTCAATCACACTCGGTGGTAGGCCTATAACGCATCTCTCAACTGCTGGTTGACGGCCAACCTTCAAGGCCAAAAGCATTGCTACATCCTGACTGTCTATCCTAGACCCACTGCTTCTAGCTATTTCTGCTTCATTGCTTCAGTTGATCTAATCAAGCCTAGCCTTCATGCACATCACTTTCATCCAAGGCATAAACCAAGCTTGAGACCAATTCTAGGCCCAAAGGGACGAACTGCCATTTTTCGACAGAGCTCCGTTCAGCCCTCAAAGTATCCGAGAATTGCCGAGATGATTTACCAGGAGCCAAGCCCATCGGCGCGGTGTTTCTGCGGTGCCTGGAGTCATAGATCCAGTAATCAGATGATCTGATAAGATTTCATCTTGGAAGAGGCATCAACAAGGTCCACTTCTCACCATCAGAAGCCTGTAACATACGCCGCTGGCAAATACTAAGGTACCGAAGTCGGTCTCGATCCTTGCTCTCTGATGAAAATTTTTCTTATCAGATCTTGATCCTGGCTCAAGAGTCCACAGAATAGTCGTCATTATGGGCCAAAGTATCTGTACCTGGCGGATGGTGAAGATGAACCAGGGGAAGGGGTGTAGCTGCGATATCCGGAACTGGCATGTGATGGACAGTACGTATCCATATGGGGATGTACAAGTATGGAAATGTTGAGAGCAATGTTTCTTCCAAGCTATTGCCTAATACCTACTTGTAGTCAATAGACATTGCAGCAGTATCCGCAAGAAATGAGGTGATTTTGACGTGCAATTTACTCTAGTGTGCTTGGCACTACGGCTGTCTGCAGATGTATTCTGAGACGTTGAGACAACGGAGACGTATTCGAAGGAGATGTTGGCTTTGAACAAAACAGAACAGTTGTTTGCTTCTACTTGTCTCGTTTTTGCGCACCTCCAAACACCCAGTTGTCTTTCACCTCTTCCAAAAAATACAGCGCAACTGCCTCAAGACCAGCGTCTGTGGAAGCCGCAGGTATAGCATCTCCTTCCTTAAAATGCCGCGTCTTGGCGTATTCGCACAGCTTCTTCCCCATTCCTCCACCTCACAAATTTCTCTTTTCCCCATCTCCCCACCCAGATGCGTCACACAACACCAATCAACTGCCGATACGAAGAGAAAAAAAGTTATCAGATCGTCCTATGCCCCATCACAAGGGCTAAGAGCACCGTAATGAACGCCCCGCCCAAGCTAGGCACTCCACTAGACTGGCTCTTTTTGTTTATCTGATCCGCGTTTTAGGCCGTGAGCAGGCCACACGTTCTTTGGACGTACCAGCAAAGTCCTTTACTATGCAAACCCCCTCCATGGTACTTTGGATGGGGCCATGAGCGTCGTGGTCCCTGTCTTGCATGATAGTTGCACGCCTTGCATCCATCATGTATTCGTACATGATCTCAAGCGTCAATTTGGAAGCTTGGTGCATCGCAGCCGTTGCAATTTATCCGAAAAAGCGCAGCTCTGAATTGGCGTGAGTAATTGGTAGCAATTGGTGTGCTCAACTTGGCTCAAAGTGCGGGCATCATCGGAGATGAGAAATGGCGTCGGTTGTTGCTGAAGAGAGGGATTTGCTTGTGGCTTTGAGCCTCGGTGGCCTGCGCTATTCAGCTGATACATGTATCCAGGCGCCTTTCACTTCACTTGTTGTATACTGAATCGCCAAGAGAGAGCGAAGCCTCATACTTTACCACTGATGCAATACCGCTCCAAAGTCCATCTGCCCTGATCAAAGCAGAAGCAGACACCATGGCTATTGACGGAGACGCAATTGGCAACGCCAATTCGATGAATCTCCCTCCTAGTCTCGCCGCAGAAGCAATCTCAAGCATCGAAGAGGCAAGAAAGGCAGCTCCTGAGCAACAGATTGAGGTGGCATCAAATCAGAATGGCATCGTCAGCGATACAGACCTCGAGCAGCTGTGGACTTGGAACCAGCATGTGCCCTCTCTTCTCCCAAGCTGCATGCATGATATCATATCCGAACAAGCTCGCCAGCAGCCACACAAGATTGCGGTTGAATCATGGGACGGGTCCTTGACATATCAGCAACTAGAACACTATTCATCACAACTTGCCAGGCAGATCCTACAGAGGAATGTAAAAGCTGGCAGCCGGATCCCACTATGTTTCGAAAAGTCCATGTGGACCGTGGTCGCCGTCCTAGCTGTCATGAAAGCAGGCACAACATTCTCTCTGACGGATCCCAGTCAGCCAGTGGCACGGCTGCAGACAATTGTCGAACAGACAGGAGCAGACCTCATCATCACTTCGGTAGCTCAGAGCGAGCTTGGCAAAGAGATATCCAGACAAGGAGGCCAGGTTCTCGCAATATCTCGAGATTATTTCGACAGCTTCAAAGGAACAGCACTGAACACTGCACTCCCACAAGTGCCCGCAGGAACGCCAATGTACGTGATCTTCACGTCAGGAAGTACAGGCAGGCCAAAGGGAGTTGTCATTACCCATGCCAATTATACCAGCGGCGCCATTCCGCGAGCAGAAGCCGTTGGCTACAAGTCAAGCTCTAGATGCTTCGATTTTCCGTCTTATGCGTTTGATGTGAGCATCGACTGTATGCTATGCACGTTGGCAGCTGGTGGCCAGATATGCGTGCCTTCTGAAGAAGCTAGGATGAACGATCTCAGTGGCGCCATTCGCCAGAGTAAGGCCAATATGGTCCACATGACTCCTTCGGTAGCCAGAGTCCTGGATTCCGACATCATCCCATCTCTGGACGTTTTAGGCCTGGGTGGTGAGGCAGTATCGGCAAGCGATGCAGCGGCTTGGAGCAAGTATACAAGCTTAATCATTGCCTATGGGCCATCCGAGTGTACCGTCGGATGCACAATCAACAATACCGTTACCATTTCCACGGGCATCGGCAAAGGCATTGGAGGTGTCACTTGGATTGTTGACCCCGATGACCACAACGTCCTCATGCCGGTAGGAGCCGTTGGAGAGCTCATCATCGAGGGTCCAGTTGTTGGTGTCGGCTACCTTGATGAGCCAGAAAAAACAGCAGAAGTCTTTATCGAAGATCCAACCTGGCTCAAATCTGGCTACAAGTCCTTCCCCGGTCGACCTGGCAGATTATACAAAACAGGCGATTTGGTGCGGTATGAAAGTAACGGCTCTGGCTCCATCGAATTTGTGGGCAGAAAAGACCAACAAGTCAAGCTTCGTGGCCAGCGAGTCGAACTCGCAGAGGTCGAGCACCACTTACGGGCCTCTCTGCCAAATGGAATCAAGGTCGCGGCAGAGGTGATAAAACCAGAGAATGGCGGAGCTCCTTCTCTTGTCGCCTTTCTCTCAGAATCTGTTACTGTGGGCACCGCTGGAGTAGACCCAGCCATTGTCGATCCCTCTCCAGAATTGAAGGCCGTTCTGACAACAGTCAGTACTGTCATGGGATCCAGAGTCCCACGGTATATGATTCCGGCGGCGTTCGTCACTCTTCAACATATGCCTTCTTTGGTGTCTGGTAAAACAGATAGGAAAAAGCTGCGTGAGATTGGGACATCGATACCGCGCGAGATTTTCAGCCGAATGCAGGCGACTGAAGCCCAAGAGGAAGAGGAGCCGGAAACTGAGACGGAGAAGAAACTACAAAAAGCATGGCTTGAAGTACTCGGATCAGACGCAAAGATCTTCAGGCAGAGTAACTTCTTTGCGCTAGGAGGCGATTCATTGCGTGCCATGAGACTCGTAGTTGCGGCTCGTGCAAACGAAATCGCATTGACGGTTGCGGATATATTCACAAATCCAACGCTGAGCCACATGGCGTCAAAAGCTACTCAGATCTCCGAGTCTTCTGTGGAAGACATTTCACCATTCTCGCTACTGGAGAAAGATTGGGATGTGGAAAGTGTGAAAAACGAGATATCCGCTCTTTGCGGCGTAGAAGCTAGTAGCCTAGAAGATGCGTATCCATGTACACCCCTTCAGGAAGCGCTCATGGCTCTATCGGCCAAGGTCAAAGAGGCATACGTCGCTCAGAGAGTGGTAGAGCTTCAAGACACTGCTACGGCTGAGAAGCTAATCGCAGCCTTTGACGTCGCACAGCGCGATAGCCCTATATTGCGGACGAGGATCGTGCAAGTCCCTAGACGCGGTTTAGTTCAGGCCGTCATAAGGGGCGAGTTCAATGTCTTCTCTAGAAACCATCTCGACGAATATTTGGCCAATGACAGGAATGACGCTATGGAACTAGGAAAGCCTCTTGTGCGCTATGCTATCATCAATGATGGCACGTCAGGCAAAGTGAGCTTTGTGCTTTCGATTCACCACGCTCTGTATGACGGCTGGTCCATGCCTTTGGTTGTCGATCGAGTTAACAAGGCTTACGAGAGCCAAGCCGTTTCACGCCCTGCAGAATTCAAGCACTTTATGAAATATCTAGCAAATATGGAGATGGACAAGTCAGCCAATTTCTGGCGAGAACAGCTCCATGGAGCCAATCCTTCTCAATTTCCATCTCTACCTTGGCAAGGCTATCAACCGCAATCAGACTCGTTACTAGAGCAATACGTGCCTCTAGGAGAAGGAAATGCCTCCAATGCTACCACTGCGACGATTATCAGGGCAGCTTGGGCTCTCGTGGCATCACAATACATCGGTAACACCGACGTCATCTTCGGAGAGACGCTGACCGGTCGAAATGCACCCGTCGTCGGATCTGAAGAGATTGAAGGCCCAATGATTACAACCGTTCCTGTGCGGGTTCAAGTAGATCGAGATGTACCTGTTTCAGAATATCTTCAAAGCATACAAGAGCAAATGGTAGATCAGATCCCTCACGAGCATTTCGGCTTACAACACATACGAAAGCTCAGTCCTGACGCCTTTGACGCATGCGAGCTCCGAACAGGCTTGGTGCTGCACCCAAGTGCCGAGAGTGAAGAGCCTAATCAGTATAGCCACCTCCCTGCGAGCTGTCTTGTCCCAGCCGGAGACGCAGAAGCTGCCCAAGAAGCTCTCAAGTTCAACACCTACGCGCTGATGCTCGTCTGTTCGATTGACCCGCGAGGGTTCCTCGTCATGGCTAGCTTCGACTCCAAAACAGTATCGGTTCCTGTGATGCAACGTGTTTTGGACCAGTTTCAGCAAATTGCGCAGTCCTTGTGCAGAGAAAGCTCGACCTCTCTTGGCAGTCTTCGGTCACCTCTGACTGATGATGATATTAGGCAGCTCCAAAACGTCATTTTCGACGCAGACTTTGGTGATGCAACAAAGGCATACTCTGGCGTTCAAGCGGCTTATATCGTGGACTTCAACGATGCGAATCAACTGATCCCCGTTTCCGCCATGGGCGAGCTTGTCATTCAGTGCTCAGAGAATCCTTCCAATCTAGTGGAAGTACCTCCACCAGCTTGGCTCGAAGCAGTATTCGGCTCCAAAGTCTCTGAGCAAGGCAAACTCTACAAGACCGGGCAACTGGCCAGATACGACTCAACCCAGAAGCCAGCTCGCATCAGATTAGTCGATACCAACAGCGAAAGAAACGCCGCTGCGCCACCAGCAGGAGTAGCTAAAAGCCGAATCTCTGCAAGTTCCAGCAGACAGCGCAAGCTACGTAGCCTATGGGCTCGTGTACTACGCATGAGCGAGGACGATATCGGCCTGAATGATGGATTCTTCATTCTCGGCGGCGACTCCATTGCAGCTATGAAGCTTGTATCGGAAGCTCGACTGGAGGGAGTCAAGTTGACTGTAGCTCAAATCTTCCAAAAGAGAACGCTGTACGAAATGGCCAACGTCATGGAAGAAATGGAGAAGCCCACTTCATCCACAGACTCCGTCGAAGACAGCACACAATTAGAGCCTTTCTCCCTACTCAATCTCAAAGACGAAGACAAAAAGCAGCGTTTCATCAACGACATCATCGCTCCCCAGCTCTCTGATCCAACCTGGCGCATCAGCAACATCCTCCCTACCCGGCCCCTGCAGCAAATCGCCGTCAAGGGCACAACTCAACTCCCACGCTTCTCAGCCCGATACGAGCTCATGTACTTTGATAAGACTCTAGACCGTGCCAAAATGGCAGAAAGCTGCAAAGAGCTCGTCGCCCGCAACGAAATTCTACGCACCGTCTTTGCAGAGTATCAAAGCGAGGGCTACGCCGCCGTCCTCGAACAGCTCGTACCGCAATTCATCGAATACGCACTAGACAGCGATGACGACGTGGAAACCTTCGCAAAGCAGCTCTGTCGGCTAGATGCCCTGACGCGAATGCCTCTCGGCTCAAGTTTCGTGAAATTCTTTCTGATCGAGTCCAACAAACAGTCATGTCTCATCTTCCGCCTCTCCCACGCCCAATACGATGAGATTTGTCTCCCCATCATGCTCCAGCAGCTATCAAGCCTCTACGAAGACAAACACGTCCAAGAAACCGTCCCCTTCTCCGCCTACGTCCACAGCGTCCTCCGCCAGAATCTGCCTTCCAGCATTCCCTACTGGACAGACCTCCTCTCCGGCTCTTCCTTGACGATCCTCAAGCCAGACGACATTCCCATCCAGCGACGTAACCACTTTGCCATCCAGCAAACGGTTGACATCTCCTCGCGCCTCCGCGACATCACCGTCGCATCCCTCCCCACCGCCGCATGGGCCCTCTGCCTCGCCCGCCGTCTCTCCCTCCGAGACGTGACCTTTGGCGAAGTCGTCAGCGGCCGCAACATTGACTTCCCCTACGGTGCGGCCAACGCCGTTACGGGCCCCTGCTGGCAATACGTCCCTGTCCGCGTGCGGTTCCCCCCCGGTTGCACCGCCTTGGAGATTCTCTCTGGCGTTCAGCACCAGCACATTGCCAGCTCTGCCCACGAGGGCATCAGCCTCGCAGAAATATCAACTCATTGCGGCACCGACTGGCTATCGACGGCCAACTGCAAAGCTTCCGACCTGTGGTTCGACTCCGTTGTCCACCAGGACGTCGAGCACGTTGAAGAACTGGCCTTTGCTGCTGCAGGAAGCGGTCGCCTGGAAACGATTTATCCCCACGAAGAGCCACTGCGCGAGTGGAAGATTCAAGCATTCGTTCATGATAACAGTAACAAGCTGACCTTGGAGATTGTTACTTTCGAGAGCTGGGGTGGATATGCTAGAGGGTTATTGGATGATTTGGTCACTGCTGTAGGAATGTTGTTAAAGGATCCTCACGCCAAGCTGTTTGGAAATGAATCTGAGTGATTTGGTTTGTATATTATTTCAGATGCCTAGTATAGAGTAGAGAGAAATTGTGGCAGAGAAGAGAGAGATTTAAAAAAAATTAGCAATGTTATCAATATGTTATGCTCAGGTTCCTAATAGTCAGTCTTCCATCATCATCCAATGATGAGAATAACTTTCAAGGTCCAACTTGACCGTCTTTCGGCACATAATCAAGAAAGCAAAATTGGCTAAATCGCGACTTGTTATTAAGACGCTGGTGAATGTTCATTTCTCATAATCCAGAAAAAACCCAATAAACAAAAACCCAGTAAACAAAAACACAAAGAAAGAAAACAAGAGAAAGAAAGAGTCCGTGATAGCCATCCAGTGCCATTTCCTCGCCAAAGTAAAAACGCTGAATGGGGTATATGGGAGAGACCATTGCACAAAGCAATGTCTGTACACCGTAAACAAAAAAGTAGCACCCAAGACTCATGATGCCAAATGGCAATTTCCAGTTTCTCAAGACGCCGCTGCCTCCCATGATATATCATTTCCTGCGCTTGGGTCCTCGTAAAGCCTACGGAGACCGCCTTTTCGTCGAATATAGAATGTTGGCGCAGGCAACAATTGCCCTTGCAAACATGCCAATCAATGCTGTGGATTTGCCGGTGATGGTCCCAAACCAAGAGCCTTCTGAAGACTCTTGCGAATGCCTAAACCATTCTCATCCTTGTCACGTCCTATCAGGCCGAGACTCAATCTGCGAGCGGTAACGCCAATGGAACTTCCCGCAGTGCCCGATGCCATCTTGGCTTTCTTACGCCGTCCTGCAGCAACTCCAGGTTCGGGAGCCGATGGTTTGGGAGGCCACTCCCCATCGCGCTTCCACCCCATAACGCAAGAGCGAATCATGTCGGATAAGTTGATGGGGCACGATGGTTGCAGACTATTAAGAATAACCTTGTCGTAGAGGCTGAGGTAAATCGCCGGTGTGATGGACGCTCTGAAGCCGTTGGTAGGCGGGAGGATCGGGTGAGGGATAGGAAGAAGCGTCTCGACAGGTAGTAGGCGATTGGAAATTTGGTCGGTATCTTTGGAACCTTGCTTGCTGAGGTCCTTGTCGTCTTTGACGAGCGAAGACGCGTCGGATGCAGTGCCTGAGCGGCTATCGGCGAGAGAATTCGACTTGATCAAAGATAATGAAGGCGGCGACCCGGATATGGAACGGCGGAAGAAGAAGCGGCGAGAGCGAGGAGATACTGGCGGCGAAACGACGGGTTTGCTACGGACTCGAGCCACCTTTGCACCGGTCCAAGCATCCCGCCGCGCCTGGAAGCACGCCAGACCCTCGTTCCAAGTCATTTCCTCTCGGGCAGCCCTCCGGCGCTGTGCTTTCTTCTCCAAGGCCGAAGTCCTGGCTGCACTATCGGCGCCCTCAATGACCGAAGTAATGGCAGCTTCGTCTTCAGAAAGGTCAGAATACCAGTCCATACGGGGACGGTAGTTTACGGCGGCATCTTCAGAGACGATGCTGTAGATGGAGTCGGTGTCGTCGTCGTTGTTATCTGCATCCACGTCCTCGTGATCTGAGGCATTGTCGCTCAATGCACTGCTGTCAACGTGGGCTTCGGCGTCGGCGTCGGCATCGGCATCATCGGAAGCGTCATCTCGTATGTCTTTGGCAGAATCAACCCTAATTGCTTCCGGTTCGGACTCTTTGGCAGAGGGGTTCTTTTCCTCGTCTGCGCCACTGGGGTTTTCGGTGGCCTTGGATTTGGTCTTGCGGGGCGGTGACCATTCAAAGTTCCAATTATTCTTCACCTTGGCAGCCAGATATTTCTTAATGGTATCCTTTTGCCTGTACTTGTCTTTGCTAAACAGGTCTATGTATTCAGGAACAAGCCAAGGCGGTGAATTTGCCGAGGAGTGGGGACTCTGCCCACGAAGCCGAGATAAAGGTGACCGCCGCCCTTTGTAGAAGTCTGAGAAGATCATGGCAGTGTCAGGATCTGCCGTAGAGGAAAATGCTTCTGGGACTGAAAAAGCTGGCAGTGAAGAGGTGGAGTGCTGTTCTTCAGCTAATAAAGATGGTGGTGGCCGGTGGCCGAGATTTGAATCGGCAGCAAGATCTATAGCGCCTAAGAGATCGGGCAAAGAAGACGTCAGCACCTTGTTGATTTATGTTTTATCGACGACATGCAGCCAAGGCTAATTTATCCAAGCGAAAGGGGAGTGAAAGGGTGAGACGGGGGGCGGTGTAGTTGACATGGATGAGGAGCGACTAGTGCTGAGTGTTGAAGCTTGTGATGGAGGCATGAGAAGTAAGTTGAAGGCGTAGCAAGTGAAAAGTATGAATGAAACGATATAGATTATGGAATGAGGTGAGATGAGGCGAGACGGAGGCACGCGACAAGTAAAAACACACCAACGTCGATGCTCCCGTTGCATGAACGAGATTCTGCCAATGGAGGAGCAGATGCATCGCTAGAGGGAGTGGCTTGAATAGCTACCTCAGCTTGAGGCTGGCTATAGAATCAAAGCAGGCACCATGAAGAAAGCAATGGACTACCAACTGCTCAGTAATGGAGGAGAAAGCAATGGCAATGAGGGATGCCGGGGGTAAAGAAGCAAAGCAGACAAGACATACAGCGATGAGATGAGTAGAGTAGGAAGAATCAATTGAAGAAGAGGGAGGTTGAAGGGAGGCGATTTATGACAGAGAATAGAGGGAAAGGAATAGGAAGAGCAATAGGATTAGGAATATACATAGGTAGTTGGGAGGGTGATTGGATAAGGTTGCAAGAGGCGAAGCCAAGAAGTTGTGCCATGTACTGCCTCGTACCCAGTTCTGAGAGGAGGAGCCTCGCCATGCCAAGAGTGAATCAAAGTACCGCCAAGTACCAGCTGATGCATGTCTCGGAAGGCGAGGAGCTTGAATTGCAGTGACACATGGAGCTAGTCGTCGATACAAGCTGTTGGCCACAAAATGGTGGCTGAAAAACGCTAAAGCTAAACGGCAGCGTGTAAGGTGTAAGGGGAGATGGAGTGAGATGACGCAGGATCAGGATGAGGAACAGGGTCTCGGGACTTGGAATGCGGGACGCTGAGCAGCGAGGGACGTTTTGACGGGCAATGTATTGTCTTGGATTGCTGTCGTTGTTGTCTCTGGGGAATTGGGCAGATACTCGCCCGGTGAGGCATGCAAAACGCTTTTGGAGTGCGCGCGTGCCTGTATCGAGATGAATGGCTTACCGTTGAGAACTAGCCGCTCTAGGGCCTTTGCGCGGTGGTGACTGTCGTGTGCCGAGGCGGTGCCAGGCGAGGGCGAAGACGCAGAGGGCGCGCAGGTGACGGTATCGCTGGACGAGGACGAAGAATGCGGAGAAGAGGACGACGACGGCGATGGCAGCTGCGGTGAAGTAGAAGAAGCAGAGGCAGAGGCAGAGGCAGACGCTGTGGCGACGACAGGCATCGCCGCTGCTGCCAGCGACGGCGGCTGCGACGACATGACGATGGCCTGCTGCATTACACAGGATTGGGCACACGAGCCACAGCCGAGAGCCAGGGTTTGCTCTGGTCAGGACAGGCCAAGCCACGGACGGATACTGTATAGCAGATGCAGGCTCCGGACAGCACCAATGGCCGGGCGATCAGGCAAGACAAACGGGGATTTACAGCTGGAGGCCTGTCGGGGTCCGGGCATGCAAGAGATTAATCACGAGAGGTTTCAATCAGGCCAGGACAAGGCCAGTGGTCGGTCAGGCATCAACCTCCGCTAACACTGAACCCGGGAGAAAAAAAGCATTTTTCGCCCCCCAAGCTAGAGACGCTTGCCGGGGAGGGGAGAGCCACAGGGCACAAGGGCGAAAATGTTTGTTTGCCCCGCTGGAGCTGTGAGGAGAACGCAAGCGGCAGCAGGCAAAAGAGGGGGAGGCGGTGATAGCGCGCGACCTGGGACGCGCTGCCTGTTGGGCTTGCAGTGAATGTATCGCGCCATCAGATCAGCTCCAGCTGCCGTCTTGGGGCTCCCTCGTAAGTTGGTGCTAAGCCTGCCAAGGTGCGTCGACGCCATCACGAACCATCGACAGGCAATCGGCAGTGGGGCCAGCAGGGCTGGACATCGTGTGACCCGGCTGTTGAATTTTTATCGGCGGCGCTAGCACGTATTGTTTGATCTGATTTCTGTTTAGTCTGTCTTTATGCGATTTGTTGCAATTGGAGATTTAGAAGTGATGATTGCTCGGGATAGACGGTAATGGAATAAGACGGGATTCTCCGTGTTCATGTTATTTCGTGCCTTATGACGGCACGGCATGGCACCCCAATTTGTTTGGTGATCGGCGCACTGGCTAGTCAACCTACATTAAGTTCGTAGCCAATTTGACATCACGGGGCTGCGACTGAATAAGTAGCCTGCAGTAGCATTTGTCTGATCTGATCTGACCTGGCCTGATTCTGTCCGTCCGTATCCGGCAATAAATCATTTCCCTGTCTGCTCACCTTCCTTTCCGTGACAGGACAGGCACAGGGTCGATGGCAATTCAATGTCCGAGTCAACATACCTGCTGCTGCATCAATAGTGACATGCAGCATCAACCTCCTGCATCGCCGTCACCGCATAAACAATTGGAACTGTGCTGCAGCACTCGTAAGCGGAGAGGCAACGACTCGACTTGGAGCCCGCATAGCCCCAGCCCCGATGGCAACAAACGCTCCAACAGGAACGCGTATTTGTCAGTTGCCTCTCTCGTAAGCATCCTTTGCCTCTTGTAATTAAAACCAGTATTCAAGTAGCACTGCACTGCAACTCTGCACGGAGGCAACGCCGAGATCCGAATTGCCCAGTAAGCGTGAGTCACCAGCTTGCAGCTCCCACGACTCGACCGTAGTCTTACGCGTACAGGTTACTCATGGCCGCTGGAAAGTTCCATGCGTTACACAGGTCGACGGTACTTTGCGCTCACCGCGTTGCTGCATGCACATGCACATGCACATGCACATGCACTTGAAATGATGAAATTTCTTCAAACCCGCCCGGAATACTATAGTACGAGCCCCCTGCAGGACGCCCAGCCAAGTACCGCTGCAGATTGGCTTTGTACGAACATGGACCCTTCTCTCGGCACTCGTTTCTGCTTACTGTACAATGAGATTTGCTCCTTGGCAGTAGAAGTACACGTATCGCATCGTATCGTATTCCCAATAGTGCCAGCTTCACGGATCCCGCGGACCTCAAGATGACAATGATCTCAGCCACTCAACAGCCTTATCAAGGCAACATGATAATAGCCGAGGCTGGCTGCTCCGCTTTCTCCAGATAAAATGAACTCAATCAATGTAAAAACTGCGGAGTGAGAATAACCTTATTAAATACGCGGCTGTTGGGGGAAATGGCATTGGAGTGTTTGCCGATTAGAGTTTCACTATGGGAATGGAGCCGCGTGCTATAAACTCATCTTTAGATTCAATACGATTAATCTTTTATTTAAAACAACAGCCTGTTGAGATTACGTTCTCTAAACAGCATGAACCCAGCTGTTCAACACTCTAAGCAGCATGAACCCAGCTGTTCAACAGTCCGCTGGCTTACTGACGACAACATGAACTCATTTGGTGAGCAGCTTGCCGAGTTTGCTCAAGGCCATCTCGCATTTCATCAGCAGCTTGCTGGACCCCTCGCAGACATCTGGATTATCTAGGAGGAGATAAGCTTCAAATTTACTTTAGGAGAAAACTATAAAGCGCAGACGTGAGGGAGTATGCTTAAGGTAACATAAACCTAGCTAACCGACAGCCTGCTGGGCTTTCTCCACAGAGCGTACGCGTATTAGAGCTTCATATTCGTAGATAGACCTGAATAATACTAGTACTTGTAGTTCGTTCGTGCTCGATCGTCTGAGACAAACTTGGCCCTTTATATACTCTGTCTTGATCGCCTCAACCTCTTCATCTTCTCGTTACGACATCTCCAGATGGCATGATGTGCGCTCTCCTACTTTCGACGGTATCTGATCGTCTTCGAATACCCAGTCGTCTCCGAGTGCCTGATCGTCGCCGATCCCCTAACTTTCGTTAATAAAAACGTCATTGCATTTATCAGCTGGGCCTTCTCAAGGCAGCACTACCATTCATCAGAATACGCAATCGACGACGGAATCAGAGCACACTTGCTACGCTTAGCCAGAGCACACCATCTACAGCCAACGACAACACACTTTCGAGTATATGAACGAATTTCTGGTCCAAATGTCCTATCAATCCAACAACTTGCCTACAAATCCGGGGGGATTTAACCCGGAGAACATACTCCACACACCTGCTGGTCCTTCTCATGGCCGCCGCAGGATGACATTCGACGACCTGGCCGCTCCATTCTCCCAAGAGGAGATCAACTCCTTCCACGCGAGACTTGCCGAGACTGCTCGCGCATGTATCAACTCGTTGGGTCCACATCCTGCCGAAATGACCCCATAATACTTCAACTGGGCATTTCAGCAGGCTGTGGAACCTCTTCCAGGCGTCCAAATCATCATCGAAATAATGGTTGCGTCGCTCTCTCAAGAAGCGATAGACAGAATGAAACCCCCGAGTGCCGAGTTTGCCCTACACAACATGCGAATCACCTCATGATCTGCCCAGATATCTCAAGAGTACATCAACTGGGTAAATCAGCAGGTTGTTAGGCTTTTTCCAGGCATCACACTCTCCATCAGAATGATGGCTGCTCCTCTTATTTAAGAGGAGGTAGACTTATGGAACGTAGGACGTGCCGAAACTGCCCGTGTTATCATAGATTCATTAGGTCCCCGTCCCATTGGGATCAGTGAACACAATTGCATGCGATGAGCCTATCAGCAACCTATTGAGCTCTTTCCTGGCATTATTTTCTCCATTGGCATGATCGCTGCTTTAATACTCAAGTCGAAAGAAGCAGTATGAATGCCAAGATTGCCGCGTTTGCTCGAGTTGCCGCGAACTCGTTGATTCCGCAGCCTGCCGGGATGAGTCAACAAGATTACCTACACTAGGTATCAGCAACTTGTTGGGCCTTTTCCAGGTATTAAAATTTCCATGGAAATCCGAAGCCATCACCAAGTCGCAGGACGCCACTTGACGGTCCTCTCAGTTCAGGCTCTAGACAGGTCTCATCGTCAGTCACCAACAGCTGTTTCCCGCTCTTCCCAGTCCCTAGGGGCCTACTCCATGTACCTTTAGCAGCTAGTTTCTCTATAGCAGCTACATTCTTCTTTAGCGAAATTCATATCAATCTATGGCTAGAAAACAAGGCATTTTCCCGTGCAAAGTGCATCCAGATTTTGTTTGACCGTCGCATAGTAATGGGCCACTTTCGTCAAAAGTAAGACTGAGAGGGGGAATACACATCTTCCACAATGTGGTAAAAAAAAAAAAAAAACACCGCAATATGGTTAGATACCTATAATAAAAGAATATTTAAGAAAAAAAAAAAAGTATATTCTACAATGAGCAGCCTGCTGAGCATCCAATATGCTCATGACAATATAAACTCGGCTCAGCTTATAGTCATGTTTCATGATCGCCCCAGTCCTGCTGTAGGCCTCTTCCGGGTCCCGACCATTAGCTTCAAGCCGTCGTGGTCCAGATAAGCATCCATGCCATCCCAACGAGCCCGGGCGGCTAGCGATAGCTCTACGCTGCAACGGTCTCCCCTCCCTCAGCTTTAGGGCTCTCCACTCCTCTTCCGTCTTCCCCGCAATTGAGAAGGGGAAAACGAGGCAGGGAGAAAAGGGCAATGCTCGTCTGCCAAGCCCAGCAGCCTCTCAGAGCTAGCAGATGCTAGTTTGAGAGGCCGGCATATGGGCGACTCTGCTCAGCAGAGCCTCTTCTTTGCTCTCATCCACTTGTGAAGAGTACCTGATTCTACGAGTGTGCAAGTAATATTTACGGATACTACAGTAGTGCCTAGGATATCAAGTGACGGAGCCGTATACTGCAGGTGATAATGGAGGAATAGCTAGGTACGGTGTAAGAAGCGGTATGTGCAAGCGGGGGTGCCATGCCCATGGAACAGAAAAGAAATCAACAGCATACTGTACCGCGCCGTCCACTTCGTAAGCAGCCTTGAATCATGATTCATGAAACCACCCACGAAGACCCCTCAACTCCGCGTCGACGCCGTCCACAGCCCAAGCTTGGATCCTGCATTCTCCGCACTTGCAGTAGCCCCTCCTCTCCTGTGAGGGGGGACAAATATTGAGGCAACACGTGCCCTAACTTTGATGTCGCACGTGTCCAGGTCCATCGTGGCCGTGAACCGAAGTTTGGAGGAGAAAAAAAAACATGGAGGTTCGTTGTGGAGTGTGAGCTCTGAAGGGATTGATGAGTGAGATAAAGAGGGTACTTGCACGGAGAGCAAAAGGTACATGCGGCTACATCCAATCCAGCCTTGGCAGATTGAGCTGGTTCTTGGCAAAAAGTTTACTCACTGCCTGCGCCTCCACCCATTCGCGGCTCGCCAGCTAAGATTAATGATAGCATTACACGTATGCAATAAACGATGAGATTGGAAAATGACAACTGAGTGCCACCTATTTTCAATTAGGGCGTCAACGCAAAGTAGGTAACAAGCGGTGCGAAGAAAGACAGGGAATCTGTAATTTTGTGCACACAAGGATGCAAACATGTGCACATGAGCGTTGCTGATTGTTAGCATAAACAGTGCTCTTAGTATTGGTGTTCGTGTGAATATTCGATTTGCGGCCCCTACCTATTTTTCGAGGGAAAGTTATAATCCAGCATCTATCCCAGTTCTATCGTCCAGCACTCCCGCTAAATAGGCAGGGCTACAACTGCCACAATTAGGATGCCCTTTTTTTATAGAATGTGGAGATTTGAAGAGAGTGAAGGTTCAAAAACCGTCTTCGTCATAGGCGAAACTCCCCCGGCTTCAGTCTCACCATTAGCAGCGAAACATAAAAAGGGAATTTTAAGGAAGAATAAATTTTAGCAACAGTAGCGTCAACGCTTTACGTGAATGCCTACTAAGGAGAACATCTCGGTTGAAGAAGATATATTATATCCCGCTCTACTAGGTATAATGACTACATGTAGGTAGACCTGCATTGAGGGTCAATGATGCCATACGGCCCTGATCTTCGCTGACTCACAACGACCGAGACTCAAAGCATCGCAATACTGAGCCTGTTGGGGGACGCCTGCCCCGACATCCCCAGGGAAGGAAGAACAGAGACCGCCGCCTTATATATAGCAGCCCTGGATCCCGTATCATAGATAAGACAAGCTTTTTGATCCGACATCGCGTGTTCCTACGTTCCTCTTCGTAGAGATCACGCTTCAGGATTAGCTTCTGCTGACGGTCGCCCCATGAGCCATGATAGAGCCTCAACATATAGGTATATAGGTACAATGAGGGCATAGAGCAAATAGAAAAGGAAAGAAAAAAGGCATCTAAGGAACTGCATGAATAAATATAATAAAAAACTAGATGGGAATGTGTCCATTTCTTCTTCAATAAACTTTCACAGCTCCGAATCGGCGCAAGCGACGCATCGCAATGATTGAAAGGAGAGGAACTCTTCAACATGCGCGTTCACGAATCTTTTGTTATTCTTGTTCTAATGAAATCAGTTGCTTTGTACTTTTACGACTGTAGGAATCCAACTTCATGCACCAAAAAACACATTTATTAATACAAACCTTCCAAGTTGGTAGGTAGGTAACTATCTAATACCCAATTCGTACAATCCACCCAAGCAATATCCAAATCGTACAATCCATCCAAACAATATCCTCCCATCCATCCAAACAATATCCTCCCATCTATCCAAACAATTTCCAATTCGTACTGTACAATCTCAACCAATACCCATCCATCCGTCCATCCATCCATCCACCCAAGCAATCCCCTTTGATTCAACCCATCTTCATTGAAAGTGCGCCGTCTGCGAGAACGCATTACCAAACTGTCCATTGGCAACTGGAGCGTCGTGGGCCGTAGCTCGTACAACTGGAGTCTGAAGGGCTGCAGTTTGATGGACAGGAGTCTGAAGAGCTGCAGTTTGATGGACAGGAGTCTGAAGAGCTGCAGTTTGATGGACAGGAGTCTGAAGGGCCGCAGTTTGGTGGACAGGAGTCTGAAGAGCTGCAGTTTGATGGACAGGAGTCTGAAGGGCCGCAGGCCGGGGAATGGCAGCCCTAGTAGGGGCTTGGAGGTTCGTAGTTCGTCTCCTAGCACTTTCCAACTGATCCCCTTCCAGTATACGCCAGTAACCGTCAGAGCACTGATAAGACTCAGATGCGATGCCCTTGAGGTCGATCCTGGATCGGTGCACGCCGCTAAGATACCATCGGGGTTCATCGATGATCTGCGCGTTGAGCGGCGCAAACTCGGCCATCTTAGCGTTCAGGAAATCCATCTCCTCCTCGGTAATCGGAGCGGTGATCATAGAAATGGGGAGTACAACACCGGGAAAGAGCTCGATAGTCTGTTGATTTGCCCAATTCATGTACTCTTGGTGGTCCATTCCGATAGGTGGCGGACCCAATGAGCTTATCATAAGCTGAGTAGCTTCGGCATGTGTAGCGTTCACTGAGTCCATCTCCTCTTGGGTAAGAGGAGCAGCCACTTGCCTAACGATACGTTCGAATTGACGGACCATTAGATTTTTGGTTCTGTTGGTGGAAAATGTGTAGTGGCCAAGCGTAGCAAAATACGTTCTGATTTAGTCGTAGATTACGATTTCTGATGAACGATAACGTATTTATTGTGCTTAAGCAGAGCAAATATGTTTGGATGAAGCGATGCGTATGTGTGGAAGAAGAAGAGTAAGAAAGGAGAGGGAGGAAAGGAAACCAAAGTAAACAAGAGAAGAAGAGATATCCGGCAAAACAAACAAAAGCGCCGAAGCCACGTTGTTAATTTTCAACTTTTACTTTATTTTCGTTTGATATGGGCACAAGCACTCAAATTCACTCATATGTGAAGCTGGGCTGAAGTTACCAACGAGCGTTTTGCGGCCAGGTGTGTTTATTTGCCAGCTGGCGGCTTGCAGTGACGCGTTCCCTGTGACCTCGTCGCTCCATTATCCCTTTGGTTCTTGAAGTTTAGCTAGAAATAAGGTAGTGGTTTGATTGAATGCCCCTCTGTGAATTTCCTATCTAGGTATCTGGTGGCTTTCCACAATGCGGGTTGCCATCGTGATACGAAGCCCTCAACGCCACCAGCCGCGCAATCTCCATATACTTACAGGAAACAAACAGAATATTCCAAACCTTTCGAAAACCTCATAACCTGCATGCGATTATCTGCTCACAGTAACTGAATTCACCGCCGTAAAGATATACACAGTACTTCCCTTTATACAGCCAAGTTACATGTAACTCGACCCCCTGAATTAGGTTTCAAAGTCACCGACCAACAAACCAGCGGCGGGCGAAATATATCTGGTGTTCCATATGGATATTCACACACTTGTTCGAAAGCACATCCATAAAACATACATAAAATCATGTAGAGCCAATGACGTATGGCTGGCTTCATTACTGTCTCCTGTTTGGCTTCACTGTGAGAACCCCTTTGAGAGGAAGGAATACGCCGAACTAGCATACACTGAATTTGGTGCTCGTAGTATGGGTATCAGCCCGATGTTTACTTTCCACCGCACGCTCCTTCGGATAGCTCCACAGGCGCCTTGTAGATGATGAGCTTCATCTAATTCGCCATGCTCTGTGTTGCATCTGGTACATTTCCTTGAGTAGCCGTATCCCAGTGCGCCACTGAGATACACTGTAGGACCGGAAAAAAGGGGGAAGTGCATAGAATGCGCAGGTATAAACTACTACTAGGCATAATTATTAGGTATCAATATTCGAAATACATAATTATCATCCTCTAATTACCAATGTTCTAACTATTACTAATTCCAGCCAAGTCCATAAACCCAGTTGCCCACTCACTCCAATGCCTCCGAGTGTCATTGACCAAAATGTAAACTACACAAAAAGTTTTACCAAGAAAAGTTAAGCGTTCCCCTAGTGATGAGGAGCTTCAAAACAAAACAGAGATCTCTTGAAACCTTGTTCTGCGCCGATTCTCTAAGCCACCTCTGTTACTAGCTTTGGTGGTCCCGCAGATGGCTGTTTGGTCTTGTTGCCAAAGAGGGTACCAGACGGCCCGTCGACAATCTCGTCGGGTACGGCAATTCGGTTACCGCTCTTATTGCTAACCCAGCGGATAAAGACGGGGTCAGCTTTTTGCGCATTCGGACCCTGCGAGTCGGCGGCAGCGGCGGCGGCAGCGGCTTTACGATTGATCTTCGGGGCTTGCTTCTTCAAAAGCTTGTTGATGGTTTCCATCTGTAGAGCAGTGGGTCAGCAACAGTGCGATACAAGGTAAACCACGTTGTTGATAGACATGTAAACATGCGTGTTTGTATATCAACAACATCAAAGCAGAAAAGTGGGATATTCGTCACTTACCTTGACTTCCTCATTGCGCTTCTCGCTGAGGTTTCGTCGCCTTCGAGCCATCTCCTGACGACGCATAGATAGTTCTTCCGCAGTAAACACTTTCTTTACTTGAATTTCTGCAATACAAAGTAAGCAAATGCATTTTCATAAAGGGAAACCGCATGCACTCTGTCTCTCATACAGATGTGCAGATACGTGTTAAAGACTTACCATCCGGCAACTTCATAAACTCTTGTGGTATATCCTCGAACCGAGCCCTCTGTCGTTTGGTCATTTTAGCGAGATCTGGTGTCTCGGCCCGGCTACCCCCCTCACTGTCGAGATCTGAATCGCCGCCATTGGCTCCTGGGGCCATGGTCATCTCATCATCCTCCTCTTCTTCTTCTACCTCCTCTTCCTCCTCTTCCTCCTCCTCTTCCATGTCATCCTCATCGCCAGCAACCTCAATCTCCTCGCCTTCGGCATCCTCATCATCTCCCATTGTCTGATCACCGTAAACGATAGTATCATCGCCAATGTCACTGTCTGCTGGCTCACTTAGCTCATCGTCATCTTCGTCATCTTCGTCCTCATGACGACGAGCCCTGGAATTGGTGACCTTGACCGTGGGCCTAGGCTTGGTAGATCTTGAGTTCTTTGCAGACGGGCGTCCAGCCCCTTTGGGCGCCACGTCTATGTCATCTTCACCTTCTGCATCAACGTCCATCTCATCCTCGCCTTCGGCATCTTCATCACCAAGCTCTTCCATCTCATCGTCGTCATCTGCTCTCGCGTCCTCTTCGTCTTCGTCGTCCTCATCGTCGTCGTCTTCTTCAACCTCCACCTCTTCCTCCTCTTCCTCTTCTTCGTCATCAGGGCTCGAGTCAATTACATAGCTCTTCTTAGCGCCACGATTACGTTTCCCGTGCACTATTTCGCCACCCTCAAAGGCATCAACCCCCCGGCGATTGCCTCCTCTGGCGCTCTGGCGTGGTTTACTGGTGGGGAGCTTCACTGTAACGCTGGAATGCGTCTCTTCTGGCGATGAGGCCGTATCGCGCGAGGCAGCGCCCCGTCCTGTGCGTCGTGATGACATGGTAGTTCCTGCGTCTTCCTTTTCGCTCATGTCAGCCCATCTGGCGTGGACCGAAATGACTTCCTTCGCCTTTGCGGCGGCCGAACGCCGTGGCCGTGAAGACATGATATGCGGCCTGCACTGGCAGATGCCTGGGGTGGTTCAATAATGCTGGGTCTGGGATTTATCTTGTATCTGGGCGGCGGGAATTGCGACGGTGATGGAGACGGGGACGATGAGTCTGTTGATGATGTTTGTGCCTGAGTGACGTGCACCTGTGGCATGTAGGTACATGTAGTTGGGATAAGCTCGGGGTCTAGCCACTAAAGCAGCCCGCGTAACTGCCTGGGCTCTCTCTGCATTGGACGCGAGCCTCTCTCAGGCAATCTCCACGCCATGGTGCCGGCTGATCCAGGCCCCAAAACAGCAACCTCCCTGCGGCCTTGGGCCTTGGAGACGCTCTGCCTGCATTGCGCACCAACCATTGGGAGTCTTTGATTCGGCATTCAGCCTTGCTGAGTGGCGCCGGCCCAGAGCAGCACAGCAAATTTCTTTGCAGCCATCAGAACCATCAGATGAAGGCCAAGGCCCAATCCATCGTCTCCATCGCTTGAAAGAGACGATAGGATATTCGATCCCCGCCAATTGATGCTTTGAATCGAAAAGCTGCACTTGACAGCCTCTGTCGGTGGAGAAACGGGACATGCAATGATGCAGCCAGGAGTCGTGACAAAGTCCCCAATGATTCTTGGCCAATAGAGTGGTGGATGGACAATATGGTTGAAGCTGCAGCCAGCCACTCGAAACAGCAATTGGATTGATCAAACAAGAAAAAGAACTGTGTACAAGGTACCCGGTTTGCCTCACTCACCTTCTAAGGTAGACCAAGGATGGCTGTTGGTGGTGTTGCTCTTACTGACCCCAGCAATCGCGATACGATACGCGTGCTGCAAGCGAACTGGTATGCGAGAGCAGGTACTCTACTTTGACGTATCAGCACTACCACCCTGGATTGGCAGCAGATATGCCGCGATCAGCGTGCAGTCGTCGTGATTTGCTCGGCTCTGACGGACCAGTGGTGGGTGCCACGAGTACGAGCAGTCGAAGCGTTGGCTCAATGTAACGCTACAGCGTATCAAGGATGCAGAGTGATCGGTTCCGATGGCAATTGAGAGAGTTACTGCAATGATAAAAGTTGCCAGGGCCCAGCTTTCAACTCAAGGGTGCAGCCGGAGCGAAATTCAGAGGCGTGTCTGTTATTATTCTCAATGCGCGAAGGATCAAGGAAAAGCCGCTTCGAGACTGTATCTCATTCGCCAAGAGGAATGAAGAAATGACCCAATTGAGCAGAATATCGGAATATGTGCGCGTTGCTTCGACAGCCCTTAGACTTCCAGGTTACTCTAGATACTCAATAATCGTATCGCAATCCCAGTGAGTTTACGGTGCTGAAGGCCGCTGATAGCTCAGAGCATTGAAGTTTGCTCGCCCCCTTGGGCCCACTTTTGTGACTTTTCTCAGCCTGCTCTACGCGCTGATGCTTGTATCTGGGTATTATGAGAATTGGGTATGAATAGATGACAATAGCTCATAAGGAGTAGTGATAGTTTATATAACTCACTGCTTATCATTCATCAAAATACATGTCGATAATCTATATGGATGCTGCATTCAACCCCATATAAATTTGTGAGGGTAGCTACACGAACTCTAATATCCCCCATGTAGAGGCAGCAATGTATTGTCGCAAATCACTCTTTCATGCAAGTATAGCGTCTCTAATATACTTCATCATAGCAGTCTTTGCATCACTACAGTAATCCTATATAACCAATTGAATTGCACTTCCAGGTTCCATATACTATTCTTTGGCGATGGTAGAACGCATCTGATGCTACCTGCAGATGCGCTAAACTCCAGGTTACTAAGCCGCGCCTCCATCACTGCGCGCCGCGTCCAGCATGTGCCGAGGCCTGTCGCAGCCGGATCTTACCCGGCCAACCGGCATCTCCTTGGGCTCTCCGGGGTGTAAACGCTGTTGATGCGCCTTCGCTTCAGCTGGAGACAGACAATGTGTTGAAATTCCGACAAGACATTAAAAATCCAACAATGGACGACTCAGAGGGGAAATCGCCATCCGACAGCGTGCCCAAGTGGCAGCTCAACCTCCCCGGCGATGAACCAGCAACCGATGATGCGCCGCAGTCACAAGCAGACGATAACAATACCCAGTCAGATAAGCTCGAGGTCGCGAGGCGATTCCTCGAGGATGACGCAGTCAAGAGTGCGCCGCGAGAGGTCAAGATTGACTTTTTGAAGTCAAAGGGCGTTGGAGATGAGGATATCCAGTTTCTCCTAAGCGAGCCTGAAGAAGAGCCATTAGCGACAGAAGATTCAGCCCCAACAGACGTAAGTGGTCATTTCAATGCCGCATCCTTTTGCGATCCAAGCCTAACATCACGACGACACAGGAATCCAACCAGAAGGCTCTATCCGTGCTAGAAAAATCATTTGCTCCTACACCACCGCCACCGGCTGCTCCCGCGCCTCCGACGTCTATTCTCGCAGGAAGCGATCGCCCTCCCGTGGTGACATACCCCGAGTTCCTCACCAAGCCCCAAAACGATCCCCCCTTGGTCACGACCAACGGACTCCTCAACACGCTCTGGGCCTTTGGCGGTCTTTCCACGCTTCTGTACGGCGCCAGTAAATTCGCCGTCGAGCCAATGGTCGAGAAACAGACAAGCGCGCGGATTGACCTACACGAGACCACTTCCAAGAAGCTGGACTCCATCCTCGCGCAGCTCGAAAGCACCGTCTCCGTCGTCCCGTCATACAACAAGTCCGGCGCCAATGCTACTTCTTCAGAGACCGAAGACGTCGACGACCCTTCCGAAATGTTCCACCGAGACATCGGCACGCAGACGACGTCCCCTCTTGCCGCTTCATCAAAGGGCAAAGACGAGGCCCAGTCAAAACTCCAAGCGGACCGTCTTTCAAAGCTAGCCAAGTCCCTCACGGGGCTCACAAACGACTACAAAAAGCAGAGCACCGACTCGGAGAATGCCAAGGCTTTCTTGGACACTTTCCGCGATGAACTGGACACCATGACGTACGGCAACCAGACTGAGATATTCGGCGCCTATGATATAAACAAGAAGAAGAAGAAGAACGACTCCGAAGACGAGATTCGAAAAGTGAGGGATAATATTAGGAGGATTAAGGGAGTTCTCTTGAGTGCCCGGACGTTTCCTACATCTGCCAGGTGAGGAACGAATGACATATATTCGAGGCATGTTTTTTTTTTTTTTTTTTTGCTACATTAGTTGTGATTTGTTATATAGAGCATCTACTTGATAAGAGCATGCAAGGATATGATTTGGGGTAGTTGATATAATGATATTTCCTATAGCTTATAATTACATTTTTCCTCTCTCTCAACATTTGTGCTGTGCTCTGCCAGATGCATTGCCGCATATACTGCTCTCTCCCATGCCCCATTGCGGTCACTTCAAGCGCATCAAATAGAGTATATAGACAAATAGAACCGAACCGAAACAGCGATGTGGAAAACGGAAATAACAAAATGGTTAAGAAACAGGAAAGACATTGGGGGAATGAAGGGCATGAAGGGGAAAACCAGAAAGAAAGAAAAAAATACAAACCGCTTTATGCTCGAGATAACGGCAGACGACACAATTTCTCATCCCTTTTTGTGCAAAAACTCCTCAACTTTGTACATCTTAAAAATATCTTCCCACGGCACAACTTTGATATGCTCAAACCCTCGTCCTTCTTCGCATTGCTCCTCGTACCATTCCAAAGTCGGCCTGAAAACATACTCAAAGTTCTTCCCTTCAAACTTGGGATCTGCTTCTCGTGCTGATTGGTATAGTCGATTTCTGCATTTGGAATATGGCTTTTGGTTGTTGCCGCTGGGTGGGTGGAAAATAATCTTTGGGGTTGAGGATTTGTCGTCTTGGAGTGATAAGCCCTTCATGATATCATCCCTCATGGCGACTCCATCGCTCTTCTGATCTTTCGATTGCTTCTCAGGGGTGACCAAACTCCAGCCTCGAAGAGGAAGCTCCTTAGCTGGGGCAGGTAACCAGTCTCTAACATTTCCTAGCAAACCATCGAGCCATCGCAGTGTAACATCCACAGTACTGGTACTGCCAGCGCTGGCTCCAAAAGAGCCAACCCACACTTTTTCCAAGGGGATGACATCTTTTGTTTTTCCCCGTACGCATTCTATCAACTGCTGTTGGGATTCAGTGAGATCTGAGTAGCAAAGGTCTTTACCTTCGCCGATCGTCTCTGAATAGCGCGTGTCCCAGATGAATATCTCAGATCGTTGCCATGGCCGTATGTGCGGATTTAGGGGTCGAAATATGACGACCCATGGCGAGCGTTTGACGTTATTCACTCCACGCGATAACGCCTGCTGTTCATCAAGAGTGTAGAATAGCCCGGCATATGAATTACGGGCCGGCTTGGCCTTGCAGAGGGCTCCATAGTGGTTCCAGAAATAGTTGAACCACTGATCATAGTTGTTATAATATCTTGGGTTGATGTCCCCAAGCTGAAATGAGATATCCGACGTTGAGTACCCTACTGGAAACCAGAACAGCCTCACGGGACACCATTCACGCCTTTGCGACTTCGCTATGTCGGTCAAATCAAGAACTAGCTGAGGGCTCTCGTCATCTCTACCCGATCGTTGCGTCGTAGGAGACGTGGCTAAAACAGGATCAGGGGCCTTTGCAAGATCTGACTCGACTCCGTCTGGATCAGCTATGATGGACTTTGAGTAGTTCGGCGCTCTCAAAATCCTCGAAATACGTCCCTTAGTCTGCTTGCCGGACCCTATAACGGCATATCGGCGAAACCGGTCTATATTCAGAGTAGACCAGTGTCCAAACCAATTAACCAAGCTCTGCTCGTCGTTGCCATCAATCGAGTCAGGAGCAACCACAATAGAATTCGTCCTTTCATAGCCGGCATCAAAAACGAGCTGCTGCAGAACTTTGAAAGTCTTCCATCGATATTCACATGCTTCATCCGATACACCAGCAGCTTGCAATTCCTCTTGTGAAGCCGTGTCAGGTAACATGCGCCTCGTCAGCAACTTCTCGTAGTAGAAGTTGTGCATCCATTCGTCCGCTTTTGCGCATAGAACCAATTTTCTAGGTCGGCTCATATCGATCTTCTTGACGTGAATGTTCCAAAACCATTTCACAAAGGTATATGCTTGCTCTGGCTCGGAGATGAGGAAGCTTGGCGTGATCAAATAGGCGGCTCCAGGGTCAAATACACGCTGAAGATGAATATCACCTAGGGGAGAGGCTGGCAGGTTGTCAGAGCCGAACAAGGGGACTGGCGTCAGAGAACGGCCAAACATCCAAAAGCTAAAGCTTGCCCTACGCCCATGCAGTAGAACATGAAGCTCGGGAAATAGTCGTATGAACCAGAGACTGTCTTCGTGAATAATGACAGTCCCGTGAGGTAGGTTCGAGAAGCTGGACCAATGGCCAGCATCGAAACTGGTTCGAATATCGCTGTTACTATCACAACTCATCACCCACCAGGATAACATGACAGCCTCTTGTTTGGCACGAGGGGGAAAAGCCAGGAAAAAGTTGTGCTTTACAGCTTTTCTCGCGTCAGATGGCAGCAATTGCTCAAATTTCTCTCCAAAAACATGATCCAAGGGTCTTGGATACGACGCTGAGTTCCTGGTATCCTTGTTTTTCATCCTCAGTCGCGGGGCGGGAGCGAGCATTGATGATCCTAGGGAGCTGAATGGTTCGAATATGGTATACTCCAGAGTTATCTTGCCCGAATCTTGCGCTGATTGGCTACTAGGAAACAAAATCACATAATAGCTTTCATTGGAACACAGTAACCCAAGATTCGCAAGTCTTAGATTATCTGCCAAATTACTGAGGCAGCGATTTTCGGTAAATGACAAAGCGGTACCTTTGCATAGCTGCGCCCTTGAAAAGTCAGCTCCTTTATTGATCTGATATGAAAAGTCTTGAGCGGTGCAGGTATGTGTAAAGATGAGACGGTCATCAGAACTGAACTGCGCGGCCCAAGAAGAGTTTGCCCTAGGAGGCACCCCTTCGAATGAGAGAGTAACAGTGTCTTGCCTGTCAGGGCCCACCTGTACAGTCTTGCTGATTGTCGTCGGATCGTTTGACTGCTCTCTATCAGCTCCAGGTTCTTCGCCTTCCGAGTTTGAAGTAAGCTGGGGCGATAGAGGCAAATCATCAGATACAAAAAGACTATCATTTGGATCTATTTCCATCGCCTCGTCTTCCCAGTGAACCATGGCATGCTTCTTGGGGCTGGCGCTTTCTCTGTCGGTCTTTTTGCTGGCTGATGTAATGTCTGCAGCTTCCTTGGTTGCTTGTTGCCCGCTTATCGTAGATTGAGGATTATCACGATCAAGAGAGATGAGTGCAGATGGCCGATGAGCTGGAGGTTTCAGTCCTTCCTTATCCCGACGCTGCAGCTCTATCTTTCTTGTAAGGCGTAAATTCAAAAGCCTAGGGTTCTTTTCTGGGTTCGACGCTGCCTCGCTCAGTGTGCCTCTCCCTTTGCGAGTACGACCGCCAGCGAAAACATTGGCGTAGCCTGCTGGCTTTATTGATCCCCCTGCTTGTGCCCGGCTGGAAATAGAGGATTTTCTGGGTAGCTTGATAGAGAACCTTGCAGGTTTAATGAGATCTTCGTCAAGCTTTTGCATTGTGATTTCGGCAACTTCTAAAGGCGATCTTTTATCGCTGAAGTGAATGAGAGCTGGCTTTTCCGCTAGGCTCAGGGCTTCTTGTGCTCCTCCCCCTACTCCTGCTCCTCCGTCAGATGCTCCAATGAATTTTTCTGAAGAGACTCTCTCAGATGGCTTGATCGTGATTTGCGCTGAGGGCCCTGAAACTCTTTCCATTGGCTGATTCATAAGGATAGATGGCTCATCACTAACAGCGCTTTGAGGCGGGCTCTGCGTTGTGAGATTTGCTTTGGCTTGATCATCTTCGTCTTCTTCGTCATTTTCGTAGTTGGCAAGATCTTTTAAAAGATGGTTCAAGGTTCTCGTCCATGTAGTTTGCGGCAAGCCGCGTCTCTCTCGCGCTATGTTCCGGAGTTTGTGTCGGGCAAGCCGAGACTCGTAGTACTGAATATTGGCCCGTTTCCATTCTTGGATTTTGAACCTGGGTACCGATCCTTTTCCTTGGTCTGTCTTTGTTTGCTCCCACTCGGCCATGAGTGCATCGCTTAAATTCTCTCTGGGCTCCCATGTTGCTTCCGCCAAAGAGAAGTCCTGCCATTCGATCAGATAGACTGGCTCCCCATTCACGACTCTTTCGGCTAGTATCCTGGTAACAAACAAATCTTGTTCGGGGATTCCGTCATCGGTAGAAGTGATTGATATGGCATCGATGGCATCGATGGCATCGCCAAGGCCTTCTTCCCATGGTTTCGACGCCATTCTGAGGATAATGCTGTGGGAAAACCATGATTCATTTGAACGGGCAGCGTGCAGCTGCTAACTGGGCCTCAAGCTGCCTGAAGCCAACACCAAGTTACATGCACGTGATTACAGCTGGAGACAGGTGCCACTCCGAAAAGGTGCTCTGCCTGGCGACTAATGCCAATATTCTAGCTAAAGGACCTATATAGCAGTTTTCACGTTCATCACAATGACCTACTTGCTTACAACAGATCAAACAAGTCCCGTAAAGCAAGCGTATGCGACAAGCTGCGCGCTGGCCACCAGTGGAACGAGCTCAGACAATGTGGCTTACCCCCACCACCTCCGCTAGCTCCCTAGGTATATGTAGGCAGGCAAACATTTTGATGTTTGTGACCGCCTGAACCATGGATTCTGCGGCAGGACACGGCTCTAGCTCTGATGCTGCCTAGATAGGCTGCTGGATCGCTACATTTGTCTCCGTAGCAATATTATGCATCTCTTTAGCACCTCTCCCGCTCAGGAGAGAAAAGGGGGAGAATGTGTTTGTGTCTTGAATATGGGGTCCGGAGTCTCCATATGCCACTCTCAACGGTGGGCTCCTTAGTTTGTACCTAAAGGGCATTATCTGTCGTGTAGTGTAGCAACAAAAGCGCTACGGAGCACGCTCAGTGCTAACGTCTAGCATTTACAAGGCAAAGGGGGGCCAGAGCGGTACCTAAAAGGGACTTGCTAATTCATGCGCGACACAAAGAAAATTGTGGTCGTTGCAAAGTCCCGGCCATGCCACATGCCGCCTGCTAGGCCGCATTCCTCGCTGCCTTGCAGTTCGCGCCTCCTGAGCTCGAATCCAGGTGACTTAGCGACCTAAGCCAATCGTCAGAGCCGCGCAGCCACTTCTTCCCCTCCACATCCACAACCTGGACACATTCCCATCGTCACAGCTTCATTCTGCAGCACATCACCAGCCTCCAGCAACGCGCCCGACGACCCTGCTGCTACCATGGCGAACGACGAGTATGATGTACGTTCCGCTCTCTTGAAATAACGAAAGTGCACTTGACGGAACGCTAACAGCGATGTTTCAACCCCCACTAGTTCCTCTTCAAAGGTTTGGCTCTCCCTTGAACCACGGACCAACGGTCTACAGCGCCAGCGTGCCCGAGGACCCCAGGACGGCATTTATGCTAACGATTTGTCTTGCTGCTAGTTGTCTTGATTGGAGACTCTGGAGTCGGAAAGTCCAATCTTCTCAGCCGATTCACTCGAAACGAATTCAACCTCGACTCCAAGTCGACTATCGGTGTCGAGTTTGCCACCAGATCGATCCAGGTTGACTCCAAAACCATCAAGGCGCAAATCTGGGATACAGCCGGTCAGGAGCGTTACCGTGCCATCACTTCCGCATACTACCGAGGTGCGGTCGGCGCCCTTCTTGTCTACGATATCAGCAAGCACCAGACGTACGAGAACGTTACGAGATGGCTAAAGGAGCTGCGAGATCACGCCGATGCAAACATTGTCATCATGCTGGTCGGAAACAAGAGCGATTTGAGACACCTGAGAGCTGTTCCTACAGATGAGGCCAAGGCCTTTGCTAGTTCGTCTCACGGTCTGACGTCGTTGGAGGGGCATTCGCTAACCGATTTTCATCAGGCGAGAACCACTTGTCTTTTATCGAGACATCCGCTCTCGATGCCAGCAACGTTGAGCTTGCTTTCCAGAACATTCTTACGGGTGCGATACATGATTCCTATGCGAGAGCTACAATATCAAGACTAACAAACTCTCGTATCCAGAAATCTACCGGATCGTATCTAGCAAGGCGCTCGACAGCGGCGACGGTGCCCAAGCCACCATCGGTGCTGGCACTAACATCTCACTCAGCAAGGCTGCCGACGACGAGGCTGCCAAGGGTGGCAAGTGCTGCTAAACTACTTATGATGATGCCAACTACATGAGGAGAATTGGGAATATTGTAGTCGCATGTTTCGAAAATGTACATCGCATACCGAAAGACTTCGACGCTGTGTCGAGGAAACGAGGGGGAGGCCTGATGCTTCCTTTTTTTCTCCAATTAGAAGGGCGCAGACACTTTTGACTTTCTGTTGTTTCTGTTTGTCGCGATGAGTTTTCTGGGCTGATCTATCCGATGACTGCTACGGAATCTCTTCTTACGTAGCTACATGAATTCTTAATGAAATGATTTGTTTTTTTCGATGCCGGAATATGACGGTTTGATGAGGTCTTGTTAATGGATCATTGAAGAAAGAATCGTACCAATTTAGTTTACGTGACCAAACCCAAGACTGGAGAAGCAAAACAATCCGATAATGGTTATTAGAGGCCAAGTCATTTCTGCGGCAGTCGTCTTGGGCGAGATCCCCCACTACAGGTACGTGCTTTTTCGCTTCAACAACGCTAAACCGTACCTAGACTCTATCTGAAGACCCACATACATGAATTTTCTGATAAGGAAATTGATGGCTTATCGGACTCGCGCTCCTCTAAAATTTCTAGCCGTCGCCAACTGTTTTCGAACGTCCACTTCAACCCATTCGAGCAATTGCCTATACTCTGCCAAAATGGCGTCCGTTTACAAGTCCTTGTCGAAGAGCAGCAACGAGAAGCCTGAATCATCGAGCAATGGCGTCAAGAAAAACAAGCAGAGAGTCCTGATCTTGTCCAGCCGAGGTGTCACCTACAGGCAAGTTAGACGGCGATCGACTGGCTACATTTTTCATCATTATTTCTGACTCTATTTTCTGCAGACACCGCCATCTTTTGAACGATATTGCTTCACTGCTCCCTCACAGCCGAAAGGATGCCAAATTCGACTCAAAGTCCAGACTGGGCGAGCTCAATGAGCTGGCTGAGCTCTACAACTGCAATAACGTTCTTTTCTTCGAAGCGAGGAAGGGCAAGGATTTGTATGTGTGGTTGAGCAAAGTGCCTAATGGCCCGACGGTCAAATTCCATCTCCAGAACCGTAAGTGCACCACAACTGACTTCATTTGGCCATACGTGAAATCCGGTACTGACAACGTTCATCCAGTGCACACAATGGAGGAGCTGCACTTCACTGGCAACTGCTTAAAGGGCTCACGGCCGATCCTTTCGTTCGACGCCGCTTTCGAGACACAGCCGCACTTCCGTGTCATCAAGGAGCTATTTCTTCACACCTTTGGCGTTCCTCAGGGCGCGCGAAAGTCCAAGCCTTTCGTCGACCACGTCATGGGCTTCACGATTGCAGATGGAAAAATCTGGATTCGAAACTATCAAATCTCCGAGGTTGAGCAGAGCATGGTCAAGGGTGATGGCGAGGACTACGTCTCTGAACAAGCCGCGACTGGCAGGTCCAAGAACACGGATATCAATCTTGTCGAGATCGGACCCAGATTCGTCCTCACACCTCTTGTGATCCAGGAAGGCTCATTCGGTGGCCCGATCATATACGAGAACAGAGAATTCGTCTCTCCCAACCAAGTCAGAGCCGATATCCGAAGGGCAAAGGCTGCAAGACACAGCGCCAGGACAGAACAGACAGTCGGACGTTTGTCTAAGAAGAGTGATTTGGGTCTGCGATCCAACGGGAACCGACGGGCCAAGGATGAGCTGGATAAGTCTGCGCTTTTTGCGTAATCGAGGGCACAGCTCAGAAATGTCAGAAATGGGTGGCGGAGGAGATTCGATATCATAGCGGCATGTCTCGTACGTGGACTGCACTTTGAATTTTGGACTTGTATATACACAGGCGGCGCACAAAATGGATTGATTATATGGCACGGTAGCCTTTCGTCTTGTCAGGTTCTTTCACAACAGGCCCAGATGTGAACATTTACCGATTGCTTCCGTGCCAGATCGATAACTTTAGATGATAATTCTTTACTCATTATTGCATTGCAGCTATGGATTTCACCTAGAAGAAAAGAAGCGTTCGTCTGATGGCGATATCATAAAGGTTGAGGCTAGGGTATATAACAGTATTAATGCGGGCGACGATACCTCATGTATCATTCTCAAGATGGCATTTACAGTATATGAAACTGCAAAAAAAAAATCGTATATTCAGTTCTTTCATACCATACCATCTCGATGCCCGCTTATACGATGCACTGCTTGCTCTTTGCACGCAGAGATTGGCCGGATCTTGATGCAAGCGCCAAACCCCCAAGCTTACGGTGTTGCCAGTCATTGCTCTTCTATTCCCAAAGAAGAAAGAAAACGCAAAGAAAAAAAGCTACATACTGATCAAAGAAGACACCAAGCCATATCACGCGGAAATTAGAACAAGGGCAAAGCTTCTGGTGCCAGCTTTGCGCTGCTTGCACTGATGCTGGACTGGTAGCAGCTGTCGCGCACCAGCCACGCTAAGCCGGCGCAACAATCTCCTAGTGGCTGCGGCAGGGCTTGTCTTCAAACCAGCATCATCTCACTATGAACCAGCGCATCTCAAAGGATCTCCAGCGCCTGACCCGCCTCTATTTGCGACTGATGCCCTAAGCCAATCTGTGAGGACTATACAAAGGCACCTGAAGAGGCTCATAGTCATTTGCACTCAAAACAGCAATTCTTTTCTGCATGAACCTTCTTTCAAGCCAAGTGGCACCTGTACGATTTCCTGCCTCTCTACTCTGACAAGAGAGGCCGCTCAGTTGAGAAACAGACGCTATTGGGACAAGGTGAGTTGATGGCCGGAGCTGCATTCACTTGGTGTTCATTCTCATGCCACTTCTCGCGCTGTTGCTACCGCGTCGCATGTTGGAGATTTCGCATCCTGCGTTATTCGCTCAGTCTTCTCCCGGCGCGTCTGTGTGTGGTCCGTTATAGCGCGGGTGATGCGACTGTTTTCTGTTTATTTCATCATCTGTTTATGAACGCCACAGTTCAACTTCATCCAGGCCATTATATGAGCTGCGCTGACACCGAACCAGGGTTACACGCCATCTCTAGTTCTGCTGAGGTGAAATTTGGTTGCCAGAGTATCAGAAGCCGGAAGGGCGGCCTCGGGCCCGGGGGACGTTCTCGTTCACCCCCATCACCAAGTGCAATAAACTCAGAATCTGCTATTTGGATGCACCACGACGGGAAACGACGCCATGGAGCCTGAGGACCAGATCATGGGAGACAGCGATGTGGCCATCACCAACGGCCATAGTGAAGGACTACGGTTGGACAATGATGACACAGCGTCGGAAAGCGCATATCATGAAGAGAGCGAGCCGAGTGTCATAGAGGACACGATTGCCCGGCTGCGTGTGCGGCGTGGCCTGCTCCCCACGGGCTGCTGCTACGATGATCGAATGAAGCTTCATATGAATGCAGACTTTAGTCCGAATACGCATCACCCGGAAGACCCCCGCCGCATCCATGAGATATTCAAGGCTTTCAAGAAAATGGGACTCGTCTACACGGGACCAGAGTCAGAGCTGCCCAGGATCATGAAAGACTGTCCGACAAAATACATGTGGAGGATCCCCGCCCGACCAGCTACACGAGAAGAGATCTGCCTCGCACATTCTCCAGAGCACCTGGCTTGGGTGGAGGGCCTCGACACGATCAGTACGGCTGAGCTTCGTGAATTGACCAGGCGATTCGACCAAGGCCGCGAGTCTCTGTATGTAGGCAGCATGTCCTACCCTGCTGCCCTACTGTCCGTGGGTGGTGCTATCGAAACCTGTAAATGCGTTGTTACAGAACAAGTCAAGAATGCTTTTGCTGTTATCCGACCCCCTGGGCACCATGCTGAGTTTGATCAGCCCATGGGTTTCTGTTTCTTCAACAACGTCCCGGTGGCTATTAGGGTATGCCAGCAAGATTATCCCGAACAGTGTCGCAAAGTTCTCATTCTGGATTGGGACGTTCATCACGGAAACGGTACTCAAAATATCTTTTACCAAGATCCCAATGTTCTCTATATATCAATCCATGTCTATCAGAATGGCATGTTTTACCCAGGCAAACCACCAAACCCCATGACACCTGACGGCGGTATTGAGCACTGCGGCACCGGTCCAGGATTGGGCAAGAACATCAACATCGGGTGGCATGACCAAGGCATGGGAGATGGTGAATACATGGCCGCATTCCAAAAGATTGTAATGCCCATTGCAAAGGAGTTTAACCCAGACTTGGTAGTCATCTCAGCTGGATTCGATGCTGCCGATGGAGATGAACTGGGCGGCTGCTTTGTGACGCCTGCTTGCTATGCCCACATGACACATATGCTCATGTCACTTGCAGATGGCAAGGTCGTTGTCTGCTTAGAAGGTGGCTATAACCTACAGGCAATTTCAAGTTCTGCGGTAGCCGTTGCGAGGACCTTGATGGGAGAGCCTCCGCCAAAACTGGCTCTCCCCAAGATCAACAAGGAGGCTGCTAGAACGTTGGCCAAGGTGCAAGCATACCACGCTCCGTACTGGGAATGCATGCGTTCTGGAATCGTTGATGTTCCTGATGTTCAGTCGCTCAATGCTAACAGGCTTCACGACGTCATCAGGAATGCGCAGCGCCAGGTGATGCAGTCCAAGCATGGCATGATACCACTCTATATACAACGAGAGTTGATCTCGAAATCGTTTGAGAACCAAGTTTTGGTAACGCCAAATCTACACAACGCTCAAAAGATTATCGTCATTATACATGATCCGTAAGTTTGGCTTATTTTACCCTTGCCGTAGGATCTATCAACTGACCACAGATACAGGCCTCAATTATTAGCACAGCTAGATGTGATAGACACCACAGTGGATGCTCATAATTCATGGGTGGTTAGTAGCGCATCGACGTGCTTTGACATGGCATAGGAAAAATATCGACTAACTGGCTGCTAGGTTGACGGGGTTATGGAATATATCGACTGGGCCGTTTCTCAGAATTTCGGAGTCATGGATATCAACGTCCCAGCATATGTTACACATGAAGAGGTATACATTTCCGGCTGCTTTTTGCATCTCTTTCATTTGCTAAATCCACTGTATAGGACATTGATTCGTACATTCCTGAATTCAACGAGAAAGAGATCCAGGAACAAATCTTGTCACTGGTTTGCTATTTGTGGGATAACTTTCTCCAGCTCTATGAGACTGACGAAATCATCCTGCTTGGCGTCGGCAATGCCTATCTTGGAGTCAAGGTTCTTTTGATAAACAGAGGTGAGACAAGTCTTGATTTCTAAAAGCCGTACCAACTGAGCTAAACTATTTCTAGACTGCAGAGAAAAGATTGCGGGCATTGTCAACTTTGTGACTGGAAATCTACGGCCCGTCAAATCGGACACGGATAACGAGCTCTCATCCTGGTACAAGGAGAATTCACGGGTCTATGTGGCGGGCGACCATGCCTGCTGGTCCGATCCGGATTTGACCAGAAAAGTCCACAGGAGGCGATTCGGAACCGTGGTGCGCAGCAAGATGTTTGGACTGAACCACATGATGAGAGAGCATGCTGAAGAGGCCCATGAGTGGATCATGAAGAGAGTCACGAATGGTCCCGAAGGAGACACTACGGAAGAGGAAAAATCTTGATGCATTTATTGTTATGCTTTTGCCTTGTGCTTGTGGTATTCCCAGGTGCCGCTACTCGTTATTGGCTAACCTACGATTCCCTGTATTAGGAGCTTTTCAATTCTTTTTTTCCTTATCTTGGCTCCCCCCAAGTCATAGTAATCTACTCGCTGTTCTCAGCCTATCAAATAGATGTCTTTAACAACCAACTAATTGCCATTCGGGGGCGCCTTGTAATTGTCCCGTGTTAGTACTTTGAGCCGAGCAATATGAGATCGGTTGCGCTCTACGGAATAGACGGCATCTCCCCTTTAGTTCAACTGCAGTCGTTCGGGGGGGGCCCAAATGGACATCTCCACCGTGGCGAGTCGTGATTTCTGTAGGGTAATCCACGACAGGATGCTCCATCTTGTCTTGAGTTAATCTCTCTCCCTCTCCCTCGCCGTATCTCCAAGCCGTTCCATAGATCCCTTTATTCCCCCTGGCACGAGGCAGAGCCGGAATATGCGATATAGCCGGGGCTTGCCCCACCCGTCTCTAAAAGCGGCAAATCGACTCGGAAGCTCAGCAAATCGATATGTAGTGTAGCTATTGATGTGGAAAAGGCTCTTTTTTTTCTTTCTTTTTTTCTCCGCTGAGAGTCCTGATACGGCAGAATGCTTAATAGTGCTACATACTACCTACCTGGGAGGTAAATATCTTGTCGGTGATGAGGCTAAGAATAGCGTCGGAGGCTGCTGGTGAGGCCAGATGCGTCTTGACTGTATGCCATGCAATGCAAGGGCATCTCACATCAGCAATATCCCCCGTTTTGCAAGTGCCAGCTAGGCAGCATCTTTACACTATTAACAGCGACGTCCCAGTATATGAACAGCAAGTTTGGAGAAATCCTAGTGGTTTTCCGGTATCTTAATTTGGGATTGATATCAGCATGAGAAGACTAAAAATCATCAACAGCATCCAACACCAGAAAAAGACGGAATCCCCCGCATATCTGGAACCACCATCAGCATAGCATAGTGCCATCTCCGGCCAGTAGTGCGATATCTGGTCCGCCTCCAGCGATTCAAGGGCAGAATATCTGGACAGACCCCACCTTCCAGCTACCGAAAAGTCTTCCCGGCGACGGACCATGAAGCGATTGTCCTGCCGCTAGACCCCACACGCAGCTTGGCCAATCTTTTGCTGCCGCTTGCGGCAAATGGGAGTGGATGGATAATGCCCGATACGTACAACTGGACATGAAGCATGTGCTGAGCAGGATTACTGAGACTTGTATTTGTTTTATTTGTCTTTTGTTTGAATTTCATGCTAGATTGGTACGAATTGATGGGACCAGATGGCACATGGATATAGTAGTGTATTGGGTCGGTAGAATCTGGGTAAGCAAGTTGCCGCTTATATATGAAATGACGATTGATGACTATAATACGCCCTCCCTTGATTGGCCACTCGACATTAAAGTTGTCGCTGTAAATAAATTCCCACGTAAAGACAAATTTACTAATACCAGACGGGCAAGAGTTTGCGGCTACAACAGGCGGCTCTTTGCTGTTGCGAGGTACGTACCGACGCTCTCTCTAACCTTTCTCCGCTCTACTCCCGAATCCTTTGCCGTGATTTTAGTGCCGCTTCCACCCTCTTGTTCTCCCATGAATCAAGAGGAGCCTCTCGGGGCCCCCTCACGGCTTCGACTGCGCAGAAAATGCCTTTGACTTCCGGTTTTCAATTCCGGACGGCTGGTCATGTAGGGGGACGCAGTTCCTCTTTTCTCGCGTCATCGGCATTTGCGCCGCTGGGCTGAATATCTGTTGTCGTTGATGTCCTTATATATCTCCTGCGTGCCTCTCCACTCGCATCTCGCGCTGTTTGCTTGCTATTCATCTGTCCATCTGACTCTTGTAGCATTTCAGCTTGCGCTTTGATCTGTATCAATCTTGTTTAGACTGGTTGGTCGCATACGGCTGTATTATTGCTCTTACTTTTTTGTTCTATTGAATCTCCCGATCCATCCATCCATCCATTTATCGGCTTATATCTCCATCCATTTCTTTGTTCCTTTGCACCGAGGAGAGCCATGTCTCCTGCTGTTGTGCATCAGGATGTCTCCGACACCTATGATATCGGTATGATCTCAATCAAGCTTCCACCAGCATCGGTACTAACTCGTGTGCCGTGGCAGTGATTGTGGGAGCGGGACCCGTGGGATTGATGCTGTCTACATGTCTCTCGCGATGGGGCTACCGTATTAAGCATATTGATAACAGGCCAGAGCCGACGGCGACGGGTCGAGCCGATGGCATCCAGCCTCGATCACTCGATCTCCTGCGGAACATGGGTTTGAAATCTGACATCATGGCTCACAAGCCTGCCCGTGTCTTCGAAGTCGCTTTCTGGGACGCAGAGTCGAGCAAGGGTATCGGTAGAACAGGTACCTGGGCCAGCTGCCCCAACTTCATCGACGCCCGTTATCCGTTCACCACGCTGTTGCACCAGGGCCATATCGAGAGGGTGTTCATCAACGATCTTGAGAAGAATGGTACTACCATTCAGCGGCCGTGGACAATCACTGGCTTTCAGTCGCACAACCCCGAGACGTCGGAATATCCTGTTCAGGTCGAACTGGAGCACGTTGACGGCACAGAAAAGCAGACCGTACATGCGAAATACCTCTTCGGTGGCGAAGGCGCGAGGTCATTCATCAGACAGCAACTAAACATTGGCTTCCATCATAAGGACCCAATCGCCCATGTCTGGGGTGTAATGGATGGTGTTGTCAAGACTGATTTCCCGGATATCAAGGTCGGTTCTCATATCGCGCGGAGCTTCTCCTGTTAGTGCCAATACTAATCTTTCTGTAGATGAAATGCACGATTCGAAGTCAGCATGGGTCCATCATGGTTATCCCGCGTGAGGACAACATGGTTCGCCTCTATATCCAGATTGCCTCTTCCACCGATGGCGACTGGAACCCAAGGAAATCAGCAACTGAAGCCGAAGTGCAGGCCTCGGCCAAAAAGATTCTGTACCCCTACAATATCGAATGGGAGCGTGTAGAATGGTATTCCGTCTACCCTATTGGTCAAGGAATCTCAGAAAAGTATACTTTGGATGAGCGAGTTTTCCTTGGTGGTGATGCTTGCCATACGCATAGTGTAAGTGACTGCTACTCCTCGTCAACCTTCATATATGGTTTCAACTGGCGCTAACTGTGTGAGTTTAGCCCAAAGCTGGCCAGGGTATGAACACAGCCTTTTTAGATGCGCTGAATCTTGCTTGGAAGATCCACGCTGTTGAGGGTGGATTCGCAAACCGAGATATCCTCAAAACTTACGAGTCTGAGCGAAAAGCAGTTGCTGAATCACTATTGGACTTTGACAACCGCTACGCGAAACTCTTCTCCCAGCGACCGCCTGCAGCTTCCGAAGTCCAGGCAGCCTCAGAAACCATTCCAGATGGCGACTTGGATGGCGACAACGATTTTATCAAGACATTCAAGGAATCCTGCGAATTCACTAGCGGCTACGGCGTCTCATATCAGGCCAATACATTGAACTGGTCGCCAAGCCACCCTGCCCAGTCACATGTCGTCCAGCCCAGCGGCACAACATTAAAATCTGGACGTTTGTTAGTGAACGCGGATGTAACGAGGGTTGTCGATGCCAACGTGGTCCATCTTGAGCAAGAAGTGCCACTTAATGGCTCGTTCCGCATCTTCCTCTTTGCTGGCGACCCAGTCAAGAACCGTGCTGCGCTTCGAGACTTTGCAGACAACTTGACCAGCGCCAAGTCGTTCTACTCAGCATACACCCGACCAGATATTGACCAGGTTTCACATCACGAAAAGCATAACCCCCACAGCCAATTTTTCACGCTATGCACCATCTTTGCGGCAAAGAGACACCGTATCGAGATCGCCCGTGATGTACCTAGCGTGCTGGCTCGTTATCGCGACCACATCTACGCCGACGACAGATGGGACCGTCGCGTACTTGATTCCGTGGCTCCGGCTCATGCGAAGATGGGCTTCAATGAAGAAAAGGGCGGTGTTGTCGTTGTCCGGCCAGACGGCTATGTCGGCTTTGTGACTTCTCTAGTAGAGGGTTCGGGCACTATTGACGCGTTGAACGCATATTTTTCAGCATTTTGTACGAAGAGATTTGGAAACACTGCTCAGCTGTAGACTTGGCATTATTGAGCGGCAATAGAGAGGCTGGGGGAAAGGTACTGGGCCATTCTACTGTGGTATTACAACTTTGATTCTTTATCTCTGTGTGGTTTAGAGAATTTTCTTCTACGTCTTGTTTATGGAAGCATCACTGTACATTCTAGCAATTAATTATATTCTTCACCGTCGGTTGCTGATTCTTACCAAATTACATGGGAAGTTCCATATCATATCAATGTCGCCTCGGAAAATATGACAACACCTTTGCAAAGTTTATTCTTGCCGAGCAAAATACTTCAATTAAGTAGACGAGGTGGCGGTGAGACAGATACGGCTACCTACAGATTAGGGGAAACTGGGATATTGGACATCAACGTAGCTGAGAGTGCGAATTGTCAACATTGCGATGTGCGTTATTGTAGAGCAGTGATGGTCTGAGTCCGAGTAGCTTGCTCGAAGGTGTTGTTATTGTGTTCGAGCAAAGCCAGCTCAAGTGTTGTGAATACAACGGCCTGCAAGTACGTTAAGAGTACTGTACACACGTAATATGCTACCCTTCTATTGTACCTGGGTAGTAAACGACTAGATCAGCGTTAATCAGGTAGAGCTGCATCGTAAAGTTTGTCGCATGTGGAAAGAACAGCCAAAATGCCTCGAGATGGAGCTTGACCCAATCGCAACTCGAACTCCATGTCATTGTTTTTGTTTATGTGTACTTGAGAAAGAGGGAGGCCTTTGTTTTTTTCCCTTACAATTCTCGTTCTCTTCTCCATACTTCTCGTTCTACTTCCGCTGGCTCTCAATGTCTTATACAATAGCTCTTATTCCTCCGCAGCAGTCCTTCTGTCTCCTTCCTTAGAACGCATCGCTGCACGATTCTCAAGATGCATTCTCACGCTCGAAGATTTCTCTTTCGAAAGACGGACCCAGAAAACGACCTGGCCGTCGAAATCGCCGCCAAGAAGCCTGAGACTTCCGAGACGCCCTCCCCTAACCTGTTGCTGTGGATGACTGGGACGAGTACATAAAGCTGGTAAATTATACACATCATGGCACTGTTTCATACATGTTTACTGCCAATTGTTTTGCGTTTTAGGTGAAAGCGTTCTCTGAAGAATTCCTTCTCATCCCCATCCCCTCTACCTCCGAGTCTATTCCCTTTCGACGACTTCAACGACTATATGAAGCTCGTAAGCCATACACAGACAGCATGGTCTATTCTTATACATTCTTGTACCGCAACGCGGATCTGGAACATAATCCGGCCGCCCCCGTCGCCGCCAAGCAGCCCGTTACTCCCCTCTGGCGAGAATGCCTCCTTTCTTTGACTACATCGCCGGACGACTTTCGAGATGGCCTCTTACAACCGTTGATTGGTCTACCAGCGAATCAACCCCGATTATAACCTGTCGCCTTCGTCGTCGCTCAGGAGCCTGAGGCTCCAAATCTTTTTTCCGTCGACAACAGCGACGAGTATATGCAGCTAGTAAAGCTGCTAAGGCCGTTACTCCTCTCTGGCGAGAATTCCTCCCTCATCTGGAAGCATAGCCGCACCAGTTTCAAGATGGCTCCTTAGACTCGCGGGTTTCTCTTCTGGGCCATAGACCAGGATCATAACCTGGCCACCCTTGTCGCCGCCAAGCAGGCCGTTGCTCCCCTCTGGCGATAATGCCTCTTTTGAATGCACCGCTGTGCATTATTCAAGATGGCCGCTCACACACGCAGATTTTTGTTTCGCAAGACGGACTCAAAACATAATCCGGTCGTCGACGCTGTTGGGCCTGAGGCCCCTGGACTGTTCCAGTCGTCGACTGGGACGACTACACCAAGCTCGTAAGTTATACACAACATGGCGTCTCATACATATTTACTAACAAATTATCGCGTTTTAGGTGAAGGTGTTTTTATGCGAACTCCTCGTCGTCTTTGCCATGACGCTCCTCGTCGCCGTCACCAAATTCATATCTAGCTCTGTTCCCATTTCCAGATCCATCTGTAGATCCTTTTCCTGTTCAAAGCTTTCACCTATTGAGCAGGAAGGGGAAGGAAAGGAAAGGAAAAGAAAAGAAAGGGTATCTAAAGAAGAGCCATTGGACAGAACCTCTACAAATAACACCTTAATAGCAAATGCGGTCTTTGAGCTCACTGATGATTAGCAAGGAATCGAAAATTGATCACTCAACATCCATCAAAAGAAGTAGAGGCTCTAAGAGTCAAAGGATCTGATGATGGTGGGGATACTATACTTCAGGTAGCCTCATAGAAATATTAGATGGCTATTTTCTATAAACATGTCAAATTGTCGATGGTGGGTTTTCTCTATACGCTACTGATGCTACTGATACCCGAGGAAGAGAGATGTCGCATGTGGTTACTATGGGCTACAATACCTCACCTTCAGACGCCCAAAGGTTCATAGATCAGAGGCTCTATCCGTATCGATCGTTTGTTGAGGCAGATATTAGCGACATAGTGATATTCAGCGACACATTCGAAGACCATTGTAATCACCTGCATATGGTTTTTAGCTTTTTACAAGAAATTAACTTGCCACAAATCCGAAGAAGTCTTTCTATGCGTATCGATCAGTGGAATTACTGGGATCTAAAGTTAATGCAGAGGGGTTGTCTACAAAAAACGAAATATAGTATCGCGAAGCTAAAATTCCCTGGTAATCTTGAAACCTATCTGGGCATGGCTCCGTTCCTGAGACGCTTACTGATGCTACTGATGCCTCTGCTATCACCGTTATCACTGTTATTGCTGATTTCACTGCCATCACTACCGTCAATGCTATCGCTGATATCTTTAATATCCCATGTAAGTGGATATTATGCTTCAGAATAAAGTAAAGGCTAGGCCTATCATCGACGCGCGAATTCAGATAACATATAATGTGGAGGTTTACTGTGCTCCATTTTGCCGCGCGTCGACATCACTAGGTAATCTGGGGAAAGGCAGCAGGGTTAAATCAATTTAAGGTTGGCCAATCACAGGCCGTGCTCTGCGCGCCTTAAATTTAGTGGAACTTATTGATTTTAGCCGATGTTCTGCCGGGTATTTATTTCAACCTCTCGCCTGCATCACAGCACCCTTCAGCGCCTCTAGACTACCTACTATGGCGACGTCTCAGCGTCCTTTATCAAAGCCCAACCACCAAACTCTGTCCCATATAAGCCTTCATCGCAACTCTAAACGTGACACGATACACAACTCTATATGCAACTCAATATCCTCGAAACTCTATCACCCGCCTCACGCGTCGCCACAGAACGAACGAGCGTATATATTAGAGCAGCTCCTCCCCTCTGGTAAGAATATGTCCTTCATTCACATTCATCACAGCTTCGCAGCTTCTCACGATGACTTATTCTCGCAGATTTCTTTTTCGGGTCACCGACCCGGAGCATAATCCCACCGTCAGGCCTCAGGCCGCGATTCTTTTCCCCGTGGGGGATTTTGACGAGTACATGAAACTTGTAAGTCATACACAGCATGGCGTTTCATACACATACTGACAATTTCTTGCGTTTTAGGTCAAGACTTTCTCCTGCGAACTACTCCTCGTCCTTGCGATGGCCTTCCTCGTCGCGGTGACAACGGTCGTCGGCTTGGGCCGATTTGGTAAGTAGTTCATCTTGAGAAATTGCGACTGTGGTTTTCGACGTTACTTACTTTCCGTTCAGCCTACAACCAGTGTAGCAACCTCTTCAGCTACGAAGCGGCTCAAGCTTCCGATGGACACATTTCCGCTTCCGACGAACACATTTCCGCTTCCGACAAAAACACTTCCACTTCCGACAAAAGCATTTCTGCTGTCGCCAAAAGCATCTCCACTGTCGACAAAACCATTTCCACTGTCGCCAAAACCATTTCCGCTTCCGAGCAAACCACTTCCATTTCGAACAAACGCCGCAGACATGAGCCGCTTGCCAGACTCGACAAACGTCGCTTCCTCACCACTCGATCTTCGTCAATCACCTCCGGCTATATGGCGGATGTCTCTCGATCTGTTTCAGACAGTTATCGCTCCAATTCACAAGTCGTTCTATCGGCTTTCGAGCAATCGGCTTTGGAATTGTCGCGCCTCGACAATCAAAAAGAAATCCCTTGGCTTGATAAGCAGGCCTCTGCCAATCTCATCAAAGAGTACAAGGAATTTGTCGCCCTCTTCGAGTTTGTCTGGAAATCCTCCATGTCTTCCGCCCAACCAGCTTTGGTTGATGAGTGTCTCTTACCCATTCGAATGCATTTCCTGGTTCCCGAGAAGCTCCAGCTCCACGATCGTGGCCTACTTTCTCCTCTGAATGCCGCCTTTGAAGAATTTTGCATTCTCTGCATTGTGTTCCTCAACAAGGTGTACTGTATCGACCGCATCACGTACCTTCGAGAGAAGTGGCCAACTGCGCCATCATTCATGGATGAACAACCTTCGCCAAAGGATGTGGAAATGATGGACAGAATGCGAGGCTTCTTTTCATTTCCGGGTCTACCCGGCATTCTTTCAAACGTTTTGGCCATTTGCGGATTCGACAACATCGAAATGCCTGCCGATTTCATGGATCGCATCGTTACGGACTTGGGCGCCATTATTCGGAGGCGAACTGTGCCAAGCTACGTGGCATCAGAAGCATACCGGGAGCGACTCAGGGTCCTTGAAGCTTCTTTTGAAATCAGCCCTCTATTTCCTTCAAAAAGCACCTCTGAAGTCACTTCTGAAGAGACTCCTGAAAACGAGCCAGACATTTGGCTGCAGATTGCAGAACAAAGCGATCACGATAATTCCTATCAACCATCCGCCATAAATTCGGATATGTCTTTCAACCCGTCCTGTTATTCTCTGTCTGGCCTTCCCTCACACCCAGTCAAGAAAAGAGTCTCTTTCGAATTACCCTCGAACACCTCGGATAAAGCCTCGGATAAGATCGAGGAATTAATGTCATTGCCATCACTCAGCTCACTCAAAATCAGTGAGGATTCAGAGATTGAGCTTAGGAACCTGCGAAAAGAAGCAG